CACGCCTTCCCACCCTGCTGCTCCCACACCCACACCACAGACTCTGTAGAGATGAGCAAAAAATAAAACGCAGACGCACGTTAACACATAAAACTCACATCCAATAATCCCGGACCGGTGGTCGGTGACACATCCACACCAACCCATCTTGTTCCTGCTTCAGGCCCCGCCCCCCATACCCCACTAACCGCTCCCCACCCCGCACTACTTGCCCCACCATCCAACCTCCGTTGAGGAGAGCAGAGGTGACAGCCATGGCACCAGCAGGCCACCCAGGCCCCGCAGCCGCCCCCCAACAAGACCACGGACCAGGCGGCTCACTCTTCCTCCAGGACCAGACTCCGGGTGGCAGCCGGGGAACAGGGGTGTGAGACGACCCCGATTCTCCCTGCGCCTGCCCCAATGTATTGTTGTTGCATCTTGCTCTCAGGTGTAATTAAAACTGGGAGTACCAAAAGGGGGTGTCCAGCACAGTCCACCCCCCTCCGGAAGACAGGCGGTGCCAGCGCACCCCCCCCCCCCACTCGACAACCCAGAACCCTCAATGTCTAAACATTAGAGGGGATGGCGGGAGCCGACCGTGGTGAGGCCCATAAAATTCTGAGTTTATCCTTACTTTTCCAATTCATGATAGTTTAATTTGTGATACATAACCCAGTGAAGGTCATGAAAACTGATCTTTTTTCCCTCAAAGTCACCCAGCAAGCAAACTGGAGGGGAAAGTGAGATTTTACAACCCAGGCAAAGTGATAAGTCCTTACATACCTGTACCCAGAACCTCTGAACCGGCGTGCATAACCATAACGCGTGAATATAATTATCAAGTTGATTGCCTGTGCACTGTGGACAGATGTTAGATTGTTTAACACCCATCTTGAATAATCGTTGACCTGTATAGTGCACTCTCTGCAGGATTTTGTATTTTATTAGTTGTAAATTGGGGTTTCTAGTCATGTCAAAAGTTCTTAGACATATCTGAGCCCAGATGTTTTGTTCAAAGCTGACTGATAAATCCTCCTCCCATTTAGTAATAGGGAGAGATATTGCATCATCCAGTTTAGTCAGTGTCCTGTATAATTTAGACAGTAGTTTGGGGGGGTTAACTCTAGAAACTCTGATATATTAGCTGGAATTTGTAAACCTCCATCAATATGCTTACATTTATTTCTAATTATAGATTTAATTTGCTCATATTCTAAGAATTTATTTTTGTTAATGCCATATTGCAAATTTAATCCAGCAAATGTGATAACTCCGTACCTTCACACAAATGATCCAGATAGTTAATACCTTTATTCTTCCAGTACGGAAAGTTTATCATATTATTGTTTTGTAGAATGTCAGGGTTATTCCAGATGGGTGTACGACTGCACGGGATAAGTGATGACTTTGTCATTTTAAGAAATTCCCACCATGCTGTCAGGGAAGAGCTGAAGTTCTGAACTTCAGCTGTTGACAGCAGTGAGTCCAGGGTCACTCTTTGACTCTCTGATAATTTAGGAAGAGTTATTTTATCCAGAAATCGCTTGATATCATTATCTGATGGATTTAACTGTGATGTGTATAAAGATTTATAGAAACCTGGGAAGGCATTGTTAATACCCTTCAGATCCTGTAATATATTTCCAATTGAGTCTGTAACTGCAAATATAGTCTTTTTTCTTTGTTTATTTTAAGCTGATTAGCTAAGAAACTTCCTGACTTATTGCTATGTTCAAAGTTTTTTGTATTAATGCTGATCTTAAAGTCTTTGTATTAAAAATGTATTTTGTTTTTCAATATATTCGTTTAGTTCCAGTTTTATTTTACCGATTTCACCTAATTTTTCCTCATCTATAGCGAGCTTTTTAGTGACTTAATTATTTCCTCTAATTCCTGGATCTGTTTTTGTTCCAACCTTTTTTATGAGATGAGAATGAAATAATTGTACCTCTCATCACTGCTTTCCCTGCTTCCCATAGTATAGATGCTGATGTTCCTGGTAAATCATTGCACTCCAAGTATGATGCCCACTCTTCCTTGAAAAATGTAAGAAATTCTTCATCTTTAAGCAGTGATGTACCTCCAGCACTTGTTTTGTGAGACTGACTTCTATCTTGAGAATGGAATGGGAGGAGTGTGCTGGGAACACTGGGAACGCTGTGAAACACGGATTCTCTGAACCTGGAATAGTAAGACGGAACAATGTGATGTATAATCTATAGAACTTTCTCCTCTGCAGGCGTCAGCATCAGCTTAACTAAAAAGAAATAAACTGATTTTATTATTTGTTGTTTTTCTGGAATCATCTAGAAGGAAAAGCTAGAGGCTTAAAATAAAAAAGTGTCTTTTATATGCAGGTTATATTGGTCTATATCTTTAAGATTCTTGCAGGGAGCTATAGAACCATATGAACCAGAAACTGTTTCATGACACATGAATTAAAAATAACTTTCTGCTCTTTGTTTGATTCAAGAGGATCAATAATTTCTTTCCAAACGATTTTCCAGTATCGTTCATCTGATATCTAAGGTTTAAATCAAAGGTTAACTTTAAAGGTTTACTTACAGCTGATTGAACAGGTGCCAGAGGCTCAGGAAGGCTTCCATTAAAGCCTTTTCTCCCTGCTGGGCTCGGCCCCCAGGAAGCGGCCCTGTGCAGCGGGGGGCCAATAGACATCAGTTTAGAAGGATTCTACCTTGGAGATGATGAGTCGGTTCTGTTGGATTTCAGCGCTTCTCGCCCTGGAGGCTAGAAACTCACCCAGCAGCTTCTCCCGCATTCCTCCAGCTTCATCTTCTGCTCCACAAATCTTCCGTTTGATGGAGAAACCTGCTGCTCCACCCACCAAACCACCACCATCCATCACTGGCCAGGACCAGGAGGTGGGATTACTGGGTTAGCCCGATAACTTCAGGTTTAACTTTCCAGTGAAGCTGGAATCATTCTTAGCCAGGCTGGTCACCATGGTAACGGGCTAGCTTTCAGGATGGATGTGATGGATCCACCCAGCAGCCAATCAGCTATTAGAAAACAATGACAATGATTGAAGACCTGATTTAATTCAGAGGGAGAATAAAATAAAGGAACTGAAAACCAAAAAAACAGTTAAAACTAAATATCTGTATTCGTTTTCTCCTCTATAATGTCGCCATGCTGCCATTCACTGATTTATTCTAGGATTGATTTAGGAAGCTGAAATTAAATAGAAACCAGAGAACAAACTGGGAGAAGATCCTTTAGATCCTGATCACCTATAAGAGCGATCCAGGTCTTCAGGGGTGTCTGACCCACAGCGTTCCTCACTGCATTACTGACTGGATGGCCATCAGGGATTACGCCACCACCAGCTTCAAAAATAAACCAGGAGAGTCTGGATTCTCCTCATTCTTTCTCTATAGAATAGAGGTTAAAGGTTGAATCTATTAGAACTCATCTTGCTGAACAACTTGGCCTCATGGTAACAGCTAACGCCTTACTAAAAATATAAACTACTAATAAAATCTGCGGATATTATTTTCTCTCATCTGAGGAAGGTCATTAAATCTGCAGATCAGTGGAGTCCAGATTCAGTCCTAAGGGCTGCTATCCGCCATGATGGAAGGAAAAGCTAAGCTGTGCTAAAGGAAGAAGGAACTAACAGCTTCCTGGAAACGGAGGGAAAGTTATAAAAAAAGTACTCAAGTAAATATTCTCAAAAAAGTATTTAGTAATGCAGTAAATGTACTTTGTTAGTCTCCACCACTGAATATGAGGCCGAGGAGGAAAAAGAGCTTCTCTAGAGTAATATTCAGGAATGATGCTGAAGATCAGGGCATTTTAAAGTCCTTCCTCCAGGTTTTCAGGATTCCCCTTCCGGAGTTAAATCTGGGGCCAACTAGCCGTCTACGGGGGCCAATTATGTCTCTACAGGACGGAGCAGCTTCTGACATCTGGATCCTTCAGCTGATGAAACCCTGGAGCTCATCGGGTTCCTCAAAGCAGCGTCACTCACAAACATCCAGCTGATCTTCTGACACCTGAAGCACTTTTAGTTCCTGTTTTTACATCATATTATGTTTGGTTTTTAAAACCTTTATAGGGCCCCGTCCCTCAGTGAGATCTAGAAGCACTAGATCTATATCCAACCATTCAGCGAAGATGCTGCTACATGGCTGTACATCTGACCAATTAGATGAGCCCTGGAATGATAAACTACTGTAAATTAAGTTGGAAAAAAGTTAAGTCAAGAAAAAAAGGTAAAAAGCTAAATGAAAAGTTTAAAAGTAAAGTTAAAAACTTAATAGGTCTAGTTAATTATATTTTGGTTTATAAACTAAAAAATGTGTCAGTATCAGCATTAATGCCTCTAAGGTTATGTTGTTTCTTTCACTCTGAGTGTTTTTCAAGAATAGAAGCACTTTTGTTGTTTTTCTTAATATATTCAGGAAAGTTGGCATTTGTTGTTATTACATTGACATTCATTTTTACCATCAGAATATCCAGTTTTGAATGTTCCAAAGGTAATAAGGTCTGGTCCTGGATTCTAATAACATTATTGGCTGCAAATATTTCACTAAGCGCCCTATAAAGGGTTAAAGGAAATAACGGCTGGTTGGCAGCAGGTCTCCAAAGCTTCAACCAGGGATGATGATCAGATGATGATCCAATAGATCAGGAGGGGGCAGATGAAAGCAGCTGCTGCATTTTCAGCACCACAAAGTGTGGACAGCGACACCAGTCTTTGATCCAGAACTGATGGAAGCATTTCAGCTCCATCAGATCCAGAACTCCATGCAGAACCTCCACCTCTAAAACCAACGACTGCTCTGAGAGACGCCGCTACAGGGACGCTCCACCCAGATGCAATGAGAGACAGCGCTGCAGGACGTTTGTCTTCTGGAGACACCCTACATGGGCTGGATAGAGATGATGAACTGATGCTGATCCTGCTGCTCGGTAGATCCACTTAGGACTCTATCCGGTGTGGATCTGCGTCGCGCTGAAAGCTGGACGCAGGAGGAAAAGAACGAGACTGATGGTTTTAGAAAAGGAGTTTATTAAAAATAGCATCATGAGGGAAACATTAAAAGCAGACGGTTTGAGATGAGGTGGGAAACGATGCTGCGGTTCTGAGCAGGAGATTGGACCGCAGCATTCAAAGCCTCTCCAGTGTTTCACCAGAACTCACTCAGCAGCTCTAAAAGGTCCGTTAGAACGTTAAAACATCTTATCAGAACAGCAGCAGAACCTCACAGCGTTCTGCAGATAAAATACATCTGATAAAAGAAGGAAGCATTCGGGTCGGACTGCTGCACGCTTCTCCTTCCCTAAAGCTAAACCGATCCCACGGAAGGGAAACCAGCCCACTGGTACCATCCAGAGACGGGACCGGGATCTGGGGCGGGTCCAGATGGAACCGGGTCCATGGAAAACCTGCAGGTTCTGAACCCAAAGGGGTTCAGGGCTTCCTGAGGAGTTCAGTCAGAAGTGATCCAGTTAGAAGAACAGCTTCATGTGGGGAAAGACCAGAACCAGAGTCCAGAACCGCTTCTAGGTTCTACAAGAACATCTTTCTCTGCTTGATGAGAAGGCGGTTCTGGATTCTAGAAGGTTCTGAAGGAGAAAGCTGAAGCTCCAAGAGAACCAACCTGTTTTAGAACCAGGAACAGAACCACAGGAGATCCGTTTTTAGAATGGATTCAGGTCTGACTCGGCCCATCGGACCCGTTCAGATGAGAGGTCCAACCAGAAACTCCTGTTAAAATGGTTCTGAACCCTGACCCGGTAACCTCTGACCTCTGACCCTGCCACCTGATGGACAACAGAAAAAAATCCTGCTAAGAAAAGGGCAACAGAACCACCAGAACAGGAAGGAGAGCCGCTTAGTTAGTTAGGTTAGTTACTTACTTAGTTTAGTTACTTAGTTAGTTAGGAAGCTAAAGGAAACCAAACAGAGTACCTGAGTTAATCATCAAGGGTTGAAAGGAAAAGGTGGAGCTTAATCCGCCTCGTCTGCTTTAACCCTACAGACCCAGATGTTCTGTAAACACATCGAAACTCGTCCAGTTCTAAACCAGGAATGGATGGAAAAAAAGAAGCTGATGAACGTTCAGGTCCAGTTAGAACCCGTTCTAACTCCAGTTTCTGATGTTCCTCAACACGTGGGGTCGGTTTCCAGGTGATCAGGTAGGAGGAGCTTTGAAGAACCTGGAGATGAAACATCTACAGAGGAGGAGCCAGATCCAGGAGGAGCATAGCTGAAGCCCACCAGTGAGATAGGAGACATGGCGGCCTGGAGGCTAGGCTGGACCACAGGCTGAAGGTAGGTTAGATGTTTGGCTGCTCATGAAGGAACCTCACAGAAGAACCGTCCAGATTGGGGGAGAGACTTCTGACCCGGTCAGTGGTTTGGACCGGGTTGGTTCCGCCCCGTGTCTCAGAAGATGATCTCTGGAGGTCAGGAGTTCTGAACAGCACCACAGAGGATCTGCTCCAGAACCGTCAGCAGGTGCTTCAGGCCGTAGATGTAGCCCTGGTCCTGGCTATCACTGGGGAAAACATGAGCAAAGTCGATCATCCTGACCTCCACCTCTGGATCTCCAGCACTTCCCTGTCCACCTGTCCCGCTCCGTCCCTCCTCTTCGTTGCTGTTCCCGTTAGCGGGTCGGTTCTGATCGTTCAGGACAGGTGGACGGTCCACTGAAGCCGCCATTTCCTCCGCTCTGCTGATGTGGAGGAGTGCCCTGAGGCCGCAGGGATCCGTCCTGTGATTGGTGGAGAGGCTTCCGTCCCATGACACCGCCACCGCCGTGTTGTTGTTAAACTCTTCCTTTTTGTTCTCCAGCCCTGCTTCCTCCTGGATCGCCTCCCCTCCATCACCGACCAGGAGCAGGTTGGCGGTTTTCATCATGGCTTCTGTGACAGGAGGCCTGCTGAGGAAGGAGGAGGGGAGGCCCTCGTAGACAAAGAGAAGGGAGCTGGCGTAGAAGACCAGCTGGTTCTGGGAGTGGAACCAGTGCAGAATCTGCTGCAGTCGGGAAATGCTGGCCCGGATGGCGTCCATCCTCAGACAGAGTCCGTTATGGAAGAACCGGGCCAACCCTGCTGGGGGGAGGGAGGGGGAGGTTAGCCTCGTAGACGTTAGCCACATCAGATGTTCGTTTAAATAAAGGTCTCACCGTCTCTGATGGTGTCCTTGGCCAGGCCCCGCCCATAGTGCTGGTTGTACGAGTCAAACGTAGCGCGGCGAGCATCGTAGACCTGGAAACAGCATCATCATTATTATCATCAGCTGCACCTGCAGCAGGATTTCAGCTTCCCACCCGGCTGAGGCGCGCCCTGTCCCACACCAAGCACGCTAATCCTACCACCTGCACCTGAAGCTGAGGAGAAAGCTGCTGACTGTTTACTGACTGGTTACTGAGGCTGATGACTTAACTGGTTGCTGAGGCTACTGACTGTTTTCTGCCTGTTTGCTGAGGCTACAGAATTCTTGCTGCCTGTTTGCTGAGGCTACTGACTGTTTTCTGCCTGTTTGCTGAGGCTACAGAATTCTTGCTGCCTGTTTGCTGAGGCTACTGACTGTTTTCTGCCTGTTTGCTGAGGTTACTAACATTTTGCTGCCTGTTTGCTGAAGCTACTGACTGTTTTGTTACAGTCTGCTCCCTGTTTGCTGAGACTACTGACTTTTTGCTGCCTGTTTGCTGAAGCTACTGACTGTTTTGTTACAGTCTGCTCCCTGTTTGCTGAGACTACTGACTTTTTGCTGCCTGTTTGCTGAGGCTACTGCCTCTTTGCTGAGGCTATGGGCTGTTTTCTGCCTGTTTACTGAGCCTACTGGCATTTTGCTGCCTGTTTGCTCAGGCTACTGACTGTTTTCTGCCTGTTTGCTGGGGTTACTGACATTTTGCTGCCTGTTTGCTGAAGCTACTGACTGTTTTGTTACAGTCTGCTCCCTGTTTGCTGAGGCTACTGCCTCTTTGCTGAGGCTATGGGCTGTTTTCTGCCTGTTTACTGAGCCTACTGGCATTTTGCTGCCTGTTTGCTGAGGCTACTGACTGTTTTCTGCCTGTTTGCTGGGGTTACTGACATTTTGCTGCCTGTTTGCTGAAGCTACTGACTGTTTTGTTACAGTCTGCTTCCTGTTTGCTGAGACTACTGACTTTTTGCTGCCTGTTTGCTGAGGCTACTGACTGTTTTGTTACTGTCTGCTTCCTGTTTGCTGAGACTACTGACTTTTTGCTGCCTGTTTGCTGAGGCTACTGACTGTTTTGTTACAGTCTGCTTCCTGTTTGCTGAGACTACTGACTTTTTGCTGCCTGTTTGCTGAGGCTACTGACTGTTTTGTTACAGTCTGCTTCCTGTTTGCTGAGACTACTGGCATTTTGCTGCCTGTTGTCTGAGGCTACTGACATTTTGCTGCCTGTTTGCTGAAGCTACTGACTGTTTTGTTACAGTCTGCTTCCTGTTTGCTGAGACTACTGACTTTTTGCTGCCTGTTTGCTGAGGCTACTGACTGTTTTGTTACAGTCTGCTTCCTGTTTGCTGAGACTACTGACTTTTTGCTGCCTGTTTGCTGAAGCTACTGACTGTTTTGTTACAGTCTGCTCCCTGTTTGCTGAGACTACTGACTTTTTGCTGCCTGTTTGCTGAAGCTACTGACTGTTTTGTTACAGTCTGCTCCCTGTTTGCTGAGACTACTGACTTTTTGCTGCCTGTTTGCTGAGGTTACTAACATTTTGCTGCCTGTTTGCTGAAGCTACTGACTGTTTTGTTACAGTCTGCTCCCTGTTTGCTGAGACTACTGACTTTTTGCTGCCTGTTTGCTGAAGCTACTGACTGTTTTGTTACAGTCTGCTCCCTGTTTGCTGAGACTACTGACTTTTTGCTGCCTGTTTGCTGAGGCTACTGCCTCTTTGCTGAGGCTATGGGCTGTTTTCTGCCTGTTTACTGAGCCTACTGGCATTTTGCTGCCTGTTTGCTCAGGCTACTGACTGTTTTCTGCCTGTTTGCTGGGGTTACTGACATTTTGCTGCCTGTTTGCTGAAGCTACTGACTGTTTTGTTACAGTCTGCTCCCTGTTTGCTGAGGCTACTGCCTCTTTGCTGAGGCTATGGGCTGTTTTCTACCTGTTTACTGAGCCTACTGGCATTTTGCTGCCTGTTTGCTGAGGCTACTGACTGTTTTCTGCCTGTTTGCTGAGGTTACTGACATTTTGCTGCCTGTTTGCTGAAGCTACTGACTGTTTTGTTACAGTCTGCTTCCTGTTTGCTGAGACTACTGACTTTTTGCTGCCTGTTTGCTGAGGCTACTGACTGTTTTGTTACTGTCTGCTTCCTGTTTGCTGAGACTACTGACTTTTTGCTGCCTGTTTGCTGAGGCTACTGACTGTTTTGTTACAGTCTGCTTCCTGTTTGCTGAGACTACTGACTTTTTGCTGCCTGTTTGCTGAGGCTACTGACTGTTTTGTTACAGTCTGCTTCCTGTTTGCTGAGACTACTGGCATTTTGCTGCCTGTTGTCTGAGGCTACTGACATTTTGCTGCCTGTTTGCTGAAGCTACTGACTGTTTTGTTACAGTCTGCTTCCTGTTTGCTGAGACTACTGACTTTTTGCTGCCTGTTTGCTGAGGCTACTGACTGTTTTGTTACAGTCTGCTTCCTCTTTGCTGAGACTACTGACTTTTTGCTGCCTGTTTGCTGAGGCTACTGACTGTTTTGTTACAGTCTGCTTCCTGTTTGCTGAGACTGCTGACTTCTTGCTGCCTGTTTGCTGAGGCTACTGACTGTTTGCTGAGGCTACTGACTGTTTTGTTACTGTCTGCTTCCTGTTTGCTGAGCCTACTGGCATTTTGCTGCCTGTTTGCTGAGGCTACTGACTGTTTTGTTACTGTCTGCTTCCTGTTTGCTGAGCCTACTGGCATTTTGCTGCCTGTTTGCTGAGGTTACTGACATTTTGCTGCCTGTTTGCTGAGGTTACTAACATTTTGCTGCCTGTTTGCTGAAGCTACTGACTGTTTTGTTACAGTCTGCTCCCTGTTTGCTGAGACTACTGACTTTTTGCTGCCTGTTTGCTGAAGCTACTGACTGTTTTGTTACAGTCTGCTCCCTGTTTGCTGAGACTACTGACTTTTTGCTGCCTGTTTGCTGAGGCTACTGCCTCTTTGCTGAGGCTATGGGCTGTTTTCTGCCTGTTTACTGAGCCTACTGGCATTTTGCTGCCTGTTTGCTCAGGCTACTGACTGTTTTCTGCCTGTTTGCTGGGGTTACTGACATTTTGCTGCCTGTTTGCTGAAGCTACTGACTGTTTTGTTACAGTCTGCTCCCTGTTTGCTGAGGCTACTGCCTCTTTGCTGAGGCTATGGGCTGTTTTCTACCTGTTTACTGAGCCTACTGGCATTTTGCTGCCTGTTTGCTGAGGCTACTGACTGTTTTCTGCCTGTTTGCTGAGGTTACTGACATTTTGCTGCCTGTTTGCTGAAGCTACTGACTGTTTTGTTACAGTCTGCTTCCTGTTTGCTGAGACTACTGACTTTTTGCTGCCTGTTTGCTGAGGCTACTGACTGTTTTGTTACTGTCTGCTTCCTGTTTGCTGAGACTACTGACTTTTTGCTGCCTGTTTGCTGAGGCTACTGACTGTTTTGTTACAGTCTGCTTCCTGTTTGCTGAGACTACTGACTTTTTGCTGCCTGTTTGCTGAGGCTACTGACTGTTTTGTTACAGTCTGCTTCCTGTTTGCTGAGACTACTGGCATTTTGCTGCCTGTTGTCTGAGGCTACTGACATTTTGCTGCCTGTTTGCTGAAGCTACTGACTGTTTTGTTACAGTCTGCTTCCTGTTTGCTGAGACTACTGACTTTTTGCTGCCTGTTTGCTGAGGCTACTGACTGTTTTGTTACAGTCTGCTTCCTGTTTGCTGAGACTACTGACTTTTTGCTGCCTGTTTGCTGAAGCTACTGACTGTTTTGTTACAGTCTGCTCCCTGTTTGCTGAGACTACTGACTTTTTGCTGCCTGTTTGCTGAAGCTACTGACTGTTTTGTTACAGTCTGCTCCCTGTTTGCTGAGACTACTGACTTTTTGCTGCCTGTTTGCTGAGGTTACTAACATTTTGCTGCCTGTTTGCTGAAGCTACTGACTGTTTTGTTACAGTCTGCTCCCTGTTTGCTGAGACTACTGACTTTTTGCTGCCTGTTTGCTGAAGCTACTGACTGTTTTGTTACAGTCTGCTCCCTGTTTGCTGAGACTACTGACTTTTTGCTGCCTGTTTGCTGAGGCTACTGCCTCTTTGCTGAGGCTATGGGCTGTTTTCTGCCTGTTTACTGAGCCTACTGGCATTTTGCTGCCTGTTTGCTCAGGCTACTGACTGTTTTCTGCCTGTTTGCTGGGGTTACTGACATTTTGCTGCCTGTTTGCTGAAGCTACTGACTGTTTTGTTACAGTCTGCTCCCTGTTTGCTGAGGCTACTGCCTCTTTGCTGAGGCTATGGGCTGTTTTCTACCTGTTTACTGAGCCTACTGGCATTTTGCTGCCTGTTTGCTGAGGCTACTGACTGTTTTCTGCCTGTTTGCTGAGGTTACTGACATTTTGCTGCCTGTTTGCTGAAGCTACTGACTGTTTTGTTACAGTCTGCTTCCTGTTTGCTGAGACTACTGACTTTTTGCTGCCTGTTTGCTGAGGCTACTGACTGTTTTGTTACTGTCTGCTTCCTGTTTGCTGAGACTACTGACTTTTTGCTGCCTGTTTGCTGAGGCTACTGACTGTTTTGTTACAGTCTGCTTCCTGTTTGCTGAGACTACTGACTTTTTGCTGCCTGTTTGCTGAGGCTACTGACTGTTTTGTTACAGTCTGCTTCCTGTTTGCTGAGACTACTGGCATTTTGCTGCCTGTTGTCTGAGGCTACTGACATTTTGCTGCCTGTTTGCTGAAGCTACTGACTGTTTTGTTACAGTCTGCTTCCTGTTTGCTGAGACTACTGACTTTTTGCTGCCTGTTTGCTGAGGCTACTGACTGTTTTGTTACAGTCTGCTTCCTCTTTGCTGAGACTACTGACTTTTTGCTGCCTGTTTGCTGAGGCTACTGACTGTTTTGTTACAGTCTGCTTCCTGTTTGCTGAGACTGCTGACTTCTTGCTGCCTGTTTGCTGAGGCTACTGACTGTTTGCTGAGGCTACTGACTGTTTTGTTACTGTCTGCTTCCTGTTTGCTGAGCCTACTGGCATTTTGCTGCCTGTTTGCTGAGGCTACTGACTGTTTTGTTACTGTCTGCTTCCTGTTTGCTGAGCCTACTGGCATTTTGCTGCCTGTTTGCTGAGGTTACTGACATTTTGCTGCCTGTTTGCTGAGGTTACTGACATTTTGCTGCCTGTTTGCTGAGGCTACTGACTGTTTTGTTACAGTCTGCTTCCTGTTTGCTGAGACTACTGACTTTTTGCTGCCTGTTTGCTGAGGCTACTGACTGTTTTGTTACAGTCTGCTTCCTGTTTGCTGAGACTACTGACTTTTTGCTGCCTGTTTGCTGAGGCTACCGACTGTTTTGTGACTGTCTGCTTCCTGTTTGCTGAGGCTATTGACTGTTTTCTGACTGCTGATGCTATTGAATGTTTTATACCCGTTTGCTGAGGCTACTGACTTTTTGCTGCCAGTTTGCTGAGGCTATTGACTGTTTACTGTTTGCTGAGGCTACTGCCTGTTTGCTGACTGTTTGCTGCCTGTCAGGGCTGGAACTCCTAACCAATGGAATTCAGAAGCTCTAAAGGTCGGAGGCGTTTTACGAAGGATCGCCGGTATTCCGACCAACGTGTGATGTCATCGCTTAGAGTACTGCAACATGGTGGCGTCCTGCCAAACATTTAAAAACAACGCTGCATTTTTTTCTTATATTTTTCACGTTTGTAATATAATTATTGATCAGACAAAATCTGGTGAATGAAGTTATTTTGGTTGACCGTTTCCACTCTCAAACCCTGGATCCTCTGGTCACATTGTTCACAGCTACACAGCTGATTGTTCTGCTTTCCAACCTGCTGACTGCTGAACAAACTCAAGTCAGGTGAGGATGAGGAGCGTGGCTAAACCGCCATCACAGCGGCGTCTAGTCAAATGACGACTTTCCACTGAATGGGAAAATCAGAGAGGAGCCGGCAGGACCGACAGAGGCACTGATGGAGCAAACTTTTCTGTTCACCAATCAGGGACAGGATGCAGCTGTGATGTCAGCAGAAAGAGCACAGCCGGGTCCTGGACGCCCCAGCCTTAAAACCATTTATCGAAAACTTAAAAAGTTAAGGAAACATTTCTGCTGTCTGACTCCAGCCCCCATCTTTACTGGTGGAGCTACCAGGGATGATGTTCATGATCATCATCATGTTTAAACAGGAAACAGGAAGCGGTGCCCCATCATACTGGGAACAGAATACAGTGGAACACCAGTGAGCAGACAGAAGCTCCTCCTACTTGCAGACGCGGAACGTCAGGGGTTCAGCGCCAGGAGAACCTCCTGTAGGAGGATGGTCCTCCTCTGCAGAACAGTAAAGCGTTCAAACCCTCCAAAGGAGGTGCTGGTTGGTGATGCTTCATCAGTGGTTGGCAGAAGATCTCTGATAGTTAAACATGTTCTGGGAATCTGACGTACCCTCATGCCGAGGATCAGGAACCCGATCTCCTCCATCAGAGGATACTTCCTGATCTGCTGTTCTCGTTTCTCCTGGGAGGCAAACGGGTCGTAGCTCCTCTGGCCCAGCTTCACATCCATGATGCACGGCCTGTTGAAGCGACTCGTCACGTCCTCCAGCTTCAGATAGAGCTCTGGAAGAAGACCAACCAGAAAACCTCATCAGTCTGTCCATGAAGGACCATCACTCCACAGAGAAACCCTTAAACCCGAGATGGCCCTAAGGAGAACAGCCCGACAGGAGTCTGGATGTAGATGTTTCAGTGTCCTGAGCAGCTGGTCTATCATGGAGGACAGTTCTCATCGCCCACTGCTTGTTCCAAACACCTCTCATTTAGCCACAAATGCTAGCTTAAAACATGTCCTAATATGGTCAGGTCCTGCAGAAGAGCTTCACTTCTCTAGTGTTTCTGTGACCTTGATGGAGAACCAGAGGAACCCTGGCTGTTCTCACCGGTCGGGCTGTCAGGAGACGACCAGGTGCCGTAATATTTGGGCAGGTGGTTCTGGAGGTCTAGAAGACAAGGATCTGAGCAATCCTCTGCAAACACCTGCAACACAAACACACACGATGAAGAGCACAGAAGGATGATAACTGCTCCTAGATCTTGTTCCAGATAACCGCTTCTAGAACATCCTCCACCTGCTCAGGTTTTTCATAGACCACATCCTACATTCTTGGTGCGACCCTTTGTTCCTTACCGTTCTATAGAACTGCATTTCTCGTGGTCCTCGTGGGGGAGGCTGGACCTGCTTTAGAACCGTTCCATCTGGGTGCTGCAGAATTCCTAGAAGCAAACAGGGAGAAGCCGTCATGGCTGGAAGCAGCATTCATCCCAAAGTTAATGAAGCAGAGAAACGGAGCATCTGAGGGAACCTGCCCTGGTTATCCCTCTGGTTATCCCTCTGGCTATCCCCCTGGTTATCCCCCTGGTTATCCCTCTGGTTATCCCCCTGGTTATCCCCCTGGTTATCCTCCTGGTTATCCCTCTGGTTATCCTCCTGGTTATCCCTCTGGTTATCCCCCTGGTTATCCCCCTGATTATCCTCCTGGTTATCCCCCTGGTTATCCCCCTGGTTATCCTCCTGGTTATCCCTCTGGTTATCCCTCTGGTTATCCCCCTGGTTATCCCTCTGGTTATCCCTCTGGTTATCCCTCTGGTTATCCCCCTGGTTATCCCCCTGGTTATCCCTCTGGTTATCCCTCTGGTTATCCCTCTGGTTATCCCCCTGGTTATCCTCCTGGTTATCCCTCTGGTTATCCCTCTGGTTATCCCTCTGGTTATCCCCCTGGTTATCCCTCTGGTTATCCCTCTGGTTATCCTCCTGGTTATCCCCCTGGTTATCCCCACGGTTATCCTCCTGGTTATCCCCCCGGTTATCTCCCCGGTTATCTTCCTCGTTATCCCTCTGGTTATCCCTCTGGTTATGCCTTAGGTTATCCCCCTGGTTATCCCCCTGGTTATCCTCCTGGTTATCCCCCTGGTTATCCCTCTGGTTTTCCCCCCGGTTATCCCTCTGGTTATCCGCCTGGTTATCACCCTGGATATCCTCCTGTTTATCCCCCTGGTTATCCCCCTGGTTTTTCCCCTGGTTATCCCTCTGGTTATCCCTCTGGTTATCCGCCTGGTTATCACCCTGGATATCCTCCTGTTTATCACCCTGGTTATCCCCCTGGTTTTTCCCCTGGTTATCCCTCTGGTTATCCCCCTGGTTATCCCTCTGGTTATCCCTCTGGTTATCCCCCTGGTTATCCGCCTGGGTATCCCCCTGGTTATCCCCACGGTTATCCCCCTGGTTATCCCCCTGGTTATCCCCCCAGTTAATCCTCCTGGTTATCCCTCTGGTTATCCGCCTGGTTATCACCCTGGATATCCTCCTGTTTATCCCCCTGGTTATCCCCCTGGTTTTTCCCCTGGTTATCCCCCTGGTTATCCCTCTGGTTATCCCCCCGGTTATCACCCTGGATATCCTCCTGTTTATCACCCTTGTTATCCTCCTGTTTATCACCCTGGTTATCCCCCTGGTTTTTCCCCTGGTTATCCCTCTGGTTATCCCTCTGGTTATCCCCCTGGTTATCCCCCCGGTTATCCCTCTGGTTATCCGCCTGGTTATCACCCTGGATATCCTCCTGTTTATCACCCTGGTTATCCCCCTGGTTTTTCCCCTGGTTATCCCTCTGGTTTTTCCCCTGGTTATCCCTCTGGTTATCCGCCTGGTTAGCATCCTGGTTATCCTCCTGTTTATCCCCCTGGTTATCCGCCTGGTTATCACCCTGGATATCCTCCTGTTTATCACCCTGGTTATCCCCCTGGTTTTTCCCCTGGTTATCCCTCTGGTTATCCCCCTGGTTATCCCCCTGGTTATCCCTCTGGTTATTCCCCTGGTTATCTCCCTGGTTATCCTCCTCGTTATCCCTCTGGTTATCCCTCTGTTTATGCCTTAGGTTATCCCCCTGGTTATCCTCCTGGTTATCCCCCTGGTTATCCCTCTGGTTTTCCCCCCAGTTATCCTCCTGGTTATCCCTCTGGTTATCCGCCTGGTTATCACCCTGGATATCCTCCTGTTTATCCCCCTGGTTATCCCCCTGGTTTTTCCCCTGTTTATCCCCCTGGTTATCCCTCTGGTTATCCCCCCGGTTATCCCTCTGGTTATCCCCCCGGTTATCCCTCTGGTTGTCCGCCTGGTTATCACCCTGGTTATCCCCCTGGTTTTTCCCCTGGTTATCCCTCTGGTTATCCCCCTGGTTATCCCTCTGGTTATCCCCCTGGTTATCCCCCTGGTTATCCCTCTGGTTATCCCCCTGGTTATCCCTCTGGTTATTCCCCTGGTTATCTCCCTGGTTATCCTCCTCGTTATCCCTCTGGTTATCCCTCTGTTTATGCCTTAGGTTATCCCCCTGGTTATCCTCCTGGTTATCCCCCTGGTTATCCCTCTGGTTTTCCCCCCAGTTATCCTCCTGGTTATCCCTCTGGTTATCCGCCTGGTTATCACCCTGGATATCCTCCTGTTTATCCCCCTGGTTATCCCCCTGGTTTTTCCCCTGTTTATCCCCCTGGTTATCCCTCTGGTTATCCCCCCGGTTATCCCTCTGGTTATCCCCCCGGTTATCCCTCTGGTTGTCCGCCTGTTTATCCCCCTGGTTATCCCCCTGGTTTTTCCCCTGTTTATCCCCCTGGTTATCCCTCTGGTTATCCCCCCGGTTATCCCTCTGGTTATCCCCCTGGTTATCCCTCTGGTTTTCCCCCCAGTTATCCTCCTGGTTATCCCTCTGGTTATCCGCCTGGTTATCACCCTGGATATCCTCCTGTTTATCCCCCTGGTTATCCCCCTGGTTTTTCCCCTGGTTATCCCCCTGGTTATCCCTCTGGTTATCCCCCTGGTTATCCCTCTGGTTATCCCCCCGGTTATCCCTCTGGTTATCCCTCTGGTTATCCCCCTGGTTATCCCTCTGGTTATCCCCCTGGTTAGCATCCTGGTTATCCTCCTGTTTATCCCCCTGGTTATCCGCCTGGTTAGCATCCTGGATATCCTCCTGTTTATCCCCCTGGTTTTTCCCCTGGTTATCCCTCTGGTTATCCCCCTGGTTATCCCTCTGGTTATCCGCCTGGTTAGCATCCTGGTTATCCTCCTGTTTATCCCCCTGGTTATCCGCCTGGTTAGCCGCCTGGTTATCACCCTGGATATCCTCCTGTTTATCACCCTGGTTATCCCCCTGGTTTTCCCCCTGGTTATCCCTCTGGTTATCCCCCTGGTTATCCCTCTGGTTATCCCCCTAGTTATCCCCCTGGTTATCCCCCTGGTTATCACCCTGGTTATCCCTCTGGTTATCCGCCTGGTTAGCATCCTGGTTATCCCCCTGGTTATCCGCCTGGTTAGCATCCTGGTTATCCCCCTGGTTATCCGCCTGGTTAGCATCCTGGTTATCCCTCTGGTTATCCTCCTGTTTATCCCCCTGGTTATCCTCCTGTTTATCCTCCTGTTTATCCTCCTGTTTATCCCCCTGGTTATCCTCCACTTACAGATTAGTTAGAGCTAGTTAATACTAAATCCACCTGCTTAATCTCTAATCTGCTTTAATCCAGGATACTCCCAGCACAGCTTCTCTTAATCCGGGTCATCTTTCTAATCTATCTGCTGACATCATTATTAAAAGTCTATTTTTTAATCATTAAATAAAGGAACACACAGGTTCCTGCGCTGCTTGTAAACACTGGTCGCCATGTTGCTGGAGGTGTTCATTTCAGAGTGCTGCACTCCTCTCTGTTCTTACGGTGAACCATAATCCTGGTTAATATTTAACCAGGAACAGATTAACTATTGACTCAACATGGAAGCAGCAGCAGTTTGATGCCCAGGTCCATCTCCTCCCCAGCTACAGCTGGATTATTATGGGCTGTCAGGATAATTGACCAGAGGTTTAATCCAGGGCATACGTGGGCATAAAGTGTATACTCACTTTAAATCCCCCCCAATCCGCACTATTAAGTAGAATATGAGCCAAATTTCCCATTTTTCTTAGGACAGTGAAGCCTGCGTTACGCTGCTCCTAATTGGCTAGCCCTCACTGGCTTTAATGATTACATTGGTTAAATGTAGGCATGACGACCAGGGAGCCAATCAGAGGCAGAGAGGGGCGGGTAATGCTGAAGTTAATGTCGCTCACATATTAAATAACATTTAAAAGTTTAGTTTAAATGATTTGCCTTTAAGATTAGCAAAGAATTGCTAATTTGAAGCGAGCTAGTCAAACAATGCTTTCCTTTCCTTATTGCAATCGTCCTGGTGAGTTAGCACTAGCTAAAATGTTTGATTTAAATAAACAACTGAAAGCCCTGATGTTTAGTTTCTATCCATGCAGGCTGCCGGTGTTTCCAGTAAAAGAGCTCTGCTGCTAACTAGGAATGCAAATGATTAATGATTTACTCTAAAGTTAATTGATTAACTAACCGTTATTGATAAGCAGCCATTTTCTTAAACCCTGAGCTTCTCTTTAATCAAGGAAATCTTTCAATAACATGATAGGATTTATATTTTTAACTAGGGCTGCAACAACGAATCGATAAAATCGATAAAAATCGACTTTTAAAAGCGTTGGCAACGAATTTAATCATCGATTAGTTGTGTCGCGCGATTAATGCGTCATCCGCCGCCGCCGTCATCCGGGGGAAGAAAAAAAAATATGACGGAGCGAGTCAGCGCCGCAGTTGCAGTGTTGCCAACTCAGCGACTTTTCAGACCCCTCCAGCGACTATTTTTCAAAAAAGCGACTGGCGACAAATCTGGCGACTTTTTACGGTGTCACTGGCGGCTTTTGCCTGCCGTGGGGCGCCTCCCCCATCCCAACCCCTTTCTCCCTCTCCCACAGGAATCCCTCTCAGCGCGGCAGTCAGAGTCAGAGCCGCAGGATTTTAGTGAGGAGTTTACCCTCAGCGTCCAGACTGCAAATGAAGCGCGCATGCGCCGGGATTGACGGCGCAAATTGATCACAATAATTAAAATAGCCTGCGCTTTGTAAAGTGAAAAAAGTCGTAACATGCAACTTTTGTAAAAACAAATGAACATGGCACGGAAGCACCACTGTTATGACGCAGCACCTGAAAAGAAAACACGTTGGAGCCTTCAATGGCAGTGAAGAGAGCTGATCAGCAGGATGAGTAACCATGTTTGTTTCATTTTAAAGAGGGGAAACGTAACGTTAGTTTCTCAGTTCGCTCATCTGATGCTTTCCTTACCTTGTTAGTAGGTTACAGACAGTGATAAGGTTGGCTACTTATTTTACTTTTAATTTCATTTAAATTTGGTTAAGCAGCGTTTATATTTTCTTTATAAATAAATTAACTTGCAAATTATGAGGGCAAGGCTTTTAAAGTTTAAATCTTCTGGCAAAGATAAAGAAAAGAAGATCCTGCAATTTATGGAAGTAAAGCAGAACAAAATCCAGCAAGATCAGTAATATGTCAATTAATTATCTGCCACATTCCCATGTAAATATCTGTCTTTGGAGGATGTGTTTTTTTTACCACCCCTAGTTCTCTCATTTTTATTCCAAATACAATTTATAATTAGAATCACAGGGCTATTTTTATCTCTATGGTTCAGTATTTTCTCAAGTAGCAACTTTAACTGCTATACTTTCCTGTCTTAAAAGGCAGAACTCTTCTAGTCTAAAAAAAACTCATTTGTTGAAATGGGGGGGACCTATTGTTTGAACCCCTTAGGGGCTTTTAAAAACAAAAATGCCTGTCTCTTTTTGCGCTTTATGAAACAAAGTAGCCTATATTTTGTGGATGTACAGCTACATTTCTCATGTAAGTTTGCGTAGTTTTTACACAAACATTTATTTTTCATATTGCACCAGTACAGTTAATGAGCAACCTGTACTTGTGTGCTTGTTTGTTCTGTCTAAAATGTTTATTTTGGAATAAAGAAGTTAATATAAAAAATTTTTTTTGTCCGATTCATCGATTAATCGAAAAAATAATCGGCCGATTCATCGATTTTTAAAATAATCGTTAGTTGCAGCCCTATTTTTAACACTATGCTGAATAAAAATACAAAAAACAAATGATGTTTGAAGTACTTACTGTTTTATCAGCTGTATTTAATACTGACTGAATAAACAAAAATATGTTTTATTCCACATTATGAACCATATTCATGCAAAATAACTAAACCCAGGACCCACTGCACCAGCATAGGGTCTGACAATGGGTGGAAGGATTTCATCCTGATACCTAATGGCAGTCAGGGTGCCGTTGTCTAGCCTGTATAGGTCTGTGCGTCCCTCAATGGATATGCCTCCCCAGACCATCACTAACCCACCACCAAACCGCTCATGCTGAACGTTGTTAGACAGCATAACGTTCTCCATGGCTTCTCTAGACCCTTTCACGTCTGTCACATGTGCTCAGGGTGAACCTGCTCTAATCTATGAAAAGCACAGGGCGCCAGTGGCCGACTTGCCAATTCTGGTGTTCTGTGGCAAATGCCAATCGAGCTCCACGGTGCCGGGCAGTGAGCACAGGGCCCACTAGAGGACGTCGGCCCTCAGGCCACCCTCATGAAGTCTGTTTCTGACTGGTCAGAGACATTCACACCAGAAGCCTACTGGAGGTCATTCTGTAGGGCTCTGGCAGTGCTCCTCCTGCTCCTCCTTGCACAAAGGAGCAGATACCGGTCCTGCTGATGGGTTGTAGACCTTCTATGGCCCTGTCCAGCTCTCCTGGAGTAACTGCCTGACTCCTGGAATCTCCTCCATGCTCTTCAGATTGTTCTGGGAGACACAGCAAACCTTCTGGCAGTGGCATGTATTAATGTGCCATCCTGGAGGAGTTGGACTGCCTGTGCAACCTCTGTAGGGTCCAGATAGCGCCTCATGCTAACAGTAGTGACAGTGACCCTAGCCAAATGCAAAACTGGTAAAAAAAAGAGTCAGAAAAGATGAGGAGGGGAAAAAAATGTCAGTGGCCTCCACCTGTAAATCCATTTCTGTTTTGATGGTCGTCTCGTTGTTGCCCCTCTAGTGCACCTGTTGTTAATTTAATTAACACCAAAGCAGCTGAAACTGATTAACTACCCCCTCTGCTACTTACCTGACCAAATCAATATCCCACAAGTTTAATTAACTTGATGCTATACTCTGATTACAAAGTGTTCCTTTCATTTTTTTCAGTACTGTTATTTACTAAAATGAATCAGTTTCAGGAAATCGATGTATTTAATCATCGTAGGAAGAAGTAATATTTGCATTTTAATGAAATCCAGTCTGTGACATTGTTCCTATACTGGATCATCAGTAGCGTCGGAAGCCGTCTGTCCCTCAAAAACTAGGGCCTTCCCTCTGTCCCTCAAAGACTCGACCGGCCGTCCGTCTGTCCCTCAAAGACTCGGTCGGCCGTCCTTCTGTCCCTCAAAGACTCGGTCGGCCGTCCGTCTGTCCCTCAAAGACTCGGTCGGCCGTCCGTCTGTCCCTCAAAGACTCGGTCGGCCGTCCGTCTGTCCCTCAAAGACTCGGTCGGCCGTCCGTCTGTCCCTCAAAGACTCGACCAGCCGTCCGTCTGTCCCTCAAAGACTCGACCAGCCGTCCGTCTGTCCCTCAAAGACTCGGCTTGGAAACCAGACATAGCCCTAAAGCATCCATGAACTGGAGGAGAAATGCTGGGATTCTGGTTCTGCTGGTTCTGGTGGCTCTGCCTGATGGGTGACACCTCACAGCTGCCTGTTGCATCATCATTCAGTTAGCTAAACTAGTTAAACTCGTGGATGTTCTGCAGCTGACTGAACGGCGAGCAGCTGATCTCCTGCAGCTCCGATAAGAACAACTGGAAGAAGTTTAGAAAAACATCTCAATGATCAGGAAACGCCTTCAGAGTCTGAGGAGCTAGTTACCAACAGCTGGTTAATAACATCTGGTTACTGACAGCTAGTTAATGACAGGTGATACCAACAGGCGGTTAAGGACAGATGTTACTGGCAGTTTGTTAATGGCAGCTAGTTAATGGCATCTGGTTAATGAAATCTAGATAATAACATCTAGTTAATGGCAGATGTTACTGGCAGCTAGTTAATGACAGCTGGTTAATGGCAGCTAATTAATGAAAGCTAGATAACCAGCAGCTAGTTAATGACATCTGGTTAGTGATAGCTAGGTAATGGCACCAGGTTAATGACAGCTAGTCAATGGCATCTGGTTAATGACAGCTAGTTAATGAAAGCTAGATACCAGCAGCTAGTTAATGACACCTGGTTAATGACAGCTAGGTAATGACACCAGGTTAATGACAGCTAGTTAATGAAAGCTAGATACCAGCAGCTAGTTAATGACACCTGGTTAATGACAGCTAGTCAATGGCATCTGGTTAATGACAGCTAGTTAATGAAAGCTAGATACCAGCAGCTAGTTAATGACACCTGGTTAATGACAGCTAGGTAATGACACCAGGTTAAAGGAATAGTACACCCAAAACATGATTAGCCTTCATTTTCTACTCACCCCCATGCTGAACAACACTCTGGAGTACTTTTTTGATATCTCAAATGCATCTGGAGATCTGGGAGGCTTCTTGCTGTCTGCTGACATTCAAATAATGGAGGTCTATGGTGACCGAGACAGAAAGGTCCATAAAAGTCCAGAAAAAACGTGTCAATATTCCTCCATACTGCTCGTCCAATGTAATCCAAGTATCCTGAGTGGGTAGAATCCAGAATTTACTCGAAACGAAGTCATTTAGAATGTTTTTAGAGCATAAACAGTAGTGTATAGGATTTCCTGAAAGCGCCCCCATGCGCGCTCACGATTCTACGGAAGCCGGCAGACCAAACCGGAAGAAAGTGCGCATTCAGCGTCTGGTCTGCCGATAATGCAAGCGTAGAAGAAGAAATGTGCTGTTTACCTGTGCAAAGAAAGAAACAACGAAAGAAAAATGTCTGAGGACTTCAGTGTTGAGGAAGAGCATGAGTTCTTTGCCAAGCTGAATGCGCTGGTTTGGTCTGCCGGCTTCCGTAGAATCGTGAGCGCGCATGGGGGCGCTTTTAGGAAATCCTATACACTACTGTTTATGCTCTAAAAACATTCTAAATGACTTCGTTTCGAGTAAATTCTGGATGCTACCCACTCAGGACACTTGGAATACATTGGACGAGCAGTATGGAGGAATATTGACACGTTTTTTGTGGACTTTTATGGACCTTTCTGCCTCGGGCGCCATAGACCTCCATTATTTGAATGTCAGCAGACAGCAAGAAGCCTCCCAGATCTCCAGATGCATTTGAGATATCAAAAAAGTACTCCAGAGTGTTGTTCAGCATGGGGGTGAGTAGAAAATGAAGGCTAATCATGTTTTGGGTGTACTATTCCTTTAATGACAGCTAGTTAATGAAAGCTAGATACCAGCAGCTAGTTAATGACACCTGGTTAATGACAGCTAGTCAATGGCATCTGGTTAATGACAGCTAGTTAATGAAAGCTAGATACCAGCAGCTAGTTAATGACACCTGGTTAATGACAGCTAGTTACTGGAAGCTAGTTACCACCAACTTGTTAAAGAGAGATGGTTACCAGCAGCTAGTTAATGAGAGATGGTCAGCAGCAGGAGCAGCTAATGTCCTCTGGTTAAGGGACCAGAACCCCTCTGATGAAGATGATGGACTATGATGAAGACCACAACCTGGTTCCTTTATAATGGACCTGCTGGTGAAGGCCCAGCAGAACCTTCTGCTCCTCATGTCTTCACCTATTGGGCCAGGTTCTGATGAAGACCACCCCGTGATAAAGACCAACCTAGGATAAAGACTACCCCAACATGAAGACCACCCAGCGATGAAGGCCCTACTCACCCACTTTGTCCACGCCAAACTTGTGTCCCGCCACCTGGTGGGACAGCGGGACGCAGCCGTTCAGGTGGGCGGGCTGGTCCTTGGTGGTGGCGCCGTCCTCCGCAGTACCGGAGCCAGGGTTCCGGTCCAGTTTGTCGGACTCCATGGCTTTAGCTCCGGACATGTTCAGAACCTTCGGTTCGGTTCGGCCCATGCAGCAGCAGTCTGACAGCCGTCGGTCAAACGCGTCACGCCTCGCGCTGTCATTCCCAAAGCCACGGTTGTGACGCGGATGAGCCGCGCGGGGCGGTCAGGTAGACCGGAAGCGCAGGTAGCAAAGCACCGAACCGGAGGACAAGCTCATTTGATTCTCATTTCTGGGCAAAATAAATACTTCCTGGACACTTCCTGCTGCCGCGCACGAGCGCAGGGCCGCGGTCCACTTCCGCTTCTTTCCTACAAAATAAAAGCAGTAAAGAACAGTAGCGACAATAAAAAACAGGAACAATAACTATAATAATAATAACGACATCAGTAGGCTAATTATATTTATAAGATTTTCCTACATGTGGTTTATCAAAACTAATCATTAATTCAAAAACTCGTTGGTTGAGCATCTCTTGAGCTGAAAATCCCATTAATTAGCTGGATCACTTCCTGTTGACTTAGTTTATCACCTGGTGAACTTTGGGCTGAGGAGGAGTCATCAAGTCATCTCCATGTCCCCCTCCTCTGTATGTGGGTCGGTCCACCATGAAGACCTGGACCTCATCATCAATGATTCAAAGGCTGCTCCAGGTTCTGTTGAGCCCAGTTTCCAGCATGTCGGAAGGACAGAATCTGGGACAGGGAGCCTGGTTTAAGAGACAGAATCAAATCATAGATATTGTGAGGCTAGATGCTGTGAAATGTAGATGTATTTATTCCAGAGTTAAATGTTGATTTTACAGTGGTGGATTCATTGTGTTCAACAGCAGGAGGCCAAACCTGTCCCACAGGGTAAACATCAGGAGATCCATCAGCAGCTGCTGCTGTTTAACGTGGTAAACAGGTGGTTGTCATGGTAACGGTGTTCTTCCTCATAGCTAAAGTGCCATAGATCATCAGCAACCAGATCAGGTGAGATGTTCAGACAAAGGAACAAAAAGCAGTGAGCTAAGCTCCGCCTCCTGTAACACCTGGATGGAGGCCGTCCAGCAGCCGAGCCACAGACCTGCTGGTTAGGGTTTGGAACTCACAACCTTCTGTGTTCAGGTTTGTTCAGCCAATAATAAATCTAACCTTTGTTTGCAGAAAACTGCAGCAGATCTTCTCTGCTGTGGCCCTGGATGAGGGCCCCATAAGGGTATAATGGCTAGAAAATCTGAACCCTGTGAATGAAAGAGACCTGATCCAAACTTTCACCTGTTTTCAGACACATTGTCTGTTGAGTTTCAGAGCTCAGGAGTTTATCATCAGACAATGCGTTCATTTAGGGTGGAGTCACATGGGCATAGCTGTTTTTAGAAACATGCTGGCAGACCATTATGCAAACAGGCTGCAAGTCTAGAAACTTTGTTTGCTTGATGAGGTCAGACAGGAGGTGAAGGAAGGAGACATCAGTGGCTGGTTTCCATCAGGAACAGGAGAGATTCAGGATTTGAATCCCAAATGTTGCAGGAGGAGAAAAAACAGTCAGTCAATCAGTAAATCATTCTAGGAAACAATCAAATCAGAAAATATAACCCTGAAACGACACATTAAAATAATTCCAGAAACCAGGAAAGGAACTTCTCATCTGAAACTGTGATAAAATCAAATGAATTATTTTATTTCTTCTGTTGTCAAAGTTTCATTTCAGCCCATAAAGTCTGTGGAGTAAAAGTTTTGGACCATTTTTATTTGCAACATTCTAATTCTAATTTGGTAGAATTTCGTTTTTTGCTTTGCACATAATCTCTATTTTAATATAATCCAAGTCATTGAATTTTAGTCATTTAAGGAAGAAACTAATAAATTGGTCAGAAAAAGAAACTATGAATTTCAAATGCACCTTTTTTAATGTAATTTGGTCAAAGGCGGGGTCGTTACAGGTGGAGCTCCTCTTGGTCCAATCAGGAGGAGCGGATCCCTTCATGCAGATGCCAGATTGTTCCTCCTCATTCAGTTCAAACCAGGATGTGGTTCTCAGAGTTCCCGCCTCGCTGTTCCTGGACTCCTGAGTGTTGATGACCTAAAAAAAATCCTTCCAACGCGATGCTTTGTTCATTATTCAGCAGAACAGATGCTATGGCAGCCCCAAAACATCAGAATAACAGTAATGAGTGCAATATTGTCAAAATAAAGTTTTTTGTTTTACTCATTCAATACTTTTAGATTATTAAAATGGTTCCTACCAAAAATAATAAAAGTTGATGTCATGAACTGATTGTTGAAAAGAAGATATTCATTATTTATCTCCTGGAAAACTTGAATTCTAAATGATAAATTTTTCTGGGACTCATTTGATCCTTTAGAGTTCATTCAGTCTTTTTCTATCATTGCTGATCAAACATCTACATCTCAAATTTCTACTAGATGAATATTTGGGTGGTAGTTATTTTTATTTAAAAAAATAGGACTTTATTCACTGTCTCTGGTTTAAGGCGGGTTCTTTGTCGGCTAATTTAGGTACTTTAAACAATAAATTATTAAATTAATATTTAATTCAGAAAGATAAATAGAGAAGAGACCTCACAGCATTCAATGCAGGTCCAGCAGATTCTGCAGCAGTTTCTTCCACGCCGCCATCAGACTGATGAACTGTTGAGAAAACTCTAAATCACAGACTCTGCATCACACTGATGACACCAAACCAAACACACTGCAGATTTGCTCCATATACAGGTGCTGGTCATAAAATTAGAATATCATGAAAAAGTAGATTGATTTCAGTAATTCCATTTAAAAAGTGAAACTTGTATATTATATTCATACATTACATACAAACTCATATATTTCAGATGTTTATTTTGTTTAATTTTGATGATTACAAATGACAACAAATGAAAATCTCAAATTCATCATATCAGAAAATTAGAATATTGTGAAAAGGTTCAAAATTGATGGCCCCTGGTGCCACACTCTAATCAGCTAATTAACTCAAACCACCTGCAAAAGCCTTTAAATGGTCTTTCAGTCTAGTTCTATAGGCTACACAATCATGGGGAACACTGCTGACTTGACAGTTGTCCAAAAGACGACCATCGACACCTTGCACAAGGAGGGCAAGACACAAAAGGTCATCGCTAAAGAGGCTGGCTGTTCACAGAGCTCAGTGTCCAAGCACATTAATAGAGAGGCGAAGGGAAGGAAAAGATGTGGTCGAAAAAAGTGTACAAGCAAGAGAGATAACCGCACCCTGGAGAGGATTGTGAAACAAAACCCATTCAAAAATGTGGGGGAGATTCACAAAGAGTGGACTGCAGCTGGAGTGAGTGCTTCAAGAACCACCACACACAGACGTATGAAAGACATGGGTTTCTGCTGTCGCATTCCTTGTGTCAAGCCACTCTTGAACCACAGACAGCGTCAGAAGCGTCTTGCCTGGGCTAAAGAGAAACAGGACTGGACTGCTGGTGAGTGGTCCAAAGTCATGTTCTCTGATGAAAGTAAATTTTGCATTTCCTTTGGAAATCAAGGTCCCAGAGTCTGGAGGAAAAGAAGAGAGGCACTTCATCCACGTTGCTTGAAGTCCAGTGTAAAGTTTCCACAGTCAGTGATGGTTTGGGGTGCCATGTCATCTGCTGGTGTTGGTCCATTGTGTTTTCTGAGGTCCAGGGTCAACGCAGCCACATACCAGGAAGTTTTAGAGCACTTCATGCTTCCTGCAGCTGACCAACTTTTTGGAGATGCAGATTTCATTTTCCAACAGGACTTGGCACCTGCACACAGTGCCAAAGCTACCAGTACCTGGTTGAAGGACCATGGTATCCCTGTTCTTAATTGGCCAGCAAACTCTCCTGACCTTAACCCCATAGAAAATGTATGGGGTATTGTGAAGAAGAAGATGCAATACACCAGACCCAACAATTCAGAAGAGCTAAAAGCCACTATTAGAGCAACCTGGGCTATCATAACACCTGAGCAGTGCCACAGACTGATCGACTCCATGCCACGCCGCATTGCTGCAGTAATACAGGCCAAAGGAGGCCCAACTAAATACTGAGTGCTGTACATGCTCATACTTTTCATGTTCATACTTTTCAGTTGGCCAACATTTCTATAAATCCTTTGTTTTTATTGGTCTTCAGTAATATTCTAATTTTCTGATATGATGAATTTGAGATTTTCATTTGTTGTCATTTGTAATCATCAAAATTAAACAAAATAAACATCTGAAATATATGAGTTTGTATGTAATGTATGAATATAATACACAAGTTTCACTTTTTAAATGGAATTACTGAAATCAATCTACTTTTTCATGATATTCTAATTTTATGACCAGCACCTGTATATTAATGCTCTGAACTTCCAGATCAATGTGTTTTTTTTTCTCCCACACTGTTTACATTTGATCACTGCTGCACTTTATGGAATGGAAATGTTCATTTGCTGTCTGGAAAGCTGTGCTAAACAAAATGTAGTTTTGTACACACTCTGTGTACAAAGTGAAAATAAAAGTAGTCTAAGTTAGCCTTCATTGAAGTGTGTTGTCTCTGACAGCAGCTTGGTCTGACCAAAGATGGCTGCTCTGTCCGCAGACCTCTCACGCGATGATGCGGGGTCTATCCAACATCTGTCTCAAACATTGAAACATTCAGGCATCCATGATGTTCCTATTAACTCTCTGGTGTGATGATGATGATGTGTGTGAAGACTCTTCATCTCACCCTGTCCTCTTTCTCTTCAGCTGTTGCTCCGATCATCTCCACATCTTCTGCTCTCTAACGGGTCATCAGCTGTACGGCAGAAGATTTAAGCTTTTAGATAAATATCTAAATTCAGTTCAATTTGAAACTTTCCTTTTTTAATTTTATTTGATCAGCAGCTTTCAGGGTTTCCATATTCTGCACCAGGATGCTAAACCAACCTCTACCACCACGTGGCGCCTGCTCACAACAAGGCTGCTGCTTTTCCCGCCAAGAAGAAGACTGAGGATGAGGAGCTGGTGAGGAAGAAGCTGCGGTTTGATGATGGAAACTAAATGATTCAGATCTTTTTGTTTCTGCTGCTTTCGAAAAGCAGAGATTATTTTTCTTCCAGTGATAAAAAGGACCGAGTCCGAACCACAGACAGTTTCCGGTTCTGAAGCAGGTTTTCAAAGATGGCAGAAAAGAAAGCAGCTTTGAGCCGCAGATTGTAGGAAATAATGAGCGAGTCTGAGAGGCCAGCCGGGCCGGAGCGGAGCGGAGCCCCGGAGCACAGCCGGACCTGGAGCCTGGGCTCCGGCGGTCCGAGGGGGAGGCTGCCCTCCCTCAGAACCAGAGACCTGACGCTAGGGGGCGCACCAAGGAAGGCCAAGGTGAGGACTGAGTGAGAAGAAGGAGCGTCTAATCTAGACTGCGGTGAAGTTAGTTTGACGTTGGACAGACTTTCGCTCCGGTTAAACCGCTCCTTCCTCAGGGAAAACCTCCCCTTTGCTCCGGGTACACTGCGACCGAAAGAACACTTCAAGTGCACCCTTATTATAGACTTTACAGTAAAAACACACTACATTGTGTACAGACTTCCTGTTTTCAAAATAAAAATGAAGGCCTAGATTTTGAAGCCAAGAAGCTAACTAAATATTGATATTTATCATATTTACAAAAAATTATACATATTTAGAGATTTCATATTAGAACTAAATGGTGCATCTTGTTAAACCAGCCTAGTACCATGAATTCTGATAGATTTTGTGTCAGTCCATCAAAAAACCTATTTAGCTAAACTGTTAATATCTACACAAATATATATATAAAAAATTAAATGTATAAAAAAATATTAGAAACTATTAAGAGACTTGAAATGTAAAAATAAAAAAGGCATTACTCCTGAAGCCAGTGGAGAACTATGATCCAACACTAATTTTGAGTCTATTCATCACATAACCTGGAAGCTATTGAGCAAAAATCCTAATATTCTATATAAAAATTTAATTTAAAAAAAAGCAGTTAAAAAATATATTTCTGTAGAACCAGTTTCTCTTTTATTTATTTACATAACAGACATTTCCAGTTTTTCTCACGGGTGTCTTCGATGTCCTTGCTCCTCATTGACAGACATGAAGTGTGGAACCACCTGTCGCATTTCTCACATTATATGTTTATTGAAAAAACAGTACATATTTCATATATTTTAATGTTTGTATATATCAATATTTGACATTGAAACATATTTTCATGGCTGTAATCTATCACAACATTAAAGGGGTGATGGAATGCAGAGTTTCCATTGTCATAGATGAATAACGATAGTTTAGTGGGTGAAATGGACGTAGAGAGAAGTTCAAACCCATCAACACCTCCTTTCTCTGCAAATCTCACTATTCTAAACTTCCATCATAAAACAGTGAATCCAAACGAAGCACCGAGTTGACGTAAACTCTGGGCTGTTGCCTTATTTGGTTCTGGCCTGGACTTTTGTCACACCCCAGCCCACTGGTTCACGGCCCAAGAACATGAATAGAGGTAGATGGAAGACAGCAGTTTAGCCCACAGTTGGGTTTATTTCTACAAGAATTACAAAGCAGGAAGTTTCTCTATTGAAAATTAACCAGAACCACAGGAGGAAACACAGCGTTTCAGGCTGACTGGAGAAAAGGGAACATTTTCAGAGTCTTCCCAAGGATCCGAGGACTCGACAGGCATGGATTATTTCAGTCTATCAGAAGATCCCTGCAAAGTTTGATGCTCAGCTGTTCATTTGCTTGAAGCATTTTATTAAAGACAGCTTTCACAATCTTGGACAGTTCAAAGCAGGATCTGCTAAACTTCTTTTACTGAAACGAGGGGCTGTTCCCACCGTAAGGCCATCACAACCGCAAGCTGGAAGGATGATTCTGTCACTAAGCTGTTGATAGCAATGCTAGCATAAATATGGTGACCAGATTTGAGTTTCTGAAAAGGACACTTTTTGGGCCGCTGACTGGACCGATCCTCCCAGGACCCGGTCTACCTGGACCAGATCCTCCCAGGACCCGGTCTACCTGGACCAGATCATTCCAGTTCTGTGTAAATAAGGAGACCAGAAGACTTGTGGCTGTGGATTCAAACATGTCAAGCCTTCGGCTCTGTTGCTTAGCAAACATATCAGTTATCACACAAAGCAGGAAAGAATGAATACCAAACTTTTCACTGCTGTTTCTATTTATTTTTTTTATTGTAAAGTGAAGAAAGACTACACTCATAAGTATACAGTGTATTAAAACTATTTAATAACTTTTTTTTTTGAAGGGTATGGCGACCTGACCTTAAATCGTATTTTTTGTAAATGACTAAAGAGATACATGCCTTTCGAGGGATTTAAAGTGTTTTCTTTTTAATACAAAACTGAAGGGCTAAACTAAAGGGATGCAGCAGGATCCTCTCCTGAAGTTAGGAAGGTTTGCAGGATGTGATGCAGGGCGATGAAAGCAGGAAAGACCAATCAGCTGGTTTTCCTTCCATAAATACTTTAATCTGACTGGATGATCTGGTTGGACTGGATCTATGGAGTGACCTGAGATGACAGGATGTAGGAAACCCAAATTGCTGATGGAGGAATAAAATCTATTAAAATCAACACTTTTTTAAAATGACTTTGATTTCTAAACCCTTCTGATGCTGAAGCCGTTTGGTCTGCAGGTTCTCACCTTGGTTCTGTTCTCTGTAGAAAACCTGGGAGCCCAACGTCCACGCCGTGAGGAGGAGCAGAGAGGAGTGAGTGATCTGCAGCACGTAAAACCTCCACGGCTCTGAAGGCCGCCTCTGATCAAGCTGCCCTCCACAGGTTGCGAGCCCAATTCCCAGCGGCTCCTAAGAAGGAGAAGACTGAAAGAAGCTGGAAGAGAAGAGAGAGCCGAGGAGGGAGGAGAAGCCGACCTCAGACCATCCAGTCCCACTCCATCTTTGAACACCATCCTGCCTCCTCCAGCTTCAAAACAGGTCCGTCTCCGTCTCTCTGTCCCCGAGGACCACAGCCAGAGCTCATGGCGCCGTTCTCCCCTCAGGCCGATCCGGTACCAGAAGTTTCCAGAACTCCTCCTCATCTCCTGGCCGGCTGGTGAAGAAGGAAGGAGAAGCTTCATGGGAGGATGAAGGTCGTCTTCTCAGCAGGCTGCAGCGAGATGATGTGAGAGCTTCCCAGATGTTCCCTCAGACATCAGATCCCTGCAGGATGGACGCTCTGGGCTGAACCAGAACATCCTTCTGCTTCAGTCAGAACCGGTCCAAGCGGACCTCTAACAGGATGTTTGCTTCCTCTCCAGTTCCTGGTAGATCCAGAGCTGAGGAACGATTCCAGCCTGCAGCCCGTCAGCCTGCCTCAGTACCGACCCAGCAGCATCTCCATGTCCACCGCCTCAGGTGAGAGACGTGTCCCCGTGTAGTCCTGCAGGTTTTAGACGTCTAGAACCTGCAGGACGGCGGTGGACGACCAGGACGGTCCAATCAGTCGTCCTCATGCCGCCTACAGAAGCGGAGCCATTGGGTTCAGATTGTCTAAAACCTTAATTTTTTGGTGTGTTTGTTCAAACTTCTACTGATCTTCTGATCAGAGACTCAGCAGCGGATTGGATGAAGGAACCCAGCTGGTTCTGCTCAGCGGCTCTTTGACGCGTTGAAGGATCTGGAACCAGGATGAAAAGCAGAACCGAGCCTAAAGGTTCTGCTCTGATAGCTGCTGCTTAGCCTGATGTCCTGGTTGACTTTGCAGGTCCAGAACCGGCGCCGTCTCGAGGAGCAGAGCTCCGGACCGCGCCGTCCGAACCTCCTGAGCAGCCGTCTCTGGTGAAGAAGCTGCAGGACCTCAGTGTGGCTGAAGGAGAGCAGATATTCTTCATGCAGTTCCCAGACGGCCTCCCTGCTGCAGAGGAAGCAGCTCATGGAGGAAGATCAGAGAAGGAAGGGAAGGTGAGGAACCACACCTGCTGCTAGCTGCTCCACAGCTGGAGCAGCTTCTCACCCAGAACCATCCAACCCCAACCTGTCCCCAGAGGTCACCTTCATCCCTGGTCTTCCTGCTGATCATCTTCCTCCTCTTCCTCTGCAGCTCCTTCAGCTCCATCAGCTCCCTGAAGGATTTCTGGGGAAACTGCAGATCAGGAAATCTGGGAAGGTTGAGCTGAAACTCGGAGATGTTCTCCTGGACGTGTCAGAGGGAGCAGCTTTCTCCTTCCTGCAGGTAACAGCTTCAGTCTAGATCTAGTCTTTCTAGGTTGATCAAACGTTTCCATGACAACCGTTTTACAGCTGTAGTAACTGAGATTTTGTTTCTGACCTTCTGTCAGAAGCTGGTATAAACCGGTTCCAGCCCTGTCCTCCAGTGGCGGCGCTCCAACCTCTGACTGGGATTCTGCTTCCTGTTTTTCAGCAACTGGTGTCGGTCCGTCTGACTGCTGGGAGGACTGGGAACCTGGTGGTGCTGGGAAACGTCCAACACAAGCTGGTTCTCTCTCCTGACTTCCAGTCCTTACTGGATCAGGCAGCAGCAGCTCAGCCGTGAGGCCCGGTGGAGCCAGGACTGTTCTGGACCAGCAATCCCTCTGAGGACCATGTTTTATACCTTTAACTTATTCAATAAATGGATTTCATTATTCTGATCCACCTCACTGGTACCGGGTTTCATCTTCAGAACTGCCTTTAATTCTCTGTGGTAGAAAAGCTGATTTGGACTAATTCTGATAATCAACCAGCTGGTTCTGTCCAGTGGGTCAAACAGACCCGGTTCCTAATATTGCAGAACCTTTAGGCTGCGTTCGCATCGAAGGCGTCAAAGCGTCTGATTCACATCCAGAGTCTATGGGGGACGGCGGAGCGTCAACCAATCAGAAAAGCTGCTCCAGGAGTTTATTAGGGAGACAGACTCTACCTGCAAGCTGCCATGAAGAATAAATAATTATAATAAAGGTTAAATAAAGCAGGTAGGATGGATTGTTCTGTAGAAGGAATCAGAGAGCAGCTCTGATCATTATTGCTGCACTAAAACATTTTTATGAACTATGGAGAAACAGTTTCTAAATCCCCAAATTAACTAGAAATTTTAAAATATTGGATTGTTTATTCTGGTTCTTCCAGTTTTTCCCACAAACCTTAAAAACTTTTTCTATTCACATCCAGCAGGAAATCCCCCCCAGGCTGGCTGAAATCAGTGGGGATTTCCAGCGCTGCCTCCTGGCACTATGTTGGAGCTCCCAACAAGAACTGCAGATTATAGAGGGATTATAATCCTGATGATCAGAGGATGTTTGGAGGAGAACTTTCTCGCTTAAAAACCTTTTCAAACTATTTTTCCAGCTCATAAAGTAAATAAAGCTGAGCTGCTCTCTAGCTGGAAGCTACAGAACGAGCAGATAAACAACCAGAGCGCCGAGCGTCCGGACACCTGAAGCTTCCAGAGCATCGTTGGAACCAGAGTCCAGACTTCTGAGTTTGAGCATTTTTGAAGTCTCTGGTGTGAACGCAGCATTAGTCTAGATCTGCAGCACATAGAAAGTAATCTAATTCATTAGAGTTCTGAGTCTAGAGGTTTGAATGAAGCCAGAGAATGAGAACCAATCAGAATCTGTGATACGTGGTAACCAGGGTTACCTCCAACCCAACATGGACGCCCCAGAACCCCCATCCTGAGGCTCCGCCCATCCTGAGGCTCCACCCATGAAACCACCCAACTACAGAGCAGCTGCTTTCAGAAGAAAAATCCAGTCAGGTTCTGGAAAACAGACCTAAAGACGGTTTATTTTAGAAACAGCGCTGTACAAAAAGAAGAAGAGAGTGGCGTCCAGGGGAGCAGAACCAGCCACTGGGTCCAGAGTTCTGCTCCTCCTGGATGGACCCACCTCTGATCACTTCTTAGAAGGTCCCTTTTTCACAGTTTTTGCAGACTTGGTCTTAGTAGCAGCTTTAGACCTCCGTGATGGAGAGGTCTTCTTTACCACTTGGGTCTTCTTGGTGTCCTTCACTGCAGGAACTTTTTTCTTCCTGGGCCGGGTCTGCTCCCGGATCAGATCTTCTCGTCCAATGTCTGCCATGTGATCTTCCCAGGACTTGATCTCGTTCTTGTAACGGATCTTGTCATCTTCAGCCAGCTGGATGTAGACCTGAGATGTAGAGAGCTGATCAGAACATCTAGCTACCCTTCACTGGGCCACAGAGACATGAAGATCCTTCAGAACCAAACCTGTTTCTGGTGACTGAACAAGTTCCTCCAGTCCTCCAGCAGAGACTTCATTTTGGCCTGAAACAAACAGCAGAGGTTCATCTGGGTTCTTGTGTTTGGAAAACATCTACAGAAGGTTCCTGGTCTGGGTCAGAACCGGTCCTGTCAACAATTAAACTGGTTCTCTAAGTGGGGAAGCACTGCTACTGCTGGGGGGCTACTGGAACCTAAAGGACCCATTTGGAGAAGAGATCTCCACCTCCAGACCTCTGGGTCCAGGCCCGGTCCTCGGGGTCCGCGGTCCTGGATGTTCTAAATGTGTCGCATGTGAATCAAATTTAATTTCCTCCTAAGAAGCTGTTCATCACCCATTTCTTTTAGTCTGGTGTGTGGAGGCAGGAGAACATCTAGAACATGCTGGGACCCTGAAGACCAGGAAGGAGGAACTCTGCTCCACAAAAGGTTCCTTCAGTTTCTAACGAGCTGATGGTGACGAACAGTTCTTAACATTTTCTGGATCAGAGAATAGGCAGTCAGAACCTCGGAACATCCGATGAGGTCAGAACCTGGGAATGCCAGATGTTCCATCATGAACCTTATTTCTTCGGTTCTGTTCAGGCTAGGCTAGCTCAGCTTTTCTTTGATCCCTGCAGGGTTCCTGGGCGGCCTGGGCCCAGGAACCCTGCAGGATCCAGCTCAGTTCTTTCTGGTACTGATACACATGTGGAAGGTTCTGCCCACCTGGGTGCTGGTTCCTCTGGCCTCCTGGAAGTGCTCAGACATGAAGATGTTGAATGGAGATCTGGGCCGTTTGGGTTTCCCAAGGACCGTCAGTTCCTGAAACAGACACATTGACACGTTGGTTCTGGTTCTGGCAGGAGACAATCAGACCCGACCGATACCGACAGAGGTTCTCTCCTCAGGGAGCTAAATGTGGACAGATCCACCCAGACGGCTACATGATGCTGCTGATCCTGTGGAACACAGGAAGGTTCCTGATCCAGACCAAACTGCTGCCAGAGGGGACGGACACCAACTGGTGAAAGGCGCTGCTCCTCCTGGTTCTGATCAGCTGCCAGCAGATCAAAGGTTTCAGAAGCAAACTCTGGTTCAGCTCAGTGTTCCACTGTATGGCCGTTTACTGATACGTTATTTAAAACATTCCCGTGTTCAGAGGATCGCGGCTACAAGCGGAGCTCTGAGGCTAACCGCTCCAGGGTCAGGGCTAGCATCAGCTCGTGTGCGGCACTCGGGGCTAGCGTCGGCTCGTGTGCGGCACTCGGGGCTAGCGTCGGCCCGTCTGCGGCACTCGGGGCTAGCGTCGGCCCGTCTGCGGCACTCGGGGCTAGCGTCGGCCCGTCTGCGGCACTCGGGGCTAGCGTCGGCCCGTCTGCGGCACTCGGGGCTAGCGTCGGCCCGTCTGCGGCACTCGGGGCTAGCGTCGGCCCGTCTGCGGCACTCGGGGCTAGCGTCGGCCCGTCTGCGGCACTCGGGGCTAGCGTCGGCCCGTCTGCGGCACTCGGGGCTAGCGTCGGCCCGTCTGCGGCACTCGGGGCTAGCGTCGGCCCGTCTGCGGCACTCGGGGCTAGCGTCGGCCCGTCTGCGGCACTCGGGGCTAGCGTCGGCCCGTCTGCGGCACTCGGGGCTAGCGTCGGCCCGTCTGCGGCACTCGGGGCTAGCGTCGGCCCGTCTGCGGCACTCGGGGCTAGCGTCGGCCCGTCTGCGGCACTCGGGGCTAGCGTCGGCCCGTCTGCGGCACTCGGGGCTAGCGTCGGCCCGTCTGCGGCACTCGGGGCTAGCGTCGGCCCGTCTGCGGCACTCGGGGCTAGCGTCGGCCCGTCTGCGGCACTCGGGGCTAGCGTCGGCCCGTCTGCGGCACTCGGGGCTAGCGTAGGCCCGTCTGCGGCACTCGGGGCTAGCGTCGGCCCGTCTGCGGCACTCGGGGCTAGCGTCGGCCCGTCTGCGGCACTCGGGGCTAGCGTCGGCCCGTCTGCGGCACTCGGGGCTAGCGTCGGCCCGTCTGCGGCACTCGGGGCTAGCGTCGGCCCGTCTGCGGCACTCGGGGCTAGCGTCGGCCCGTCTGCGGCACTCGGGGCTAGCGTCGGCCCGTCTGCGGCACTCGGGGCTAGCGTCGGCCCGTCTGCGGCACTCGGGGCTAGCGTCGGCCCGTCTGCGGCACTCGGGGCTAGCGTCGGCCCGTCTGCGGCACTCGGGGCTAGCGTCGGCCCGTCTGCGGCACTCGGGGCTAGCGTCGGCCCGTCTGCGGCACTCGGGGCTAGCGTCGGCCCGTCTGCGGCACCCGGGGCTAGCGTCGGCCCGTCTGCGGCACCCGGGGCTAGCGTCGGCCCGTCTGCGGCACCCGGGGCTAGCGTCGGCCCGTCTGCGGCACCCGGGGCTAGCGTCGGCTCGTCTGCGGCACTCGGGGCTAGCGTCAGCTCGTCTGCGGCACTCGGGGCTAGCGTCAGCTCGTGTGCGGCACTCGGGGCTAGCGTCAGCCCGTCTACGGCACTCGGGGCTAGCGTCAGCTCGTCTGCGGCAATCGGGGCTGGCGTCAGCTCGTGTGCTGCACTCGGGGCTGGCGTCAGCTCGTCTGCGGCAATCGTGGCTAGCGTCAGCTCGTCTGCGGCAATCGGGGCTGGCGTCAGCTCGTCTGCGGCAATCGGGGCTGGCGTCAGCTCGTGTGCTGCACTCGGGGCTAGCGTCAGCTCGTCTGCGGCAATCGGGGCTGGCGTCAGCTCGTGTGCTGCACTCGGGGCTAGCGTCAGCTCGTCTGCTGCACTCGGGGCTAGCGTCAGCTCGTCTGCGGCAATCGGGGCTGGCGTCAGCTCGTCTGCGGCACTCGGGGCTAGCGTTAGCTCGTCTGCGGCATTCAGGGGCTAATGTTAGCTCGTCTGCAGCAGCCTAAGAGCTCCTGCAGGGAAGGTCAGGGTGTCTCCAGGCTTCGCCAGGACTGGCTAGGACTGTTTTTTCTAGACTGGGGAGGAACCACAAAGACTAGCGCAGACGAAGGGAGCAGCTTCCTCCTACCCTCTTCTTCCGAATGGCCTTCCTCTTGGCCATCCTCTGCCTCCTTTCCATAGCTTGCTGCTGGAGCTGGGCCGGGGTCAGCTGGGCCTGGTACTTCTGGAAGTCCACCTTGAATTGCTTCATGGCCTGGACAGAGGCCTCCTGGAAAGGCTAAGCAGGACAAGAGAATTTATCTAAGATGGCAGCAGTAGAACACTGCTCCAGAAGATCTCCACCAAAATGGTACCTTCTTCTCCTCTGGGCTTAGCGTCCTCCACTGCTGGGCAATCTTCCTGATGATGTCCACCAGCTTGGTCTCTGGAAACAAAGGGATATCAGACGGTCAGCAGGTCCCTCAGGTCAGAACCAAAACAGGTTCTGCTCACCACCATCAGACCAGGAGAACCTCAGGAGACCGATGGTTCCTGCATCATCACTGAGGAACTCAGACCAAGTTCACACCAAACCTTGAAGATCAGGGGTTCTGACGTTGAAGATTCAGGTTAAAGTTGGACCTGCAGACCAGTAACCTTCTGATTCAACTGAGATGAAGACTGGAAACATTTCCAATGTTCTCTGGATCAAACGTCTGATCCAAGTAGGGATGGGGATCGAAACCCGGTTCCATCAAGGACCCGGTTCCACTTTTTTCAAAACCCGAAAATCAATAACGTTTGGGCTTATCGATACCACTATCGAGTCTGGTCGTTTTTTTTTTTTTTCTCCCGGAGGTCCTGTAACATAATTGTGTGTCCCTCGAGTCGCATCACAGCATTTAAATCTAATCAATCCCAATCACTGCAGCATGTCCACCAATGCTTTGGAATGAAATTGTAAGCAAACAGATATTAAAAGTAAAACAAGTGAAGTCTGGCACTTAACTTTGCTCGCGACTCGAGGATGGCTGAACGGAAAAGACTCCTCCTCCTCCTGCTGCTGCCGCCGCACCACGTCTTAATCATCCACTCAGAGTACCACTGGTTAGCGCGCACACAGACTTTGTAGCTTGTCCGTTCAGTTAAAAATAGTAATTGTGAAATCCGTCTTGTAATCGGAAGCATACAAGCTAGTTAGCTTGAAAAGTAAATAAAGTTTCAGACGTGCTGCGTGATGATGTGTTCAGATTGGCTCAGTAAAACGACAATTAGGTTATCATGATGCGTTCAAGTCTAACGTAAAGAAAACGGGAAATTTTGTTTTTGGTGAGAAACATGAGTAATACATGTATAAGAGAGAAACATGAGTAATACATGCTCTATATATAATTAAACTACTGATGCCAACATTAATTAAAAATTACATTTAATTTAAAATACAATTATTTATTTGTTAAATATTTTCCTAATGACTAAAAACATGATGAAAAGTGACAGTAGACAATACATTAACCAACAATTGTGAAAATATATTCTAGTTAGTTTTATGTCATTTCCAAGTGGCCTATTACATTAGCCATGTTTATTGAAGGCTAGAAACGTTTTTGTTATGCTCACTTGTTAAGCAATAGAAGCAATACCAGTTCTGTTAAAAAAATTTTGTTGCATCGTCTTTCCATCAAATAACAGAAAAGTATCGATAGTGGTATCGATAAAGACTTGGATCGATAAGGAGTATCGATAAAGGTATCGATATCAATAAATATTAACGATCCCCATCCCTAGGTCCAAGGGTGTAACTTTGTAAGGAAAGTTGGTGGGGGACACTATAAGGCAGAGGTCACTGATTAGCGGACCGTGGTCTGGATCCACCTGCTGGCTAATCCGGACCCAACCTGATTTAAAACATTTAGAAATTACTGCATGTTGTCTGACGACAGTGGCTAACGTCACTTGCGCCGCTTCTCCTGTTACCCCGAAATCCCACATCCTCTGTCTCCGCCCCTTTCGTCTGACTTCTTCAGAGCTCGAGGAGAGCAGGAGCGATATTATCATTGAATTGGTTGGAGCAAAACATGCAGAAATGAACGCTTAATTTAATATGATATATAAAAAAAACATCAGCATCCAGCAGATGTGTGGTTTCTGATGGAGATGAGAAATCTGCTTCCTGGTCTGTTGAAGAACCAATAGTTTGCATCCAATCTTTTAAAAAAATGGTGTTAGTTTTTTTGAAATGTATAAGAATTATGCTCTAATTTTTAGTTACCGATCTGTTACTATATTTAAATTTGACAAATCAGATTTTCTCGCCATTCTTTCTCCTGTTTGGTGCGATTGCAATAGCAGATCTTGACCTGGCCGGACCCGGAGCGGAGCCTGCACATTTAGCGGATTCTAACTAAATTCTAAAGGGTTCCCTGGGTTCTAACTGGATTCTAAAGGGTTCCCTGAGTTCTAACTATATTCTAAAGGGTTTCCTGGGTTCTACCTGGATTCCGAAGGGTTCCCTGGGTTCTACCTGGATTCCGAAGGGTTCCCTGGGTTTTAACTGGATTCTAAAGGGTTCTGCTGGGTTCCAACTGGATTCTGAAGGGTTTCCTGGGTTCTAACTAGATTCTAAAGGGTTTACTGGGTTCTAACTGGATTCTAAAGGGTTCCCTGGGTTCTAACTGGATTCTAAAGGGTTCCCTGGGTTCTAACTGGATTCTAAAGGGTTCCCTGAGTTCTAACTATATTCTAAAGGGTTTCCTGGGTTCTACCTGGATTCCGAAGGGTCCCCTGGGTTTTAACTGGATTCTAAAGGGTTCTGCTGGGTTCCAACTGGATTCTGAAGGGTTTCCTGGGTTCTAACTAGATTCTAAAGGGTTTACTGGGTTCTAACTAGATTCTAAAGGGTTTCCTGGGTTCTAACTAGATTCTAAAGGGTTCCCTGGGTTCTAACTGGATTCCGAAGGGTTCCCTGGGTTTTAACTGGATTCTAAAGGGTTTCCTGGGTTCTAACTGGATTCTAAAGGGTTCCCTGAGTTCTAACTATATTCTAAAGGGTTTCCAGGGTTCTAACTAGATTCTAAAGGGTTCCCTGGGTTCTAACTGGATTCCGAAGGGTTCCCTGGATTCTAACTAGATTCTAAAGGGTTTCCTGGGTTCTAACTATATTCTAAAGGGTTCCCTGAGTTCTAACTATATTCTAAAGGGTTTCCTGGGTTCTACCTGGATTCCGAAGGGTTCCCTGGGTTTTAACTGGATTCTGAAGGGTTTCCTGGGTTCTAACTAGATTCTAAAGGGTTTACTGGGTACTAACTAGATTCTAAAGGGTTCCCTGGGTTCTAACTGGATTCTGAAGGGTTTCCTGGGTTCTAACTAGATTCTAAAGGGTTTACTGGGTTCTAACTGGATTCTAAAGGGTTCCCTGGGTTCTAACTGGATTCTAAAGGGTTCCCTGGGTTCTAACTGGATTCTAAAGGGTTCCCTGAGTTCTAACTATATTCTAAAGGGTTTCCTGGGTTCTACCTGGATTCCGAAGGGTCCCCTGGGTTTTAACTGGATTCTAAAGGGTTCTGCTGGGTTCCAACTGGATTCTGAAGGGTTTCCTGGGTTCTAACTAGATTCTAAAGGGTTTACTGGGTTCTAACTAGATTCTAAAGGGTTTCCTGGGTTCTAACTAGATTCTAAAGGGTTCCCTGGGTTCTAACTGGATTCCGAAGGGTTCCCTGGGTTTTAACTGGATTCTAAAGGGTTTCCTGGGTTCTAACTGGATTCTAAAGGGTTCCCTGAGTTCTAACTATATTCTAAAGGGTTTCCAGGGTTCTAACTAGATTCTAAAGGGTTCCCTGGGTTCTAACTGGATTCCGAAGGGTTCCCTGGATTCTAACTAGATTCTAAAGGGTTTCCTGGGTTCTAACTATATTCTAAAGGGTTCCCTGAGTTCTAACTATATTCTAAAGGGTTTCCTGGGTTCTACCTGGATTCCGAAGGGTTCCCTGGGTTTTAACTGGATTCTGAAGGGTTTCCTGGGTTCTAACTAGATTCTAAAGGGTTTACTGGGTACTAACTAGATTCTAAAGGGTTCCCTGGGTTCTAACTGGATTCTGAAGGGTTTCCTGGGTTCTAACTAGATTCTAAAGGGTTTCCTGGGTTCTAACTAGATTCTAAAGGGTTTCCTGGGTTCGAACTAGATTCTAAAGGGTTCCCTGGGTTCTAACTGGATTCCGAAGGGTTCCCTGGGTTTTAACTGGATTCTAAAGGGTTTCCTGGGTTCTAACTAGATTCTAAAGGGTTTCCTGGGTTCTAACTAGATTCTAAAGGGTTCCCTGGGTTCTAACTGGATTCCGAAGGGTTCCCTGGGTTTTAACTGGATTCTAAAGGGTTTCCTGGGTTCTAACTATATTCTAAAGGGTTTCCTGGGTTCTACCTGGATTCCGAAGGGTTCCCTGGGTTTTAACTGGATTCTGGAGGGTTTCCTGGGTTCTAACTAGATTCTAAAGGGTTTACTGGGTACTAACTAGATTCTAAAGGGTTCCCTGGGTTCTAACTGGATTCTGAAGGGTTTCCTGGGTTCTAACTAGATTCTAAAGGGTTTCCTGGGTTCTAACTAGATTCTAAAGGGTTTCCTGGGTTCTAACTAGATTCTAAAGGGTTCCCTGGGTTCTAACTGGATTCCGAAGGGTTCCCTGGGTTTTAACTGGATTCTAAAGGGTTTACTGGGTTCTAACTAGATTCTAAAGGGTTTCCTGGGTTCTAACTAGATTCTAAAGGGTTCCCTGGGTTCTAACTGGATTCCGAAGGGTTCCCTGGGTTTTAACTGGATTCTAAAGGGTTTCCTGGGTTCTAACTGGATTCTAAAGGGTTCCCTGAGTTCTAACTATATTCTAAAGGGTTTCCTGGGTTCTAACTAGATTCTAAAGGGTTCCCTGGGTTCTAACTGGATTCCGAAGGGTTCCCTGGATTCTAACTAGATTCTAAAGGGTTTCCTGGGTTCTAACTATATTCTAAAGGGTTCCCTGAGTTCTAACTATATTCTAAAGGGTTTCCTGGGTTCTACCTGGATTCCGAAGGGTTCCCTGGGTTTTAAATGGATTCTGAAGGGTTTCCTGGGTTCTAACTAGATTCTAAAGGGTTTACTGGGTACTAACTAGATTCTAAAGGGTTCCCTGGGTTCTAACTGGATTCTGAAGGGTTTCCTGGGTTCTAACTAGATTCTAAAGGGTTTCCTGGGTTCTAACTAGATTCTAAAGGGTTTCCTGGGTTCTAACTAGATTCTAAAGGGTTCCCTGGGTTCTAACTGGATTCCGAAGGGTTCCCTGGGTTTTAACTGGATTCTAAAGGGTTCTGCTGGGTTCTAACTGGATTCTGAAGGGTTACCTGGGTTCTAACTGGATTCTAAAGGGTTTCCTGGGTTCTAACTGGATTCTAAAGGGTTCCCTGGGTTCTAACTGGATTCTAAAGGGTTCCCTGGGTTCTAACTGGATTCTAAAGGGTTTCCTGGGTTCTAACTGGATTCTGAAGGGTTTCCTGGGTTCTAACTGGATTCTAAAGGGTTCCCTGGGTTCTAACTGGATTCTAAAGGGTTTCCTGGGTTCTAACTGGATTCTAAAGGGTTCCCTGGGTTCTAACTGGATTCTAAAGGGTTTCCTGGGTTCTAACTGGATTCTGAAGGGTTACCTGGGTTCTGACGAGTCACGATTGGCTTCTGCTGCAGAACGTATCTCATGTATCCATTTAGGGGTCTCTTTGGGGGGCCGCTGGTCTGGGACGTCAGGTACTTCACTGGGTCGAAGATGCTGGTGCATCTAAAAACAGAAAAGATGCAGATTTCTCACATAGCCCTGCTTCATCAGTATCCCTTCAGAATGTGGACCAGGTGAAGGAGAGAGACGGCAGAACCTGGAAGAACCCAGAGCTTTCCTCTGAGCTTCACTGATGGTAGCATTGAAACCATGGAGGGGCAAGAACCCGAACAGAAACACGCAGGGAAAACAGAACAATGAAGAGTCTACATAAAAACATTCTTTAAAGATTTTTTTCATGTATTTTACACAAATTACCTGTTATGCAGGTCCTGCAGAGACAAAGATTGTTTGTGGATTATTCCTCGGTTTGTGTGTGGATTATTCCTGGGTTTGTGTGTGGATTATTCCTGGGTTGTTTGTGGATTATTCCTAGGCTGTTTGTGGATTATTCCTAGGCTGTTTGTGGATTATTCCTGGGCTGTTTGTGGATTATTCCTGGGCTGTTTGTGGATTATTCCTAGGCTGTTTGTGGATTATTCCTAGGCTGTTTGTGGACTATTCCTGGGCTGTTTGTGGATTATTCCTGGGTTGTTTGTGGATTATTCCTGGGCTGTTTGTGGATTATTCCTGGGTTGTTTGTGGATTATTCCTGGGCTGTTTGTGGATTATTCCTGGGTTGTTTGTGGATTATTCCTGGGCTGTTTGTGGATTATTCCTAGGCTGTTCGTGGATTATTCCTGGGCTGTTTGTGGATTATTGCTGGGCTGTTTGTGGATTATTCCTGGGTTGTTTGTGGATTATTCCTGGGTTGTTTGTGGATTATTCCTGGGCTGTTTGTGGATTATTCCTGGGTTGTTTGTGGATTATTCCTGGGCTGTTTGTGGATTATTTCTGGGTTGTTTGTGGATTATTCCTGGGTTGTTTGTGGATTATTCCTAGGCTGTTTGTGGATTATTTCTAGGCTGTTTGTGGATTATTTCTGGGTTGTTTGTGGATTATTCCTAGGCTGTTTGTGGATTATTCCTAGGCTGTTTGTGGATTATTCCTAGGCTGTTTGTGGATTATTTCTGGGTTGTTTGTGGATTATTTCTGGGTTGTTTATGGATTATTTCTGGGTTGTTTGTGGATTATTTCTATGGATTATTTCACTCTAACCTAAATGTGGATCTGCTGATGAATAAATTAAATTCTTCTGACGTCATAAAGCTGCGAGTTCCCGTTGGTTGACTAGATAATTGGTTTTTTGACAAATGTGCGACACTTTTCCTCAGAATACGATAATTTTCTGTCTCTGGTCAGATAATCGCTGCACTGCTTCATTCTGCAGTGAAGGAGCTCAGAAATGAGCGGAATGGGTCCAAATGGACCGAACTTTATTTCCTTCACCGTGGAAATGACCCAGTCAGCTGGTTCCGTCCTCATATCGGACGGTTCTGTTCGCTGGGTTCCCCGCCCTCATCATCATCATCATCATCATCATCATCATCATCATCATCATCATCATCATCATCATCATCATCACCCAAACACAGTTAGCTACCTGACAGGCGTCCTCGCGCACACAGAGCTCAGTGACCTCCCCACGAAGACAGCGGCGGCTGTCAGAAAGCTGAAAGGCGCCATGTTGGATTCCCGCCTCCAGTCGGGATGGTGACCGGAAGCGATTAAGTTCTAAATAAACTTCTAGATTCCAGCTCCTCTCACGCCGCTGCAGCACAGTCTGCACCGACCTCCAACCTGCAGCATCAACGCGCCCACAGCGCCCCGCGATGCATTGTGGGTAATGGTCCTCTTTGAATTCTACGCATTAAAGAGTCATTACCGCCCCCTGGTGTCCAGGGGGACGAATCAGATCCGGCAGAAACACCACCTCCTCCCTCCTCCTGGTACTTTTTTATTTTTTATTGAAGAATCAAAGTATTACAAAGCATATCAAAAAAATTATACAAAGTTGTAAATTGAATATCTTAAGAAGCTAAGCAGAGTATGTATAATATAACAAATAGAATCATACAGAGAACCTATATACAATTAGAAAACAAAAGTAACACATTATAGAACAAAGTAATTAAATAATAAAAATCAACAACAAAAGGACTCTCACTTTAGATATTTAGAGATGGGGTACTTTTTTGAAATCGACACTTATGTATGAAAAATTTGGATTACAAAAAACACATTTTATTATATCAAAATTTTAAAGTGGTAAAGAAGTCTTTCGTAAGATCCAAGTTTGAAAAACCTTCCAAAAAATATTTATGATATTGCACTGAAAAAAAAGATGTTCTGCTGTTTCAATATCTGAAACACAAAATACACAAAAGTTGGTAGTTATGTTAAATTTTCTATGTAAAACATAATTACAGGGGTATATGTCATACATCATTTTGAAATGGATTTCCTTTACTTTCTGTGGAAGTGGAAATGAAAGAGACCTGGTTCTAATTTTCTTTAAAGAGGTATCATCATACTTTTTGAACAAATGTTTTCTTCTTAAGGTTGATGGAAAAACTATTTATGTCAAGGTGGTTCTTATAAATCTATTAGTACATTTTTTGTTAATAAAATCAAAACCGTTTATAGTTAAAGAGGATTCTTTTAGAGCAATTGTTGAATATGTTATTGTACCTTTAATTAGTAGCACCATAGCAGGGGGAATTGCCTTTACAACTTTATTAAATTTAGTTTCTGTACATGTTATTTTGTATTTTTTGATAAAAGCATCATATGATAAAAAGATTCCATCAACTTCCATGAGGTGTAGAATAGACCAGATACCTCTGTCCATCCAATCTTTGTAAAAGAATGATTTTTGTTTAATAGGATACATCTGTTGTTCCAAATCAGGACAGAATGAGGTGAAAAATTATGTTTAAAAATAAGTTTCCAATATTGCAGAGCCTGTTTATGGAAGTCTGATAGTTTTATCGGTAACTTGGAGATTTCAAAGTCACATCTCATCAGGAATGTCACTCCACCAAAAGCATTAAAAATCTTGCAGGGAAAATTATGCCAGAAACTTTCATAATTTTTTATGAAGCCATCTGAGTCTGATGGTACCATTCATTGGGTCAAAATCGATCATATTCAAACCTCCTTCTTCTAAAGACGTAACAACATCAGACCTCCTTATATAATGGCGTCTGTTTCGCCAAATTAAATTAAAGTTGATTTATTTTTTTAATCATTTTATCAGATACATGCAATGAGTAAGCTGGGTAAATGAGCCCAGATAAACTTTCCATTTTTGTCAATAAAATACGTCCAAAAATAGATCAATCTCTCTGGAGCCAACTGTTGAGAATGACTTTACCTTTCTCCATTTTAGTTTCTATATTTGATGCTTCACTTGATTTTTTTTATCCTTTGATATGTTGATACCTAAATATTTCGCCTCTTTTTTAATTGGGATATTACAAACAGTGTTTAAAGGGCGATCATGAAGAGTCATTATTTCACATTTTTTCATATTTAAATGTACACCAGAGGCTTTAGAAAATGTTGGTATTTCTCTCAGCACCTTTGAAATTTGACTGGTATTTTTTTTAAAACAAGGTTGTATCATCTTCTAGTTGAGTAATTACCAAGGAAATTCCCATCACTTTCAGCGGTTCAATATTTAGATTATTTTTTTTTTTAAATTGCTAAAAGTTCTGCCACAATAATAAATAGTAAAGGGGTCGCAGGACAACCTTGACGGATGCCTCTTTTTATATCGAAGCATTTGGTCGTTCCAGAAACACTGAGCTATTAATGTCCGTATAAAGCAGCTGAAGGATGTTTCTACATTTTTCCCCAAAGCCAAAATAATCCAAGGCCGTCACAGATCGTGACGATCGTGAGAAATAACTTGTGTTGTGAATAGGCGCTATAGAATCTGGTGGCGGGAACTCTTCCACCCATTCCCAACAGCAATGCAGCTCCTTCAGCCATGGTTATCTAAAATAAGGAACCATAGATGTTAACATGAGATGATTCTGTGTAAAGAGTAAATCTCATGTGAAGTTGATAGATAATAAAATATAAAACAATCATTTTATATTCATTAGATCCATCCTTTTTTCTTCCTGTCCATGCTTTGATCTATTCTATTCTTATCTACACACACACACACACACACACACACACACACACACACACACACACACACACACACACACACACACACACACACACACACACACACACACACACACACACACATATAAAAGTATATTTACAATTCTGCTTCTATTGTTTTCCCAGAACAGACACAATAAAGTACATTTCTCTATTGAAACCTGTTTAGTTAGTTTTGGTAAATAAAACCAGAGGGAACAGAAGAATCACCAAGCAGGGAGAGGAGGCTATACAGCAAAGGCAGGGAAAGCACAGCATAGCTCTGCTTTTGCATATCGTCCATCATTTCTTGGCCAAATCCCTCAGAATTCGCATGCAAGGTAAAAAGGAACAGCAACGGTTCGTTCTCACCTGGATCCAGGTGATCAGAGGGAGGATTTCTACTGATCCAATGCAATCTTCTATTAGACATAGCAGAGTGGAGATGACTTTAGGAAGGGAACGATTTCCCTTTAATGTGCCACAGCACCTTGCTGCTTCCATGGTGTCCTACAGCAGAGAATCCTAATAAAAAAAGAAATAAAAATTTGGAGAAGGTAGAAAACAGTGAAATAAGGCAAAAACCATAGCAGGTCTGGTCTCAGCTTCCCCTGCAAACCAAAAATATGGTTATCAGCACGACAACAATGAAGGATGTGAAAAAAAAAAAAAAATATATATATATATATATATACTATATACTCTCTCAATCTATCTATCTATCTATCTATCTATCTATCTATCTATCGATCGATCGATCGATCGATAGATAGATAGATAGATAGATAGATTGAGAGAGTATATATATATATATATATACTCTCTCAATCTATCTATCTATCTATCTATCTATCTATCGATCGATATATCTATAAACTGTAAGTTTATAAACAGTTGGTGAAAAGTTGCTGGAAATTAGTTTTTGGAACTTGGGATGTCTGTATATGTTTGTACCTGATGTTTCACAGGGACCCCCTGATTAAGGCTCATTTTTACCCATCAGGCCACCAGCTAAGCTAATGAGCTAAAATGCTCACAATTATTTTTTTTAAGAGAATGGCACTAATCCTGTTTTATGAATAACATACCTTTTTAAAGTAGAAATTTAAGTCATCATTTATTTTGAATACCAGAAGTTTCCACATGCTGTCGAGGTTCTTTTTAATCAAACAAACACAATTATAAGTAAAATAATCTATTCTGCTTTATTCTATCTCTATAGTTATGCTGCTATAGGCTTAGACTGCCGGAGGACATAGGGACCCCTTTTTCATCATTCTGCTTCATTCTCTCTCTATTCTCCCACTCTGCAAAATCTGTTAGTTCAATCTCTAACGTTCTGCTCTCTCTGCTTTTTCTCATAGTAGCTTCATCTGGTCTATTCCTTTATTATTGATTTATTACTGATTATTTTTTATTATTGGGCTCAATTGAGTTCTTAATCAACCCAAAAGACTCCTTAATATTAAAGTTTCATATTTTTGGGTGTTGATGTGTTTTTTTTAGATTTGGCCATTTTATGAGGATTTCTGTGTGTGGAGGTAAATATTACTGTGCAGAATTATTAGGCAACGTAATAAAAAACAAATATATTCCCATCTCACTCGTTTATTTTCACCAGGTAAACCAATATAAACTCAAAAATAAACATTTACTACATTCAAAAACTAAAAAATCCCAAATCAGTGACCAATATAGCCACCTTTCTTCACCGTGACGCTCTAAAGCCTTCCATCCATAGATTCTATCAGTGTCTGGATCTGTTTGGGATCCACATTGCGTGCAGCAGCCTCCACAGCCTCCCAGACACTGTTTTCCCTCCCTGTAGATCTCACATTTCATGAAGGACCACAGGTTCTCCATGGGGTTCAGATCAGGTGAACAAGGGGGCCATGTCATTATTTTTTCTCCTTTTAGACTTTTTCCGGCCAGCCACGCTGTGGTGCATTTTGATGCGTGTGACGGAGTATTGTCCTGCATGAATATCAGGTTTTTCTTGAATGATTCTTCTTCTACCACTGTTTGAAGAAGGCGTCTTCCAGAAACTGGCAGTAGACCTTCTCAATTCATGGGGAGTTATTTTGCATCTTCTTTTTTCAACACGCTTCTTGCTCCCCTGTTGGCTATTTGCCATGAACCGCTTGATTGTGCGATGATCCCGCTTCAAAAGCTTGGCAATTTCCAAACTGCTGCACCCCTCTGAAAGACATCTGACAATTTTTGACTTTTCAGAGTCTGTCAAATCTCTTTTCTGATCCATTCTGCCAAAGGAAAGCACACCACCTGATTTATTTAACTAGCAGTTGGCTTTCAAGCCTTTACAGGTTGGAGTAGAACAAAATGTATGAAAAGGAGGATGTGGTGGAAATACTCATTTGCTAATAATTCTGCACACAGTGTAGACAGTGGAGCTTGGCCTGTTTTTCAGTGTAGTCCTGTTTCTCTGACTGTGACTAACTGTGCTCTCCTTATCCTCCGACATGGGATTTGGCTCGGAGCTCGTCTGCCTGGCTGTGTGTTTCCTGGACGGGGTCGCCTGTGGAGCTGGTTGACAGTTGCCTTTTGTATCTTGTACCACTGTCGCTACAAGCATGCTTAGTGTGAGGGATTGCTGAAGAGTCAATGAGTCGATGCAATCAGCTGGTTTTCCTTAGATAGAAAACTTTGAATCAATCTGACTGGATGATCTGTAGCTATAAAATGACCTGTGATGACAGGGTTTTATGCGTTTTGTGGACCTGTACATATCTTTGAGACGTATAAATAAAGTTTATCAGATTTCTGAGGTTCCCTGATGAATCTGTTTTCTGACCCATATGACTGGATGGTCCATAATGACCCGTACTTGCAGAGGTCCAGGTCTGCTTCTCTCTGGGGAATCTCAGTCTGGCCATCATGTTTTCTCGGGGAGGACCCCACCATGACTGTATAGAGCGGGGTCCGCCCTGACCTCTGGCCCCTCCATCACTATATTGCACGTCTTCGCCTTTGGTTCCGACTCTTGCTGGATTTTAAAATCCGGTCGAGAAACATTGGTTCTGGTTCTGGAGCAGCAACGCGTGTAAAACTGGGCCAGCTCCATCCCTCCTCCCTTCTTCCTGCGACCAATCAACACAAGCCTTGCTGACATTCACACAGACACACGATCAGACTCATGTTTACCCTCAGGAGAAAAGGAAAGGGTTAAAACTACAGGAGATGAAATTACCTCCTGATGCTCAGTAATGCTGCTGGGCTTAATAACAGTACCCAATCAGAACATCCCCGTCAAACTGGATCAGACTGAACCGTCTCCATCATTTTATTTCCACTTGAACATGTTGATAAAAACACAGCAGTAACAGACTGGGAACCGGTACCACTTTATTGTTCCATCACTGAACAGGGTGCATGCTGGGTCACCTCAGGTCACCCCTGATGGGGGTTAGGGGGGGTCCCTTAAATCTAAGACATGAATTAAAAGCATAAAAAAACCATTGATTGTTTTTAAGAAATCTTCCAGGATGGACTGGTTTCCCCAAAGATCCAGAGCTGATTGAGGTCCTGGTTCCTCGCTGGGATCAGAGCTTCAGATCTCGCCTCTGATTTTATTTTCATGTTCTTCTCTATAAAATGAAGGCCGAGTTGGTGAGAAGATCCTTAGTGATGGGAGGGGCTAACCATTCCTGGAGAACATGCAGCAGAACATCTGCTCATTCCTCGTCTTTAAACCACATGGAGAACATGGAGGTGCTAATAAAGCCGCTGGAGTCTTCTTCAGATGCTGCTGGGTGGGCGTGGTCATCATTTGGAAGGAACCTGCCAGAACATCACAGTCCTCTGCTGGGACCTTATGTGCCTTAGAAAGGAGAATTCATTCCCAGCTTGGTTTCAAACTGCAGCTTCTGTCTCTTCTGGTAACGAACTCGAGCCCTGAAGAAACAAGAGAACCAATCAGCATCCAGGATCCACCTGCAGGGAAAAGCTGCTGGAGTCTGAGATCTTCGTCTGCTGTGGACTGGAAACTAGTCTGGGTTAACTGGGCGATAGCAACAAGCAGGAACTGGTCTGGGTTAAACAGGCTGTAACAAGAAGCCAGGTCTGGAACTTTTGGCTCTCGAAGAACAACATATTCAGTTGTTTCTGCTAACCCCTTCGAGTAAACCACTTCCTTCTAATTGCTTCCTGCTAACCGCTCCCACATAACCTGTCCCAGCTAACCAGTCCCCGCTAACCGGTTCTAGCTAACCGCTCCCTGCTAACCGCTACGTGATAACCAGTCCCAGCTAACTGCTCCCTGCTAACCGGTTCCAGCTAACCAGTCCCAGCTAACCGCTCCCTGATAACCAGTCCCAGCTAACCAGTCACCGCTAACCGCTCCCTGATAACCAGTCCCAGCTAACCAGTCCCCGCTAACCGGTTCTAGCTAACCGCTCCCTGCTAACCGCTCCCTGATAACCAGTCCCAGCTAACCAGTCCCAGCTAACCGCTCCCTGATAACCAGTCCCAGCTAACCAGTCCCCGCTAACCGGTTCTAGCTAACCGCTCCCTGCTAACCGCTCCGTGATAACCAGTCCCAGCTAACCGCTCCCTACTAACCGCTCCCTGCTAACCAGTCCCCGCTAACCGGTTCTAGCTAACCGCTCCGTGATAACCAGTCCCAGCTAACCGCTCCCTGCTAACCAGTCCCCGCTAACCGGTTCTAGCTAACCGCTCCCTGCTAACCGCTACGTGATAACCAGTCCCAGCTAACTGCTCCCTGCTAACCGGTTCCAGCTAACCAGTCCCAGCTAACCGCTCCCTGATAACCAGTCCCAGCTAACCAGTCCCCGCTAACCGGTTCTAGCTAACCGCTCCCTGCTAACCGCTCCGTGATAACCAGTCCCAGCTAACCGCTCCCTGCTAACCGCTCCCTGCTAACCAGTCCCCGCTAACCAATTCTAGCTAACCGCTCCCTGCTAACCGCTCCGTGATAACCAGTCCCAGCTAACCGCTCCCTGCTAACCGCTCCCTGCTAACCGCTCCCTGCTAACCGCTCCCTGCTAACCAGTCCCCGCTAACCGGTTCTAGCTAACCGCTCCGTGATAACCAGTCCCAGCTAACCGCTCCCTGATAACCAGTCCCAGCTAACCAGTCCCTGCTAACCAGTCCCTGCTAACCAGTCCCCGCTAACCAGTCCCCGCTAACCGGTTATAGGTAACCGCTCCCTGCTAACCAGTCCCAGCTAACCACTTCCTGCTAACCAGTCCCCGCTAACCAGTCCCCGCTAACCGCTCCCTGCTAACCAGTCCCCGCTAACCGCTCCCCGCTAACCAGTTCCCGCTAACCAGTCCCCGCTAACCAGTCCCCGCTAACCAGTCCCCGCTAACCGGTTCTAGCTAACCGCTCCCTGCTAACCGCTCCGTGATAACCAGTCCCAGCTAACCGCTCCCTGATAACCAGTCCCAGCTAACCAGTCCCCGCTAACCAGTCCCCGCTAACCGGTTCCAGCTAACCGCTCCCTGCTAACCAGTCCCTGCTAACCGCTTCCTGCTGACCACTCCCTGATAACCAGTCCCAGCTAACCGCTCCCTGCTAACCAGTCCCAGCTAACCAGTCCCAGCTAACCGCTCCCTGATAACCAGTCCCTGCTAACCAGTCCCCGCTAACTGCTCCCTGCTAACCAGTCCAAGCTAAACGCTCCCTGCTAACCAGTCCCAACTAACCAGTCCCTGCTAACCGCTCCCTGCTAACCAGTCCCTGCTAACCAGTCCCCGCTAGCTGCTCCCTGCTAACCAGTCCAAGCTAAACGCTCCCTGCTAACTGCTCCCTGATAACCAGTCACAGCTAACCAGTCCCTGCTAACCAGTCCCAGCTAACCGCTCCCTGATAACCAGTCCCAGCTGAGCGGTTCCAGCTAACCGGTTCCAGCTAACCCGTCCCTGCTAACCGACCCCAGATAACCAGGCCTTGGTAGAGTCTATGGCTGCGTACCGTATCTCATGCAGTTTCACCACCTCGTTGACCACCACCACCAGCACCGGGGACAAAGAGGCCAGGAGCCAGACCTCCATGGGGATGTTGGCCAGACTGAAGGTCAGAGAGCTACCCTGGTCACGCCACAGCTGGTAATCCACGGTTGCCTGAACACCCTGACCCAGCAATCTGGTAGGAGGAGGTTAAAGGTGAGGAAACGATTTCATGACAGACCTGCTGCACTGAAGGAAGAACGAGCAGGAAGACTTACACCACCGGCACGGTGATGCACCACCAGGTGTTGTTGAAGGGACTCTTCCTCCACAGAGGTTGTGAGCGGTGGACGTAGCTGAGGGAGATCACCACTGAAACCATTTCAACACAAAGAACAGAAGGTTAGACGCCCAATCAGAACCACCAGCACACAGTCACTGCCCTCCATCTCCACCTGTGTGCAGCACAAGGAAACCGGCCAGGAGCTTCTGGGTCAGCAGGAGGCCGTTGGACAGCTCCTTGAACCAAGGGAGAGCCTTTGGCGACGAGCTGCAGAGCCACAAACAGAGAGGAAGTTAGAGTTACTGGACCGCCTCTTCCTCCATGTCTTCAAAGGTTGAGGTGCTGGGTTCCGAGGGATGGTGTCCTCTGACCTACCTGGGAGTGAATAAGGAGCTGCAGTCTATTGTGGTGTTGGGGCTCAGGGTGGTGTTGAGGCTGAGGGTGATGTTGGTCCCGGCGGGGCACACCGACTGCAGGGTGAAGCCAAACACCAGCAGGTACGCACACAGGGTGAGGCCAAACTTCAGGAGGAAACAGCCCAGGAAATAGTTCTGAGTCTGAGGAAACAGGAGGTGACAGAATGGTCCGCTTCAATAGAAGACATGTCCTGGTCAGCTACACACCATGAGGAAGGAGACAATGGGGAACCAACACAGCGGCGTTTAGAAGGTCCTATCAGGACATCCAGAGCTCCATCGCCTGACCCTTAGCCAGACGAGCTCACCAGTACTGCCTTGGTCCACCTGGTGTTCAGGATCGTTGGTCTTGGACGTGTTACCGGTGGTCCGTCCTACGGTGGACCAGCTCATTCCAGAATCTACTGAGGACGTATTTAATTCCCCTTCAGACCCATAAGCTGCTACCATCTTCTCCCTGCTCCACCATGATGGTCTCCCACGGCAACCATAAGGACCAACCTACACCTCTAAAAAGGACTGATGGCCATAACATCCTCCTCATCCATCTCCTCCCTTCCTTCTCTTCTCCGTTCAGTTCAGCCTGGACTGGGAGCTCAAGTATTTTTTATTTTTTTAGACATTAATCAGTTGTTCTTGTTCCTATCAAACTAATGGTTGCCATGGTGATGCATCAAAAGCAAATAGCAGCAATGAGCCTCCCACCACCCAGCACCAAAGAGAAACCGTCTAAAGATTGAAAAGAAGAAAAATAATTAAAGAAAAAGTTATTCAGAGACGGCGCCACCTAAAGACATGCATTGCGAGAAAACACTCAGAGGAAGACCCCCACCTCCTGGAAAGACAGACGCACATTTGGGTGCTTTATTCTGATTCCTCCCATGTGACCAGGCGTTATTTGCGGTAAAATCTGCAATCGTTCCACCTGACAGGACCTCCTACCTTTTTAGGGATGGAATCCAAGTTCTTCCCCGTAGCAACAGTCATGACTGAGCTGTCTGGCGGCTTCCCCAGAAGCGACACACTGCCGAAAAATTACAGACGTTCAAACAGAGCAAAGCTGCAGCGGATTCATCGTTTCTCAGTGTGTGGCGTCGGTGCGTACCTCAATAACGGGCAGCTGAAGCAGGACATCCACAGGATGTCAGTGGTGTTCATGGGTGGAGGAAGCTGAGCGAGACAGGCCAGGACCTGCATGAAAACAGGAAACACTTCATCAGACAGAGCTACTTCAAACCATAGCGTTCCTGTGGTTCACCGTCGTACCTGAACAATAACCAGACTGAGCTGGCACTGCAGAAGGAACAGAAAGCACTTGCGGATGCCAGACGTCGTGTGTCGCGCCTGGAAGAGATTCAGAATAAATATGAGCTGAAGGTCTGCACCGGTTGCTCCGGGGTCCGAACGAAGCTGACGGTCTGCGCTGGGTGCTCCAGGGGCTGAAACGGGACCAACCTGCTCGATAAGTTTGATCAGGCTGACGCTGTTTCCCTGGTGAAAGGACACGGAGCAGCCCAGGCTGTTCAGCTGTCCTGACAGTCTCAGAGGAGACAGTCCTTCAGCATCTCCGTGAAGTCCTCCTCCTGTGGCGTAGCCAAAGGTCTCCCATGAACACTGAGATGGGTACAGAGGGTCCAGCCCAATGCTGTGGAGCCAAGAGATGGAAGACTTATCAGCAGTCCAGGCAGGCTCAGCACCACTAAAGGAAATGATTCTGCCACCTCTGTACCTGAAGTCGCTCTGCAGAAACAGGCGGCTGTTCCGGAAATTGGCGGAGCTTCCCAGACAGCAGGTCACCTCACGGTTCTCCTGCATGATCTTCATCATCTCACACATGGCTGCAGAGAAGAAGACAGAGTCCTGGATGAGTAGTTAACGCTCCTCGTCTCTGATTGGTTACTGTCTCTCTTTCCAAACAGTTCTGGTGTGTCTGCAGGATGAAGACGCCTCTACATCTCTGGATGAGAGCAGTAGAGGGAGGTCTCCACCTCCACACTGAGCCAGTCTGTAATCCTGACGCCTAAAGGAAGCCACCGTCTAACAGTCTGGAAGAGCAGAGCATCAAACTGAGCCAGACTGCAGACAGTAAGAACCCCACCCAGAAAGCAAACCCTATTTCAGGTTCACTTTGGCGTCTTTCTGTTAAACCGCAATCGACCTTCTGGTTTGCTGAAGTGACCAATCAGATTATTCTCTGTTCAAAGTTCAGTCAAACTCTTTTTCTGTTTGCTGACAGAAATGTTTCAAAAACACAAATAAGTTTAAACTTTGCAGGAAAGCGAAGAAAAGAGGAGGAAACGGGACTCACTGTCAGGAGTGCAGTCTGTGAAGAGCGGCACTAAAAGAGGCACGTTGTCGATGTTCTTGAGGTGAGGCCGGACCTGGTGGATCCCACGAGGAAGCTTGGCCTGAACAGGAGCGAACTGTTAAACGCCTCAGACCAAACATGGCTTAGTTAAACTCAGCGAGGCGACCGTTACTCTGTTACAATCCTCCAGGAAGCTGGGCACGTCGCTGTCTGCGGGTTGGAAACTGGCCAGGTCCGACTGAGCCTCCTCCTCCGACAGCAGCGGGCCTTCTGCTTCGTCTCTGGAATCTTCCAAACCAAACAGAGGACAAAGAGCTTAGCTAATTTAGATCTCAGGCACCGCTGCCGAGGGCTAGCTTAGTTAGACCTCAGGCTCCGCTGCCGAGGGCTAGCTTAGTTAGACCTCAGGCCTTACTGCCGAGGGCTAGCTTAGTTAGACATCAGGCCTTACTGCCCAGGGCTAGCTTAGTTAGACATCAGGCCTTACTGCCCAGGGCTAGCTTAGTTAGACCTCAGGCCTTACTGCCCAGGGCTAGCTTAGTTAGACCTCAGGCCCTACTGCCCAGGGCTAGCTTAGTTAGACCTCATGCTCTACTGCCCAGGGCTAGCTTGGTTAGACCTCAGGCTCTACTGCCCAGGGCTAGCTTAGTTAGACCTCATGCCCTACTGCCCAGGGCTAGCTTAGTTAGACCTCATGCCCTACTGCCCAGGGCTAGCTTAGTTAGACCTCAGGCTCTACTGCCCAGGGCTAGCTTAGTTAGACCTCATGCCCTACTGCCCAGGGCTAGCTTAGTTAGACCTCATGCTCTACTGCCCAGGGCTAGCTTAGTTAGACCTCAGGCTCTACTGTCGAGGGCTAGCTTGGTTAGACCTCAGGCTCTACTGCCCAGGGCTAGCTTAGTTAGACCTCATGCCCTACTGCCCAGGGCTAGCTTAGTTAGACCTCAGGCCCTACTGCCCAGGGCTAGCTTAGTTAGACCTCAGGCCCTACTGCCCAGGGCTAGCTTAGTTAGACCTCATGCTCTACTGCCCAGGGCTAGCTTAGTTAGACCTCAGGCTCTACTGCCCAGGGCTAGCTTGGTTAGACCTCAGGCTCTACTGCCCAGGGCTAACTTAGTTAGATCTCAGGCTCCACTGCCCAGGGCTAGCTTAGTTAGACCTCAGGCTCCACTCCCGAGGGATAGCTTAGTTAGACCTCAGGCTCCGCTGCCGAGGGCTAGCTTAGTTAGACCTCAGGCCTTACTGCCGAGGGCTAGCTTAGTTAGACATCAGGCCTTACTGCCCAGGGCTAGCTTAGTTAGACCTCAGGCCTTACTGCCCAGGGCTAGCTTAGTTAGACCTCAGGCCTTACTGCCCAGGGCTAGCTTAGTTAGACCTCAGGCCCTACTGCCCAGGGCTAGCTTAGTTAGACCTCATGCTCTACTGCCCAGGGCTAGCTTGGTTAGACCTCAGGCTCTACTGTCGAGGGCTAGCTTGGTTAGACCTCAGGCTCTACTGCCCAGGGCTAGCTTAGTTAGACCTCATGCCCTACTGCCCAGGGCTAGCTTAGTTAGACCTCAGGCCCTACTGCCCAGGGCTAGCTTAGTTAGACCTCAGGCCCTACTGCCCAGGGCTAGCTTAGTTAGACCTCATGCTCTACTGCCCAGGGCTAGCTTAGTTAGACCTCAGGCTCTACTGCCCAGGGCTAGCTTGGTTAGACCTCAGGCTCTACTGCCCAGGGCTAACTTAGTTAGATCTCAGGCTCCACTGCCCAGGGCTAGCTTAGTTAGACCTCAGGCTCCGCTGCCGAGGGCTAGCTTAGTTAGATCTCAGACTCTACTGTTGAGGGCTAGCTTAGTTAGATCTCAGGCCCTACTGCGGAGGGCTAGCTTAGTTAGACCTCAGGTCCTACTGCCCAGGGCTAGCTTAGTTAGACCTCAGGCCTTACTGCCGAGGGCTAGCTTAGTTAGACCTCAGGCCTTACTGCCGAGGGCTAGCTTAGTTAGACATCAGGCCTTACTGCCGAGGGCTAGCTTAGTTAGACCTCAGGCACCGCTGCCGAGGGCTAGCTTAGTTAGACCTCAGGCCCTACTGCCCAGGGCTAGCTTAGTTAGACCTCAGGCCTTACTGCCGAGGGCTAGCTTAGTTAGACATCAGGCCTTACTGCCGAGGGCTAGCTTAGTTAGACCTCAGGCCCTACTGCCGAGGGCTAGCTTGGTTAGACCTCAGGCCCTACTGCCCAGGGCTAGCTTGGTTAGACCTCAGGCTCTACTGCCGAGGGCTAGCTTAGTTAGACCTCAGGCTCTACTGCCCAGGGCTAGCTTAGTTAGACCTCAGGCTCTACTGCCCAGGGCTAGCTTAGTTAGACCTCAGGCCCTACTGCCGAGGGCTAGCTTAGTTAGACCTCAGGCTCTGCTGCCCAGGGCTAGCTTGGTTAGACCTCATGCTCTACTGCCCAGGGCTAGCTTGGTTAGACCTCAGGCTCTACTGCCGAGGGCTAGCTTGGTTAGACCTCAGGCTCTACTGCCCAGGGCTAGCTTAATTAGACCTCTGGCTCTGCTGCCGAGGGCTAGCTTAGTTAGACCTCATGCCCTACTGCCCAGGGCTAGCTTAGTTAGACCTCAGGCCCTACTGCCCAGGGCTAGCTTAGTTAGACCTCAGGCCCTACTGCCCAGGGCTAGCTTAGTTAGACCTCAGGCCCTACTGCCCAGGGCTAGCTTAGTTAGACCTCATGCTCTACTGCCCAGGGCTAGCTTGGTTAGACCTCATGCTCTACTGCCCAGGGCTAGCTTAGTTAGACCTCAGGCTCCACTGCCGAGGGCTAGCTTAGTTAGACCTCAGGCTCCGCTGCCGAGGGCTAGCTTAGTTAGACCTCAGGCCTTACTGCCGAGGGCTAGCTTAGTTAGACATCAGGCCTTACTGCCCAGGGCTAGCTTAGTTAGATCTCAGGCTCTACTGTTGAGGGCTAGCTTAGTTAGATCTCAGGCCCTACTGCGGAGGGCTAGCTTAGTTAGACCTCAGGTCCTACTGCCCGAAGGCTAGCTTAGTTAGACCTCAGACTCTGCTGCCGAGGGCTAACTTAGTTAGACCTCAGGCTCTGCTGCCGAGGGCTAGCTTAGTTAGACCTCAGGCTCTGCTGCCGAGGGCTAGCTTAGTTAGACCTCAGGCTCTACTGCCCAGGGCTAGCTTAGTTAGACCTCAGGCCTTACTGCCGAGGGCTAGCTTAGTTAGACCTCAGGCTCTACTGTCGAGGGCTAGCTTAGTTAGACCTCAGGCTCTACTGCAGACCCCCAGGCAGAGTCTGGCTGATTGAAAGCAGAGCAGGTGAGCAGCACCAAAGGTCAGAGACCTAGACAGATCTCCGTTTCAGCACCTCTTCCTGTTACCTGTTCAACCCGGAGAACCTAGACAAAGCAGAGCAACCAGGGAAAGGAGGCTATAGACCATGATGCATCTGTGAGTACCTACCGTGGTGGAGGTCTTCATGCAGCGAGCCGTGGCTGGGGCTGGAAGCAGCTCCCTCACATGGGCCGTCTCCGTTTGGAGTCAGAGAGATGTGGCAGTTCCAGCCTGTCTCCAGACCCATCTTCTCTGCAAACACCTACAAGAGCCGCATCGTCAGCAGTTTCTAATCTGAAGCAGAACCCAGGAGGGCTAGTTCCCCCTGAGGCTCCCCCTGTGGTTCTCCCTGTGGTTCCCCCTGTGGTTCTCCCTGTGGTTCCCCCTGTGGTTCTCCCTGTGGTTCCTCCTGTGGTTCTCCCTGTGGTTCCTCCTGTGGTTCTCCCTATGGTTCTCCCTGTGGTTCTTCCTATGGTTCACCTTGAGATTCTCCCTATGGTTCCCCTTGAGGTTCTCTCTGTGGTTCTCCCTGAGGTTCTCCCTGAAGTTCCCCGAGGTTCTACCTGAAGTTCCCCCTGAGGTTCTACCTGAAGTTCTCCCTGTGGTTCTACCTGAGGTTCTCCCTGTGGTTCTACTTGAGGTTCTCCCTGTGGTGCCCCCTGTGGTTATTCCTGAGGTTCCCCCTGTGGATCTCCCTGAGGTTCTCCTAGTGGTTCCCCCTGAGGCTCTCCCCTGTGGTTCCCCCAGTGGTTCTGCCTGTGGTTCTCCTTAAGGTTCCCCCCGAGGTTCCCCCCTGTGGTTCCCCCAGTGGTTCTCCCTGAGGATCTCCCATGTGGTTCTCCCCTGAGGTCCCCCCAGTGGTTCTGTCCCAGTCATTGTTGGTTCTGGTTAAATCTGTTTCGTCTCCTGTTGAACAGAAACTCTGCTGTTCTGGTTGGGTCATATCTGATGGGTCTTGTGACCCAGAGCTAAGCTAACTAAGCTAATGGTTGGTCTGAAATTTAGCTGAACAAAAACGTTTTTGGTTTTCTGATGGAGGATTGATTCTAGCTGAGCAGGGCCCAGCCCAAAGTTGAGAAGCAGAACCAGGTTAATTTAGCCACAGGTTAGCGCAGCCTGTGGCCAGTAAGGGAGCTAAACCTGGAACGTCCAGCCCTGGTGTCCCCTAGTGGCCGGTGGAGTTTCTTTTTTTTTTTTTATTTCAGCTGCCATTTAAAAAGTTCTAAAAACACAGATGGGTCGGGTCAGGACCGGATCTTGAAGATCCTGTGCTTGTTGGATCCAATGGCTTCTATGGCACCGTATGCTAACATTCCAGGTCAGCAGTCAGACCCCGCGGTCCATGCCAACCTCAGAACCGCTCACCTTGCTGCGGAGCTCATCCTCCATGGAGAAATAAACGAAGCGAATGCAGGCGGTGACCAAGGCATCGATGAGGCGGACCGTGTCCAGCTTCGCCTGGAACTGAGACGACACCATCCCCATGAAGATCTGACCGCTCAGCGCCTGAACGCAGTCTTCCCGCTCCACGCCCTCTCCGATCCCCTCTGCGTGACCCAGAAACAGACCCAGACAGAATTCGTTAGCAGCGTTAACAGTCGTTGGGCTGCTCCTGGTGCGCCGCCCTCACCATCTGAGCTCCAGCTGTTCCTCAACAGGCTGTGTTTGATGGGCGTGGTGGAGGGCAGCTCCACCCCGGAGAACAGGCAGGGGCCCGAGGCCAGCTGCACACATTTCCCATCCAGCTGGCTGGACAGCGACACCTGCATGGGTTTGTAGGCGAAGGCGGAGCAGTAACCGGACAACACGGCCCGCTGGTAGAAGTCCAGAACTTTTTTCCTGGAACACAGAGCAGAAAATGGGTCGCAGGTTCAGATCAAACTGACCATGGAGCCCAAAGGTCCACTATCAGACCTGTCCGAACCCGAGAGAGGGTAGATATCCGTCCCATCCCAGAAGTCTGTGCAGGCCTCCAGGATGAGGTCGGCCGAACCGTGGGACAACATCTGGACACTATCTGCAGAAAGACAGGACGGGTTGGCATGGAAACCGCTTCTTTCTATCAGCAGGGCGCTGAAGGGACTTACTGGAGGAGGAGTCTCTCACACACAGAGACATGAGGTGGGAGATGGGGGGCTGGCGTTTGGTGAAGTAGGGGAGGCGGCGGGAGGCCAGCTCCTTGGTGGTCTCTCTGGATGGCAGCTGGTAGAGGGTCAGGTGGTTCTCCTGCTGGAACAGCTCCCTGGCTCCAGGAGTGAACCCTGGAGGAGAAGCAGAAAAGCTGTGAGGAGGAGGTTTATCAGACACTACAAACAGCCATAAAATGGGTCAGAACCAGAGTCCTAAAACTAGGAAAGGAGCGGCTCCCAGTTCCTTCCTGATCTGAGGGACGACTGGACCTGCTGCCTTGCTCTGATCTCCTGCCTCCGGTGTCTAGTTTTGGAGCCATCAACCTGAGTGCCAACGAACCCGTCTTTTCTGTGTGCTTAGCTCCATCTCTGACACCAACAGACCACCAGCTGATCAAAGGCTGGATGGTTTTATCCTGGCAGTAACCGTGGCAAACCCTCCCAACAGCAGAAAAACAACACCAGGCTCTGATAAAATGGTCCTAAATGTTCTATATTAATATACAGAACATGTTCCACCTTTCACCATTTGGCAGTTTAGATATTTCTATGTCTGCTTCTGTCTCCTTGAACTCCAGTCGGCCTCAGCAGATGGCCGCTCACACTGAGCCTGGTTCTGCTGGAGGTTTCTTCCTGTTCAAAGGTAGTTTTTCCTCTCCACTGTCGCTACAAGCATGCTTAGTGTGAGGGATTGCTGAAGAGTCAATGAGTCGATGCAATCAACTATATATTTATATAGAGTTTAGAATGTTTAGTATTAAAATCGGATGTTTGTTGCTCTGTGCTTGGCTGGTTGCTAGGAGTTGTAGAGACGGAGCCGACCCGCACGGCAGAGCGGTTGTGAGCGCGGTGCTCAGACTAAAACAGAAATGACGTCTATGAATGAAAGAAAGGCTGCCTGCCGGCGTCACCTATGAGCCTGGAGAGCTCGCAGAGGCCCCAGGGGACGTAGACAGGAAGAACGGAGCCGTGGCTCTCCTGCAACGCTAGGTTGGACAGGTGGTCAGAGAAGCGGCACAGCTGCTGTGTCACCGCCGCATTGCACAGGTTCAGCATGATGTTGAGGCCCAGCGGCTTGAGGGAGGGCAGGTGGCACTGCCAGGAGAGATCGTCGAACTGGATGCTGGTCGGGTTCTGCTGGTCCTGAGACAGACTCAGCATCTCCAGGTGGTAGTCGCACACAAAGTCCTCCGCCTCTGCTTCTGGGCAGCCCACAGCAAAGTCCTGGAAAACAAAGACAGATGAGAACCTGTACGGCAGCTGGAACGCTCCCCTAAATGTTTACAGTGAGCAGAAGGTTTACATCTGACGGACCAGAACCTTCCAGCTCTACTGGTTCCCCCTGAAGGTCCAACTGGCAGCAGAAACATGTGCCGATACCTGCTCATTCTCGCCTCCCTCCGTGTCATGGCTGAAGCTCACGTTGGATCCAGAGTGGTGCTTGGTCCGACACTGAGCGGGCTGATGGGGCCGTCGGAGCTGGACCGCTTCAGGGGCGCAAGGCGGGTTGTGAGCCGCCTCACTGGGCTCGGATGATCCGTCCTGCTGGGCAGCGGGCGTCTCCGATGGACAGAGGAGAGTCTCTGCTTCCTGAGGCTGTGGGAGAGACCAGATCATTGGTGGCCTGGCTCACCACGATTCACCAGGAACCAGGCAGGAACCAGGCAGGAACCGAGCAGAACCAGGCAGGAACCGAGCAGAACCAGGCAGGAACCGAGCAGAACCAGGCAGGGACAGAGCAAAACCAGGCAGGAACAGAGCAAAACCAGGCAGGAACAGAGCAGAACCAGGCAGGAACCGAGCAGAACCAGGCAGGGACAGAGCAAAACCAGGCAGGAACAGAGCAAAACCAGGCAGGAACAGAGCAGAACCAGGCAGGAACAGAGCAGAACCAGGCAGGAACCGAGCAGAACCAGGCAGGAACCGAGCAGAACCAGGCAGGGACAGAGCAAAACCAGGCAGGAACAGAGCAAAACCAGGCAGGAACCGAGCAGAACCAGGCAGGGACAGAGCAAAACCAGGCAGGAACAGAGCAAAACCAGGCAGGAACAGAGCAAAACCAGGCAGGAACAGAGCAGAACCAGGCAGGGACAGAGCAGAACCAGGCAGGAACAGAGCAGAACCAGGCAGGGACAGTGCAGAACCAGGCAGGGACAGTGCAGAACCAGGCAGGGACAGTGCAGAACCAGGCAGGGACAGAGCAGAACCAGGCAGAAACAGAACAGAACCAGGCAGGAACAGCGCAGAACCAGGCAGGAACAGGCAGGAACCAAGCAGAACCAGGAAGGAACAGAGCAGAGCAGGGTTGTTAGAAATGAAAGCCTTCCTGATTAAGACGCCACAGACTGCTTCACCTCGTCCCTGTCGTCCTCCATCTCCAGGTGGCAGTAGGAGTTCATGGAGAGGTCATCTCGGAGGTCTTCCTGGCTGTTGTGAGGCGGTTCCACCCTCCCACTGAAGAACAGCACCGTCTCTGGACTCGGGTTCGGCCATGACAGAATCCCCTGCTTGTCCACGCAGCACAGCACCTGCAGAACACAGAGAGCCAAGGGTCACAGGTCGCCATGGAAACAGGCCCCAGGGATTATATTTCTGGTGGTTCCTCCTTAGAACACAGAGAAATAAGGGCGTCCCTAGGCCTCAGCAGCTCTCCAGGGAGGGTCCCCAGACCATGACACTTCCACCTCCATGCTTCAGCTGAACTGAAGCGGAGAGAAGGTTCCAGTTAGTGAAGGACATCACCGCAGATGTCCTGAATGGGTACCATGGTAACCGCAGCCAAGAGAGCGCAGAAGCCCAGCGTTTAACTGAGGTGTGGGAGAGGAGCAGGAGGAGAGTAGGTTCAGATTAACGAGGTCGTCAGATTATGGACTGAACTGTGCCGTCTCGGGTCGGTCCCAGGTCAGCGTACAGGGCCGGTCCTGGGTCAGCATCCCGGGGCCGTCCCGGGTTCCTCTCTGATTTGGTATTAAATACTGACAGGGTCATGATAGTGGGAGATTTTAACATCCATGCTGACATTGAAGGTGATGGGTGATGGGTTAAGAGCAGCCTTTAAAGGAGAAGTTAACTTTTTAACACTTTAAGCCCATTTTCTGTAGTGTCCAGGATGAAATCGAATGATCGACACCAAAATTTTGACAATTGGTCCTGTCTCTGCTTTTTGGCTCATTTAGAATCACCCCCTGGCTGCTTTAGAATGGCTTCCATAGAGCATGTCCGATAATGTCCTTAAAACAACCTTAAACGTTCTTTTTTTAAAATATGCTACTCACCGGGTCGTCAGCGCTGTTCAATGATGTTCCAAAAAAAGTTTCGTAAAGAAAAAACGTTCCTGTAGTGTTTTATTTAGCATTTTGTAAATCCCATTGAGTTCTGTAGGAATAGTCAATATTCCCCTGCCACCGGAAACGGAAATGGGGCCTGTTTACACAGTTGTAGTCTTTTCGCTTCACTCTGTGTACTCCGACGTCGAGAATCAAGAATCCACCTTTCGTATTCCATTTTCAGAGTTGTTTAAAGTGTTTAACAGAGACGTTAGCACCTCGACGTCGGAGTACACAGAGTGAAGGGAAAAGACTACAACTAAGCATAAACAGGCCCCATTTCCGTTTCCGGTGGCAGGGGAATATTGACTATTCCAACAGAACTCAATGGGATTTACAAAATGCTAAATAAAACAAGACAGGAATGTTTTTTCTTTACGAAACTTTTTTTGGAACGTCATTGAACAGCGCTGACGACCCGGTGAGTAGCATATTTTAAGGTTGTTTTAAGGACATTATCGGACATGCACAATGGAAGCCATTCTAAAGCAGCCAGGGGTGGATTCTAAATGAGCCAAAAAGCAGAGACAGGACCAATTGTCAAAATTTTGGTGTCGATCATTCGATTTCATCCTGGACACTACAGAAAATGGGCTAAAAGTGTTAAAAACCGGAATTCTCCTTTAATAGAGGAGAGTAACAATAATCCTCTGGTAAAACCGTCTATTCCACCTGCTCTTAGCAGGAATGATTTCGTGGGATTCTTTATAAATAAGATTGATCTTATTAAAAATAAGATCATTAGCACTCCTCTATCCACGATTGGTTTGTCTCTGGAGCGTTGGGCAGCATCTGAGGTAGTCATGGAATCTGAACCGGGTCCGTGAGGCAGACACTCTGTCTACTTTTAAGGCTAGGCTTAAAACTTTCCTTTTTGATAAAGCTTATAGTTAGAGTGGCTCAGGTTATCCTGAGCTATCTCTATAGTTATGCTGCTATAGGTTTGGACTGCTGGAGGACATAGGGACCCCTTTTTCATCATTCTATCTCTATTCTCCCACTCTGCAGAATCTGTTAGTTCAATCTCTAACGTTCTGCTCTCTCTGCTTTTTCTCATAGTATCTTCATCTGGTCTGTTCCTGTTTGGCTGTGAGAGATTCATCCTGGAGAGAAATATCAGCTGTGCTGCTGCCATCAACACCCTTGTTTCTAGATGTTGGAGATTGGCCTGTTTTTCAGTGTAATTCTGTTTCTCTGACAGTTGCCTGTTGTATCTATGCTTCTTTTTCTATGTTTGCTTCTGTCTCCTTGAACCCCAGTCGGCCTCAGCAGATGGCCGGGCGACAGTGGCGTTGGATGTAGGAGTTTACCCTGAAATAGAAGGACTTTCAGTGTCATTGTGTCCTTGGGCAAGACCCTTCACCTGCACTGTCTACTGATTGTGGTCAGAGGCCCAGTGGCGCCAGTGTACGGCAGCCTCCCTTCTGTCAGTAAGCTACAATGTAGCTTGCCACCATCAGTGTGTGAGTGTGTGCGTGAATGGGTGAATGACTGAATGTAGTAGGGCTGCAACTAACGATTATTTTAAAAATCGATGAATCGGCCGATTATTTTTTCGATTAATCGATGAATCGGACAAAAAATATTTTTTATACTAACCTCTTTATTCCAAAATAAACAGGTTGTTCGTTAACTGTACTGGTGCAATATGAAAAATAAATGTTTGTGTTAAAACTACGCAAACTTACATGAGAAATGTAGCTGTACATCCACAAAACATAGGGTACTTTGTTTAATAAAGCGCAAAAAAAGACATTTTTGTTTTTAAAAGCCCCTAAGGGGCTCAAACAATAGGTCCCCCCATTTCATCAAATTAGATTTTTTTAGACTAGAAGAATTCTGCCTTTTACGACAGGAAAGTATAGCAGTTAACGTTGCTACTTGAGAAAATACTGAACCATAGAGATAAAAATAGCCCTGTGATTCAAATTATAAATTGTATTTGGAATAAAAATGAGAGAACAAGGGGTGGTAAAAAACACATCCTCCAAAGACAGATATTTACATGGGAATGTGGCAGATAATTAATTGACATATTACTGATCTTGCTGGATTTTATTCTGCTTTACTTCCATAAATTGCAGGATCTTCTTTACTTTATCTTTGCCAGAAGATTTAAACTTTAAAAGCCTTGCCCTCATAATTTGCAAGTTAATTTATTTAAAAAGGCTATTTTAATTATTGTGATCAATTTGCGCCGTCAATCCTGGCGCATGCGCGCTTCATTTGCAGTCTGGACGCTGAAACATCCTGCGGCTCTGACTGCAGCGCTGAGAGGGACTCCTGCGGGAGAACGGGGTTGAGATGGGGGAGGCGCCTCACGGCAGCAGCTGCCGCTGGAGGACAAGATTAGGAACGATACATGCTTTCACATAAGAGTCTCCAAAAGCCGCCAGTGACACCGTAAAAAGTCGCCACATTTGTCGCTAGTCGCTTTTTTTTTAAATAGTCGCTGGAGGGGTCTGAATAGTCGCTAAATATAGCGACAAAGTCGCTGAGTTGGCAACACTTCATAAATATGGCCCCTGTCTGTAACAGAGCGTCTCAGACACCACAGAGAAAAATCACTTTGAGGCTCACGCTTTCTGAGGTGAATTAAAACATTAAACACAGGATACCTGCAAAAATGAAAAGTTGGTTATTAAAGACAATGCTAGGAAATCAGGTCCGACTCACAGTGACAGAGCCCAGAGTGTGCAGAAGGCTGGATGTGTAGCACAGCGTCTCCGATTCTCCCTTCATGACTCGAACCATGTGCCTCCAGACGCAGCGCAGCATCTCCTGCAGGTCACACACAGGACAAGAATGACCTTGCAAAACAACAAGACACCTTCACCAGCTTTATGAGGACAGCAGCTCTGAACTGAAGGATACCGGCACCAATACTGGTGCCAAGCAGTGAGAATCCAATAGAAAGGGAAAATTCAGCATACTAAACCACACACTGGTGGTTTAGCCAGATACGTCTTCAGTCAGCAGCCATTAAACAGGAGGAAAGCTCTTAAATGAGAAGCGACTGAGGCAGGAACAGCAGAAGAACCTTTATAGAAGAACTGAACAAACCACAAGCACCGGATCTCAAGAGTTTTCAGAGAAAAATGAACAGAAGCCATTAGACTTTACAGATCAGCTTTATGTTATTTCATCCACCGCCTCATTCGTCAGCATCATCAGTGCAGCTAGGATCTAATCCAGTAAAAGCAACGCGGCAGAAAAAAAAAATAAAAATACGAGGCAGGAGGCATCTAAAGCTCCCCAGCCTGCAGACAGAAGACTGTTCTAGACCTGAACAATGAAGAAGATCAACAACCGAGGAGGATAGATCCAGGGCTAACCTGGAAACCTGCTGCTTACAGGAGGAACTCCTCCATCCTGAGCTACCGCCGGCTCAAAGGATGTAGAGAGAACAGCTAATGACATATCGTCTGATTGAGGCATATTAAGTAAGACCCCAAAGAATGAACACACTGGACAGACAATCTGGAGGAAACCATTCTCAGGGTTATGTCTCTGAGACAGATTTATGTGAAGCAAAGATGAACAAACCAGAGAATGAGACAGCAGAGGACAGCACTCAGGGCAGAAGCTGAGAAAAATGAAGGCATGCTTAAAGTGAGAGAGCAGCGCCTGTCCAACATGGACACCAAGAGGTCTCCACACATGATGGAACCCAAACTGAGTCATGTTGGAAATACCAGCTGCCGTGCAAAAAAACAAGGAAAAAGAGTGAGTGAGATGCAGAGGATGTCCCATGCCTTTGATGGGTTCAATAACAAAATCAAATGATGGAAGCTTGTGCTAAAGATTCAGCAGAGATATGGGGCTGAAGGCCACAAGGGGGAGCAGCAGAACAGAGAAGATCAAGGCAGGCTGAGGTGGAGCTGGGATTGAAGCAGGTGTGAGACGTGTTAGCGGGACAGAGAAGGGTTATACCTGCGAGGAAACTGCTTCTGTGTAGCTGCTTAGAGTGTCCTCAGAGAACTTAGCAAGCTAGGGCAGAAGAAGAAGCTAGTTAAAGGCTGGTGGAGAATCTCCTCTGTACCAGTGTGTGTGCTCCCATCCTAGCATCAGAGTGAGGACCATTTATCCCATTTAAAGGTGAGGAAAGTTTGTCCCAAAATGAGGACATTTTGATGTTCTTCACTTTGGAGCTGCTAACAGGTTGGCTGAGGACTAAGATGTGCATTAAAATTTAAATGTCCTTTTTGTCAGAGATAGGGAGGCTTTGGTAACCGGTAGGGTTTCTGTCAGGGATAGGGACGCTCTGGTAACCGGTAGGGTTTCTCTCAGGGATAGGGACGCTCTGGTAACCGGTAGGGTTTCTCTCAGGGATGGGGACGCTCTGGTAACCGGTAGGGTTTCTCTCAGCGATAGGGACGCTCTGGTAACCGGTAGGGTTTCTCTCAGGGATAGGGACGCTCTGGTAACCGGTAGGGTTTCTGTCAGGGATAGGGACGCTCTGGTAACCGGTAGGGTTTCTGTCAGGGATAGGGACGCTCTGGTAACCGGTAGGGTTTCTCTCAGGGATAGGGACGCTCTGGTAACCGGTAGGGTTTCTCTCAGGGATAGGGACGCTCTGGTAACCGGTAGGGTTTCTCTCAGGGATAGGGACGCTCTGGTAACCGGTAGGGTTTCTCTCAGCGATAGGGACGCTCTGGTAACCGGTAGGGTTTCTCTCAGCGATAGGGACGCTCTGGTAACCGGTAGTGTTTCTCTCAGTGATAGGGACGCTCTGGTAACCGGTAGGGTTTCTCTCAGGGATAGGGACGCTCTGATAACCGGTAGGGTTTCTCTCAGGGATAGGGACGCTCTGGCAACCGGTAGGGTTTCTCTCAGGGATAGGGACGCTCTGATAACCGGTAGGGTTTCTCTCAGCGATAGGGACGCTCTGGTAACCTGTAGGGTTTCTCTTAGCGATAGGGACGCTCTGATAACCGGTAGGGTTTCTCTCAGGGATAGGGACGCTCTGGTAACCGGTAGGGTTTCTCTCAGGGATAGGGACGCTCTGGTAAACTGTAGGGTTTCTCCCAGGGATAGGGACGCTCTGGTAACCGGTAGTGTTTCTCTCAGCGATAGGGACACTCTGGTAACCGGTAGGGTTTCTCTCAGGGATAGGGCTGCTCTGGTAACCGGTAGGGTTTCTCTAAGGGATAGGGACGCTCTGGTAACCGCTAGGGTTTCTCTCAGGGATAGGGACGCTCTGGTAACCGGCAGGGTTTCTGTCAGGGATAGGGACGCTCTGGTAACCGGTAGGGTTTTTGTCAGGGATAGGGACGCTCTTGTAACTGGTCGGGAGCGACGGTGGGCCAGTAGAGTGTTGGTCGGTCAGTCTTCCATCAAACCAAATGTTTTTAATGTTTTATGGTTGTGATCTACCACCGCTATATCCAATGTAGACTAGGGCTGCAACTAACGATTATTTTAAAAATCGATGAATCGGCCGATTATTTTTTCGATTAATCGATGAATCGGACAAAAAAAAAATTTTATATTAACTTCTTTATTCCAAAATAAACATTTTAGACAGAACAAACAAGCACACAAGTACAGGTTGCTCATTAACTGTACTGGTGCAATATGAAAAATAAATGTTTGTGTAAAAACTACGCAAACTTACATGAGAAATGTAGCTGTACATCCACAAAATATAGGCTACTTTGTTTCATAAAGCGCAAAAAGAGACAGGCATTTTTGTTTTTTAAAGCCCCTAAGGGGTTCAAACAATAGGTCCCCCCATTTCAACAAATGAGTTTTTTTTAGACTAGAAGAGTTCTGCCTTTTAAGACAGGAAAGTATAGCAGTTAAGTTGCTACTTGAGAAAATACTGAACCAGAAAGATAAAAATAGCCCTGTGATTCTAATTATAAATTGTATTTGGAATAAAAATGAGAGAACTAGGGGTGGTAAAAAACACATCCTCCAAAGACAGATATTTACATGGGAATGTGGCAGATAATTAATTGACATATTACTGATCTTGCTGGATTTTGTTCTGCTTTACTTCCATAAATTGCAGGATCTTCTTTTCTTTATCTTTGCCAGAAGATTTAAACTTTAAAAGCCTTGCCCTCATAATTTGCAAGTTAATTTATTTATAAAGAAAATATAAACGCTGCTTAACCAAATTTAAATGAAATTAAAAGTAAAATAAGTAGCCAACCTTATCACTGTCTGTAACCTACTAACAAGGTAAGGAAAGCATCAGATGAGCGAACTGAGAAACTAACGTTACGTTTCCCCTCTTTAAAATGAAACAAACATGGTTACTCATCCTGCTGATCAGCTCTCTTCACTGCCATTGAAGGCTCCAACGTGTTTTCTTTTCAGGTGCTGCGTCATAACAGTGGTGCTTCCGTGCCATGTTCATTTGTTTTTACAAAAGTTGCATGTTACGACTTTTTTCACTTTACAAAGCGCAGGCTATTTTAATTATTGTGATCAATTTGCGCCGTCAATCCCGGCGCATGCGCGCTTCATTTGCAGTCTGGACGCTGAGGGTAAACTCCTCACTAAAATCCTGCGGCTCTGACTCTGACTGCCGCGCTGAGAGGGATTCCTGTGGGAGAGGGAGAAAGGGGTTGGGATGGGGGAGGCGCCCCACGGCAGGCAAAAGCCGCCAGTGACACCGTAAAAAGTCGCCAGATTTGTCGCCAGTCGCTTTTTTGAAAAATAGTCGCTGGAGGGGTCTGAAAAGTCGCTGAGTTGGCAACACTGCAACTGCGGCGCTGACTCGCTCCGTCATATTTTTTTTTCTTCCCCCCGGATGACGGCGGCGGCGGATGACGCATTAATCGCGCGACACAACTAATCGATGATTAAATTCGTTGCCAACGCTTTTAAAAGTCGATTTTTATCGATTTTATCGATTCGTTGTTGCAGCCCTAATGTAGACAGTTGCTACAGCTAGACCAACTCTGTGATGTCACTGTTTGAGGTACTGCAACAAGGCTGCGCCCTTACCAAAAAACGATAAAACAAAGCTTCGTTTGTTATTTTACTTTTTTATTTTTCACATTTCCAATATAGTTACTGATAATAGTGAAAGACAATCTGGAGAGAATTAAATTAGTTTGGTTGAATGATTAATTTTCTTTTTAAAGCTTCTCTCTGCTGCTCCAAATGGTCACTGATCAGAAAGCAGGAGGTGCTCCACACCTTTCCACATGCAGACCGAAGCTCTGCTTCATTCCAAGATGAGGATTAGACCGACCGACCTCAAACCTATATTCATCACTAAGGACACATTTGTATTTATATTAGTGCTGTCAAAATTATCGCGTTATTATCGCGTTAACGCAAGGCCATTTTAACGGCGATAATTTTTTTAACGTGAGATTAACGCTATGTGGTTTTATGGTACAATTTTCCAAGTACATCCCGCTGCAGCCTGCGGAAAGGCGGGGCTATTTTCCCCCAGTCTATGCATTTTCCATAGGCTTCGAGAGCGGAGCTCCTCAAGGAAAAAAGACGCTCATACACTGGGTAGCGCTAGTGCCTTTTCTTTAAGCTCCACCACCAACAAACAAGTTGAGTGTCTGGTAACTAGTAGCAACCTGAAATACGCTTAGAAAACAGATTACTGAGGTGAAATGGAATCTGCTACGGCACTCTTGCTGTCTGTGTACGCCACAGGTCGGTATCGTGTGTGTGTGTGTGTGGGTGTGTGTGTGTGTGGGTGGGTGGGTGTGTGTGTGTGTGTGTTCTCATTTTTGTTAAGAGGCTGAAAAGTAACTTTCTAGAGCATAGACTACCTCCAACTAGTGATGTCGGTCTATTGATTTTGATGTATTGATTGAAAATTGTTCATTATTATCTTGGTTAATTAACATCTAATGTTAACTGTACTACATTTTATAGCAGTAGGGTAAAATGCTTGTCTTTGTTCAAAAGACTGTATTGACTGTAAAGACTGTCTTTTACATCAGCCTGTTTTCAGGGCCTTTTTTTTGGCTACATATTTGTTATTTTTTGCTACATGCCTCCCCATCTTCTTGCCATATGTTTCTATGGCATAAATCAGTGTCTGTGACCTGTTTTCATTTTAAAAAAAGAACATTGGCACAAACCTAGCCTGTATGTATTTTTTGTATGTCATCGAGAGTATTTAAATGATTTTCAATCATAAAAAAAATTTGCGATTAAAATGCGATTAATCGCGAGTTAACTCAGGCATTGATGCTATTAATCGCGATTAAAATTTTTTTATCGATTGACAGCACTAATTTATAATTAACTTAAATAGAAAAGTTTAACCTGTTATCTTCTAATTCTGGTGGAACCAGTGCTAAAGGTTAACATTTGTTTCAGTCAGTAGAGACTGTGTGGAGGAGTGTGTGTGTGTGTATGGGGGGTGGGTTGTGTGTATGTGTGTGTCCTACCAAGCCAGCTGGTGATGCGCGGCTGAACTCAGAAAGGACCCGGGCCTCTCCAAAGGCGTTGACCAGAACCCACATGACGGGAAAGAGCAGGGGAAGGATGGGCAGGATGGCCATCAGCTGCAAAGACAGTTTCCACCTTAGAACAGGTTCTGGACAGTCCCAGCTGGTTCCAGGAACCAGGGTGGGGTTCTAGGTCCATCACGGTGTCCACTGTGGACCACCAGGATAGGACCCTGGAGTTCAGTGGAGTCAGTCCATCTGATCAGTCTGATCATTTCTAATATTCTAGCCATCAGCTGGAACAGAACCATGGGGGTTCTGGTTCCAACTGACTGTGGAGAAAGTCACTCCATTACTCAGAGGAACTGGAAGATTTTGAAGAGGTTCCTGTTCTGAGCACCAAACAAAAAAGAATTACAATAGTCCAGCCTTGAAGTAACAAATGCATGGACTAGTTTCTCAGCATCACCCCTGGACAGGAGATTTCTCTTTTTTGCAATATTCCTCAGATGAAAGAAGGAAATTCTAGAAACCTCTTTGATATGGGATTTAAATGACAGGTCCTGATCAAAAACAACACCAAGATTTTTTACTTTATTATCTGAAATCAGTTTAATCCCATCCAAATGAAGTGACTGACTAATCAGCTTCTTTTTCAAAGACTCTGGTCCAAAGACTATAACTTCTGTTTTGTCTGCATTCAGAAGGAGAAAGTTAAGAGTCATCCAGGTTTTTATGTCTTCAGACATGCCTGTAATCTATGTAATGGGTTAGCTTCATCTGGATTTATACAGATATAGCTGGGTATCATCAGCATAACAGTGGAAATTAATCCAATGCTGTCTAATAATTCTACCGATTGGGAGCATATATATAGTAAAGAGAATTGGTCCTAGCACTGATCCCTGTGGTACTCCACAGGTAACCTTTGAGCATGAGGAAGATTTATCATTAACGTGAACAAACTGAAATCGATCAGATAAGATTTAAACCAGTCTAGAGCTGTTCCTTTAATTCCAACAAAATCTTCAAGTCTTTCTAAAAGAGTATTATGGTCAACTGTATCAAATGCAGCACTGAGATCCAACAGGACGAGCACAGATACAAGTCCATTATCTGAGGCCATGAGAATATCATTAGTGACTTTCACCAGAGCTGTTTCAGTGCTATGATGAGCTCTAAAGCCAGACTGAAACTCTTCAAAAAGTTCATTATGGTGTAAGTGATCGCACACTTGTTTGGCAACTACTTTCTCAAGAATTTTAGATCAGAAAGGAAGATTGGATATAGGTCTATAATTGACCAAGTCATCTGGGTCAAGAGACGGTTTCTTACGCAGAGGTTTAATTCCAGCAACCTTAAAAGCCTTTGGTACATATCCCTGTAACAGAGAAAGATTAATTATATCTAAAATGGAGGTTAATTAGCTTCTCTAAATTCTCCTTAGTTGTGAGTGTGTGTGTGAATGGTTGCTTGTCCTGTTTGTCTCTGTGTTGCACTGCGATGGACTGGATACCTAGCCAGGGTTTACCCCACCTCTTGCCCGTAGACAGCTGGAGATAGGCACCAGCACCCCTCGCGACCACCCTAAGTTGAAGGCTAGATGAAGTTTTGCTAACTGGATCAAAGCAGTCTAAATCTCCCGATATGATGACACTGTCAGTCTTTAATACCAAATCAGATAGAAAGTCTGAAAACTCATCTAAATATTCAGAGTAAGGACCTGGTGGACGATACAAAGTAACAAAAAGAACAAGTTTTCTTGCTTTGCAGGTTGGATGAGGGAAATTAAGAGTTAAATGTTAAATGTTCTAAGAGTATTAACTGCCTTTGGAGTAATCAGTAAGTCAGACTGAAAGATTGTTGCTACTCCTCCTCCTCGCCCAGAACTTCTGGGGGTGTGAAAATTTAAATATTAAGGAGTAAGGCAACATAAATCAATGTGATTATCACAAATCAAGCCATTAACAAGCAGACTTCACTTTTTTGAGGAAAGAGATCTTATGTTAAATAAACCACTCCAAACCATTCTCCAAGAATAATTAACTGACTTATTTCACTTGTTTTCAGACTTTACATTAGAGGATAGAGGCATCAGGTCAGTGGGATGAGCTCCGACTGTGTGCAAACAGTAAAAAGTCCTGAGGTCAGAAGTCCAACAAGGTGTCTAAAACATGAGGACACCTGGAGTAAATAAAAAACATGAGGACACATGGACTCCATCTAAACCATGAGGACACCTGGAGTCCATCTAAACCACGACGACCACCTGGAGTCCATCTAAACCACGACGACCACCTGGAGTCCATCTAAACCACGACGACCACCTGGAGTCCATCTAAACCACGATGACCACCTGGAGTCCATCTAAACCACGACGACCACCTGGACTCCCTCTAAAACACGACGACACCTGGACTCCCTCTAAAACACGACGACACCTGGACTCCCTCTAAAACTCGACGACACCTGGACTCCCTCTAAAACACGACGACACCTGGACTCCCTCTAAAACACGACGACACCTGGACTCCATCTAAAACTCGACGACACCTGGACTCCCTCTAAAACACGACGACACCTGGACTCCATCTAAAACACGACGACACCTGGACTCCCTCTAAAACACGACGACACCTGGACTCCCTCTAAAACACGACGACACCTGGACTCCCTCTAAAACACGACGACACCTGGACTCCATCTAAAACTCGACGACACCTGGACTCCCTCTAAAACACGACGACACCTGGACTCCCTCTAAAACACGACGACACCTGGACTCCATCTAAAACACGACGACAGCTGGACTCCCTCTAAAACACGACGACACCTGGACTCCATCTAAAACACGACGACACCTGGACTCCATCTAAAACTCGACGACACCTGGACTCCATCTAAAACTCGACGACACCTGGACTCCATCTAAAACACGACGACACCTGGACTGCATCTAAAACACCACGACACCTGGACTGCATCTAAAACACCACGACACCTGGACTCCATCTAAAACACGACGACACCTGGACTCCATCTAAACCACCACGACACACGACGACACCTGGACTCCATCTAAAACACGACGACACCTGGACTGCATCTAAAACACGACGACACTTGGACTCCCATCTAAAACACGACGACACCTGGACTCCCATCTAAAACAAGACGACACCTGGACTCCATCTAAAACACCATGACACCTGGACTGCATCTAAAACACGACGACACCGGGACTGCATCTAAAACACGACGACACCTGGACTCCCATCTAAAACTCGACGACACCTGGACTCCCATCTAAAACTCCCTCTAAAACTCGACGACACCTGGACTCCCATCTAAAACTCCCTCTAAAACACGACGACACCTGGACTCCCTCTAAAACACGACGACACCTGGACTCCCTCTAAAACACGACGACACCTGGACTCCCTCTAAAACACGACGACACCTGGACTCCCTCTAAAACACGACGACACCTGGACTCCCTCTAAAACACGACGACACCTGGACTCCCTCTAAAACACGACGACACCTGGACTCCCTCTAAAACACGACGACACCTGGACTCCCTCTAAAACACGACGACACCTGGACTCCCTCTAAAACACGACGACACCTGGACTCCCTCTAAAACACGACGACACCTGGACTCCCTCTAAAACACGACGACACCTGGACTCCCTCTAAAACACGACGACACCTGGACTCCATCTAAAACTCGACGACACCTGGACTCCATCTAAAACTCGACGACACCTGGACTCCATCTAAAACTCGACGACACCTGGACTCCATCTAAAACTCGACGACACCTGGACTCCATCTAAAACTCGACGACACCTGGACTCCATCTAAAACTCGACGACACCTGGACTCCATCTAAAACACCACGACACCTGGACTCCATCTAAAACACCACGACACCTGGACTCCATCTAAAACACCACGACACCTGGACTCCATCTAAAACACGACGACACCTGGACTCCCTCTAAAACACGACGACACCTGGACTCCATCTAAAACTCGACGACACCTGGACTCCATCTAAAACTCGACGACACCTGGACTCCATCTAAAACTCGACGACACCTGGACTCCATCTAAAACTCGACGACACCTGGACTCCATCTAAAACTCGACGACACCTGGACTCCATCTAAAACTCGACGACACCTGGACTCCATCTAAAACACCACGACACCTGGACTCCATCTAAAACACCACGACACCTGGACTCCATCTAAAACACCACGACACCTGGACTCCATCTAAAACACCACGACACCTGGACTCCATCTAAAACACCACGACACCTGGACTCCATCTAAAACACCACGACACCTGGACTCCATCTAAAACACCACGACACCTGGACTCCATCTAAAACACCACGACACCTGGACTCCATCTAAAACACCACGACACCTGGACTCCATCTAAAACACCACGACACCTGGACTCCATCTAAAACACCACGACACCTGGACTCCATCTAAAACACGACGACACCTGGACTCCATCTAAAACACGACGACACCTGGACTCCATCTAAAACACGACGACACCTGGACTCCATCTAAAACACGACGACACCTGGACTCCCTCTAAAACGACGACACCTGGACTCCATCTAAAACACCACGACACCTGGACTCCATCTAAAACACCACGACACCTGGAGTGTAGCATGGTCTTACCTGCAGCTGGAGGAAGTTGTAGCTGCTGGGTGTGAGGCTGGGGGAGTCGCAGAAGAAGCGGACGGTGTTCACCAGCAGGAACGCCACCTGCAGGAGGAAGGAGCAGATGAATGAACCCTCCATCTGTTCCTAGAACCATTGAACAATGATTGAGGCTCCAGCAGCTCAGCTCACCAGTACAACAGGACAGACCAGCTTTGTGATGATGGACTGGACCGTGAACCGCTCATTATCCAACACAGTGATGGGCCGGGACAGAGCCAGCTCCAGGCTGCTCCTGTGGAGGGAACCAGAGTTTTAGGGTCTATAATCCTTTGATTATAGACCCTTGTTCCCCCCCCCCATTCATCCAGGCCCCCACCTGACCAGCTCCAGCACCGGGGTCCGGACCACTCTGAAGAGGCGGTGCTGCTGGGGGCTCTGGGGTTCCTTTTTCTCAACCCGGGGTGAAGGTGGGGGGGAAAACGGGGGGAAAAGATCTCCTGGTTCCAGGACTATGTGCTCATCATCCTGAGGAAGAGACAGAGGGTGTGAGAGGGAGCCATCCAAGTCCACAGCTTCTCCTCAGGAGAAAATGAGTTCATTATGGGGGCTGAGGAGCAAACCAAGCCTAGTCTGACCTTGATGCCTCTGAGAGATGCAAACGCCTCTTGGCCAGGTCGCAGAGCGATGACATCTCCTTCCACCAGCAGACTGACGGGCAGGTTGACGAGCTTAGAGTCCCGGTAGGTCCAATGAAGGGACCATGATGGAGACGGGGGCGTGTAAAGGTCAGGGTAAAGAGAGGACGGCCAATGAACTTCCCCCACACACGCTGACACATAATCTGTAAATAATAAAGGAGAGAAAGTAGGAAGCAGACAGTTTTAGCCCTGCAGCGTCATCAGAAAGCAAAATTTAACCCTTCAGAGGCAAGTTAAGATAAAAAAGTTTTTCCCTTTTTTTTTTTTTTTTTTTTTTTTACGGCACTAGTGGCTTGTTTTTTTCAAGGAGGCTGACAGGGTTGGGGGGGGGGGGGACATCGATTCGAACTCGGGTCGCCCGTGTAGAAGACTTAGGCCTCCGTACATAGGTTGTGCGCGCTAACCACTGCACCACCTGCTGGCCCTGGGTTTTCCTTTAAAGATAGTTTATTCATCCTCTGTTTCTGTTGCCATGGAAACATTCTCCCCAGAACTAACCTGGTCAGCACTACTGTTGGACCTGGCTTGATGTAGCCTGGATGAAACGAATGAAGCCAAGATGCACTAATCAGGCTAACTTGACTTTATATCTTATAATATTGAACAGCTTAATTACTGCTGAATATTTGAAAATAAACACTAATAGAAAGTTATTATTCAAATGGATATCTAGACTGCAGTCACTGGACAAGTTCCAACTATGACAGACAGGCGAGAAGCACACTGGACAAGCAGCAGTGATTTTCACATGTTCTCACCGGAGCTTTTGCACCGGCAACTCACCACTGAGTTGATTGATGATGCGTTTGAGGCGCCGGATCATCTCAGTTTTCTTTAGCCTCTCCTGACGGCCAACCAAGAGCAGGTTCAACAGGAAGAGGAGGAGTAGAGCTGCAGCGTTCACCATCTCTATACCAGAACTGGAAATCACAATGAAACTATTATTGAAAGTGTTGTTCTGAACTTAAAGGTTTTAAAACTTTTATATATAGATAAAGAAAGTAAAATCAATTATTATTTGATCCAGAATATGAGAAGAACCTTGGGTAGGTATGTGGATGTTTTAGGCAGAGCTAATTGAATCTTTTTGGAGTTTAGAGCATTTGGATGAATTATTGTGCTTTTCCTTGATATGCTACCTTAACTTCCCCATTTTAGGTCCATGACAGGAAGGTTCACCCCTTACCTGCCAGTCGGCTGGCTGCCGTGGCAGCAAATAAGTCCCAGAACAACCAGCAGGGTAAGGGCTCCGCCTGGCCAGTGGAGACAGGATTGCCGATTGCCATGGTATAGAAAGCTATTCAGCCACTGCTCCTATTGAAAAAAGGCAGAAATAAAAAATCAACAAAAACATTCAGTTTGTGATCCAAGCTCTGTATTTGGGAACATGCAGGTGGGAGGCAGTTCGACCTTGACCCTAGGCTTACACGCAAATATCAAAAGCTGTCCTAAAACAAATAAAACAATCTTTAAGATGTTCAAACTTTCTGAAATCCATTTTCTAGAAAAGCTCAAAAATAAGGGTGGAAATGGAAGTGCTTCAATTTATTATTATTTTTTTTAATGATAAAAACACTCCGAAAATTTTTCTCGACTTAGAGAGAACGTGCGTACCCGCCAGGAAAGCCGTCTCTGTCTGGCTCTCTGGTGCTGCTCCAGCAGGCTGCTGAGCTGGTCCCGGAGCTTCACCAGTGCCTGACTGGTTGAGAGGCCATGGGTCACACCATCTGCCCCCTGTAAACACATATCATCATAATTTACATCACCATTTAACAGAAAAAACAGGAGCATAAGCCTACAGGCATAATATATTTCAAAAAGATTTCTATAGCTCTTTTTTAACCAACCATCTTACAAGATAAGCTATTGCATCATTTCCAAAGTGCTACTCTGGGCACTACACCAAATCACAAAATACTGTGTTTTTTTGTGTAGGACTCGGCACAGTTCATCTGTGGCTCAGTTCTCTGATAACAGAGCACATCAGCAGACCATCTCATCTCCTATTTACAGTCAGCCGACACATCGCGGGTTTTCCAGAGTGTCCAGCTTTGTAATTCACAGATCTCATTTGCTGTTCACTACACAAACTTCTTCTTCTCAGCTTATTAACAATAAAAGGCATCAGAAGAGCGCTTTCTGACCTGTGATGATGCAGAGACCGAGGCTCTCATTGAAATGTGGGCAGAGGAGGCTATCCAGGCACATAAGTTCCTGAATATAATTGCCGCCGGCATTTTTGTTTGCTGCCTTGAGAGCTGTAATATCGTGGACCACCGATAGGAGGCGAGGAACCGTGCTAGCATGATGAGTAAATGGTCATAAGAACTAAGCTCGGCACGGTTACCTGATCCTGAAAGTTCGGACCGAGTCTAACCCTGCAAATAACCCTAACCTAAACCCACACCTTAGCCACAAACCCAGCTGTTAGCATAAACCCAAATGATCACTTTAGTGCAAATGGTCCTCACTCTGATGGCAGAACAGGACAACACACACACACTACCAAATAAGGCTGCTTGCTTGAACCCGAGTTTAACTCTCAGGCCCCACATCCCACGCAGACTAGACAGAAATAACTTCCCCACAACTATGGACCAGATTAGTGATAGTGATAAGATTAGTGTTTTTTTTTTATTTTTTTGGGGGGTGGGGCATGATGCAAGTATTATTTAATATCCCTCCTATATACGCAGTAAGTTCAGCGTGTTTTCTAGTAGATCTTCATTGTTTCCTCAAGTTTCTCCTGCATCTCTGCATCCTGACTAAATGTTTGGATGCATGACAGGAATAACTGCACAATCTAGGAGCAACAATCTATGTAGATAAAAAAAAAAATTACTTTTATTATAAGCTTGGATATATAAAAATCACATTCATAGATTGGATTTTTTTACTTTTTTGATTATAATAATAATATATAACAATAATACATTTGATTGATCAGAACTTTTAATGAAACAAATATACTTTAACAGGTAACTTAGAGCTTTTTATGCGGTGGAGGATCTAGAAGTGGATCTGCTGCTCTATGGATCCAGTGAAGGTGTTTTAGGACGGATGTTACTCAGTTCTATGAAGACTGTACCTCCTGCACAGTTTAAGTTATCTCAAAAATCAAAAACATACCAGAAAGCAAAGAAACGGTCTTGTCACCCTATAGTTGTAATTACGGTAGTGTGTAGGACTTCAGCAGCGCAGTGATCGTCCAATCACAGACCTGCTTCAGTGGCGCATCAGATGTTTGTAACAGTGACTCCGCAGTGACAACTAATCAAACAAGAAAACACAGTGGGCCAAACAGGAGATTGTGGGCGGGTCTAATCTCAGGGAAGATGGCTTTAGCCTGAGCTTGGTTTCCCGCTTGGTTCTAGTGCTCGACGAGTATCAGTGTACTGCAGCGTAACATCGTTTTTGAACAGTAAAAGTGCAGGGGACATGTCCCTGAGGCTGAGGCCACCCCATGAACATGTTAACAGTAACCAGCCTGGTTCTGATCCAAGCAGCAAACCCACCTGCTTCTTTTCCTGCATGGCCATGCTGCCAGACCCGCCCTCTCCACATGCTCTGCTGCTCAGGCCGTCATCAACTATTGGCAAGGGGCCTTCAGAACGGCCACAGAAGGTCCAGATGGGGACGCTCCACCCTGGAGGCTGTTCTTCTGGATCCCTTCCAGGTTACTGCTGTCGGAGCCCACCCATCAAGCGGCATAGGAGGAGCAGGAAGGCGGGGCTAAGACAGGCAGCGGCTGGGATGATGGTCCTGTAGAACCTGCAGGGACCAGCAGAGAGAAGGTCAAAGTTCATCTGATCCTCCACATAGAAACTCCTACCAAGTTCACCAGCATCACCATCATCATCATCATCGTCGTTGTCGTTTAGCTTTGATCAGAAACATCAAACTCAGTTTCTTTAGTCTGATCTGATTGTAGCTCTTCATGGTTTATAGCAGGTTTAAATATCCGCCATGTTTAGTTTGACGGAAACTAGAACAGAAACGATGTTTATGTTGCCAGAGTTGTTGATGATGATGGCTGGACCTCCTGGTTAAATTATGGCAGGAATGGTTGAGGTTTTAGCAGAAAGGGTCCAAAGTTCTGGACCCGCAGCTTCCAGGTTTAATGTTTAAAAACGTCCCTAAAGCGGTTCGGTCCGCAGCAGCAGATATTGGGTCATGGTTCCGTTAGAAACCGAACCGAGCTGCTGGTTCTGCTAGAAGTGGGTCAGTCTGGGCTGAAGGTTCTGGGTGAGAACCGGAGCCGCAGACGGCGTCGCCCTCCTACCGTCTGCTTCTACGTCATTAGCGTAACTGGATGGTGAATTGCAGCCGGCGGCAGGTTAATCATGGTAGACTGACCTGATGTTAGAGCTCAGCGGATCCTATCTTCTGTTCTCTGATGGACTTTTCTCCTTCACTGCCACAGCGGCGGCCATCTTTGGAAACTGTCCTGATACAGGAAGTGAGCTGTGATTGGATGTGCGTAAGCTCTCCTGTTCTCTGATTGGTTAACTCACTTCTCCATTCTTATTGGACCAACAGCTTCAACAGGAGCTCAGGTAGAGGCAGGATAAGCCCTGTAGATGTTGACATCACTTTTTATGAGACCGCTGACGTCATTACGCGAATTTAAACGTTTTCTTGTCCAAAGGGCTTGGAGGATGAGGATCATCAATGACCCCTCCCCCCCCACCATGGACTGTTCTCCCTGCTGCCCTCTGGGAAGAGGCTTCACAGCATTCAATGCAGGTCCAGCAGGTTCTGCAGCAGCTTCTTCCCCACCACCATCAGACTGATGAACTGCTGAGAAAACGATCCATGGATCACAAAAACAGAACAAACCATATAGAGATTTCAAAAGGCATAGATATTTAGAGGTAGAGAATAAATATAAGGATACATTAACTTCTATTCTACAAATATCTAAACAGCTTTATTACATTTAATTATTAAATAGAAATAAGAAAAATATCAAAGGGAGTTGGAATGTATTGAATCATTTTATCAAGAAAAACTCTGGAAAAATGAAATTTCCACAGTTTTTTTGTGAATAATGATAATAATTTTGAGGACATTAATCACGTTCATAATTTCAATAAATATTTTGTGAGTGTGGGACCCAAACTGGCTGAAAAAAATCCTGGATCCTACAACAACTGGAGCTCTGAATGAAACAATCAGCAGAAATCCTTATTCCATGTTTCTCACCGCGGTGACAGAAAGAGACATTATAGATATGCTCATTAAATGTAAAAACAAGAGGTCCACCGACTGTGATGGCATTGATGTGACAGTAATTAGGAAGGTAATTGAGGGAATTATTCAGTCTCTGACCTAAATCTGCAATCTGTCATTTCATTTGCGTAAATTTCCAGAAAAGATGAAAATTGCCAAAATTTATTCGACTTTATAAATCTGGGGACAGACACCATTTCTCAAATTATAGGCCTGTTTCTCTACTTTCACCTTTTTCAGAAATGTTGGAGAAATTATTTGTGGATAGATTAGATACATTCATTATTAAACATAAACTAATTCTTAAAGTCAGGATGGATTCAGATCCCAAAGATCTACAGGAATGGCCGTCACTGAATTGATAGAAGAAATCACCAGCGCCTCAGACAATAAGAAATCTGCAGTTGGTTGATTTATTGTCTCAAAAGAGCTTTTGAGACAATAAATCATGAAATATGAATTAAACAATTGGAGCGTTATGGCATCCAAGGAGTAGTGCTACTACAGAGTAAACCTGAACATCAGAACCACCATGAAGAGAATGTGCATTTCAGTCAGAGGAGTGAAGGTCCAGAAAGAGATGAAGCAAAATTCAAGCAGGAGTCTGTTTAGAAAAAGGCTCCAACTGATGGTTTTAACACATACTGTGATGAGGAGGGGAGGAGGATGTCGCTATGGGGTGAGAGGGGGGACCCATGGGGGGAGGGACTGTGGTGTGGGATATTGATTTGGTCAGGTAAGTAGCAGAGGGGGTTGTTAATCAGTTTCAGCTGCTTTGGTGTTAATTAAATTAACAACAGGTGCACTAGAGGGGCAACAACGAGACGACCATCAAAACAGGAATTGTTTTACAGGTGGAGGCCACTGACATTTTCCCCCTCCTCAACTTTTCTGACTCTTTTTCACCAGTTTTGCTTTGGCTAGGGTCACTGTCACTACTGTTAGCATGAGACGCTACCTGGACCCTACAGAGGTTGCACAGGCAGTCCAACTCCTCCAGGATGGCACATGAATACGTGCCATTGCCAGAAGGTTTGCTGTGTCTCCCAGAACAATCTCAAGAGCATGGAGGAGACTCTAGGAGACAGACAGTTACTCCAGGAGAGCTGGACAGGGCCATAGAAGGTCTACAACCCATCAGCAGGACCGGTATCTGCTCCTTTGTGCAAGGAGGAGCAGGAGGAGCACTGCCAGAGCCCTACAGAATGACCTCCAGTAGGCCTCTGGTGTGAATGTCTCTGACCAGTCAGAAACAGACTTCATGAGGGTGGCCTGAGGGCCGACGTCCTCTAGTGGGCCCTGTGCTCACTGCCCGGCACCGTGGAGCTCGATTGGCATTTGCCACAGAACACCAGAATTGGCAAGTCGGCCACTGGCACCCTGTGCTTTTCACAGATGAGAGCAGGTTCACCCTGAGCACATGTGACAGACGTGAAAGGCTCTGGAGAACCCTTGGAGAACGTTATGCTGCCTGTAATAATGTTCAGCATGAGCGGTTGGTGGTGGGTTAGTGATGGTCTGGGGAGGCATATCCATGGAGGGAAGCACAGACCTCTACAGGCTAGACAACGGCACCCTGACTGCCATTAGGTATCGCGATGAAATCCTTCCACCCATTGTCAGACCCTATGCTGGTGCAGTGGGTCCTGGGTTCCTCCTGGTGCACGACAATGCCCGGCCTCATGTGGCGGGAGTATGCAGGCAGTTCCTGGAGGATGAAGGAATTGATACCACTGATTGGCTCTCATGCTCACCTGACCTAAATCTAATAGAACACATAATTTTTTCACTGTAATTTTTGGGGTGTCTTTGAATTCAGCCCTCTGTAGGTTGATCATTTTCATTTCATGTTGTCGTTTTTTTGTTGTTTTTGTACGTGTGTGTGTGTGTGTGTGTGTGTGTGAATATTGGATAAAAAAAAACAAGTTTAACAGGAAAGTTACTCTACTTCTACTAGTTTATTAGAGTGTAATTAGAGGGAGAGGGGGCATGAATAATACGTTTTACTTCTTCATTCCCGTTTTCAGGCATGAATGATGTCATTTCTCTGGCTGTTTATACCGACTGGTTTATTAGGTGGACGGTTTAGTTTCTATTTTTGTTCAGGTGAATTTAGTTAGTTTGAAAATGGTGTTAGGTTTGTTTGATGTAAGCTAGTCTCTGTGTGTATTTAGTGATTCATTTTATTGTTGTTTTTAAAATTGTCTGAAATAAATTCCCATTCATTCATTCATTCATTCATTCAAATCCAGATTCTGCATGATACTGATGACATCATAATTGCACTACATTGTGAATCTTCAGTTGCCTTTAAATAGAGCTCAGCTCTCATTGCTGCACTTTATAAATGGAAATGTTCATTTCACTGCTAAGCTGCTCATTAGCTGTTGAAAAGCTGAATGCATGGAAAATTGGTTCTGTATAAACTCGGTGTATATAAGGTGACAATAAAGTTTGTCTAATTCAGGTGTTTATTAATGGGATTTATTCATGTTTATGTTTGTTTATTAATGGGTAATTGTCTCTTTTAAATATTGATCCAGTTATTGATAACAGCCAAACATACTAAATCAGTCAGAAGCAACTAAAGAGGACTGAACTCAGGGAAATGAAGTCCAGGCTGCTCAAAAAAGCAAGAAGAGCAACAAGCTTAGCTGCTAGGAAAGGTAAGAACAAAGGCTGGAAGACTCGACACAAAGAAGAACTGGCAAAGATGGCTGCAGAGGAAAAGTTGGAAAAGGTGAGGCAACAAGACACAGGTGAGCAGCATCGGGGAGGCTGATTAAAGGGGAACCCCAGGAAGAAAAGAGAACAGAAATTAGTGAACCAAAACAAAACAGGAAGTTTAAAAAACAACTGAGCCAGACACAAAATGACAAAAGAGAAAGAAAGTAATCAGCAGAGCTGCATGTGAAAACTACATGAATTAAGCAGTTAAAACTTTAATCTCTGCTATTTAGCCTGAACTGCAGTTTAAACATGAACTGGATCAGAAATGACATTTTCTCCAAAATGAGTCGATTATTTATTTCAACCAAACTGACACATACAACTGTCTGGTTTGCGATTAATAAGCATCCGTTTTCTACTCACGCGTTTCAGTTTAATAATCTTTGTTTTCATTAGAAAAGTAAAAGACTTCTCTCGCTGGTTTAAAGATTATTTAAATGAAGCTGCTGCTGAACTCTGAGGGGAAACTTTCCTCTTTCTCTGAATCGTTTCTGATCTCCTGACTTTAGGCTGAGACACTTTGCTCCTAACTGACTTTACCTTCTAAACACTTTATCACAAACACATCTTGTGACGTGTGCCTCAAACGTCTTCCTCTGCGTAAGGATTTAGGTCTTTATGTAATTTGGTGGTATTATTCTGGAAACAGCTGCTCACTGTACAAACTTGGAAAAACTCGTCTCAACTTCACTCTTGTGGAAATAGACGTGCTTTTTGGATTTGATGCCTGAACAGCTTTAATATCATCAATCTTTTATTAATCTTAGCAGCCTGTATCCATAAACGCCAAGTTGTCTCTAAGAAAGCTACTTTTAAACTCTGCCTGAATAAAATGTCACAACATGCAGATTCTATAGAGACGTCCTTTAAAATCCTGTAACTGGTTCCTCATGTTGATCTTTTCCTGAATCAGATTTTCCTCCTCTGGGATTATTGCTCTGTTCGCCTGTTATTTGCTTCACTTCTGTAATATGAACAAGATTAGATAAAGAAAAATCAATAATAGGGCAAATTATAATAAAACAGACAATCAACAAGTCAGAGGAACATTAATAAATATAAATATACACAGTTAGATATTTGAATAAAAATCAAACACGTTTCACTACATTTGGACTATGAAATATAGCAAATATAGAAAGAGAATAAGACGAGTAAATAAAACAAAATGCATCAGGCTGATTAAAGGTTTATGTTATGCCAGTTTCAGAGAGTTAGAAAATAAATAATTTTGTTTTAGATGTAAGATATACCAACATAGATAAATAAAGAACTTAATTAATATAAGAACGTTTTCTTTATTTTCAAGTAATTAGTTTTAATTTTCCAAGTAAAAGCCTATAATCAAAAACTAAAGGAAGAAAAATATTTAACAATAATGATTTATTTCATAAAGATTTGCAGGATTAAAGCTTTTTAACAGAATCTGAGGGTTTCATTCCTTGGATGCTGCTAGCTCTCTGTCCAGCAGGTGGCGCCAAGACACCTTTAATTCTCTGCCAGCCGCCATTACAGAAGAAGAAGCAGAAGAAGAAGAAGAAGAAGAAGAAGAAGACCTTTGACTTTTAATAACAATTCAAACATATCGACAATTAACGTAAACTAAGTGTCAGTTAAAATCATTAAATGAGGAGCTTGTTAAAATGCAGTTCTGCATCATCTGACACAGTACATAAAATGTTTTTAAAACCCCACAACTGAATAAAATCCTCCATGTTTTGTGTGGCTGTGTAAGTAAACTCCAGCCTGATCCTGGAGGAGGAGAAGAAGAAGAAGAAAAGAATGGAAGGTTGTTCTATACAATACAAAAGAGAAGAAGAGGAAAGAAGAGAGAATTATTATTTCACCGCTTAGAATCAGACACACAGGATTGAATCGGTCACTTTTTAAATATGGAAACATCAAAGGGAAATGTGAGGCGGTGGAGTTGTAGGAGATGTTTGATTCAGAGAAACAAAAAACTCGGTAATATGAAAATGAAAGTTGACATTAATTTGCGGCAAAATGAATCAAGAAACAGGATATCTGGTTAAATTTGAGTTTTTGATACAGATTAAATTGTACAACAGTTTGTTTTTGTGTGTGCGGTCCAAACTCCTTACCAGTTGGTGGCGGTAATGCTCACCTAACGTTTTTGCCAACTGCCATAAAAATTTCAAGAAGAAGAAGCAGAAGGAGGAAAATGTCCGCAGAAAAGAGACCTCGGACATGTAAGTTGCGCCTTTAATGGCTTCATATAAAACATGACTGGTTGGAATCAACCTGAAATGATCTCGTCGGTAAAAACGCTTAATCTAAAGTGGATGACGTCAGCGTCCGCCATGATAAGTGCTGTCCGAAAAGTAACGGGGAGAAGGAAGGAGGAAGGAGCTCCGTCCGAAACGGTCTATTTGTAGCTCCTCTTCCTTTCATGGTGTTACAGTTAGCTTAGCTAACAGGAAGTCTGGTTCTGCCTTTCTTTTCTGCTCAGAAATGTCCGAATATAGTGAGCTGCAGATCCGGACAGAAATGGATCAGAACAGTTGAGGTGCTTCTCCATGGTTCTGGTGGGTCTCCATGGTTCTGGTGGGTCTCTGTGGTTCTAATGGGTCTCCATGGTTCTCAGTGGTTCTTGTGGGTCTCCATGCTTCTCCGTGGTTTTGATGGGCCTCCATGGTTCTGGTGGTTCTCCATGGGTCTGATGGTTCTCCATGGTTCTGGTGGTTCTTCATGGTTCTGATGGGTCTCCATGGTTCTTGTGGGTCTCCATGCTTCACCATGGTTCTGATGGTTCTCCATGGTTCTGATGGGTCTCCATGGTTCTGATGGTTTTCCATGATTCTGGTGGTTATCCATGGTTCTGATGGTTTTCCGTGGTTCTGGCGGGTCTCCATGCTTCTCCATGGTTCTGATGGGTCTCCATGGTTCTTGTGGGTCTCCATGCTTCTCCATGGTTCTGATGGGTCTCCATGGTTCTGATGGTTCTCCATGGTTCTGGTGGGTCTCCATGGTTCTGGTGGTTCTGGTGGTTCTCCATGGTTCTGGTGGTTCTCCATGGTTCTGTTGGGTCTCCATAGTTCTGATAGGTCTCCATGGTTCTGGTGGTTCTCCATGGTTCTGTTGGTTCTCCATGGTTCTGGTGGTTCCCCATGGTTCTGGTGGTTCTCCATGGTTCTGATGGTTCTCCATGTTTCTCCGTAGTTCTGTTGGTTCTCCATGGTTCTGGTGGTTCCCCATGGTTCTGGTGGTTCCCCATGGTTCTGTTGGTTCCCCATGGTTCTGTTGGTTCTCCATGGTTCTGGTGGTTCTCCATGTTTCTCCGTAGTTCTGTTGGTTCTCCATGGTTCTGGTGGTTCCCCATGGTTCTGGTGGTTCCCCATGGTTCTATTGGTTCCCCATGGTTCTGTTGGTTCTCCATGGTTCTGGTGGTTCCCCATGGTTCTGTTGGGTCTCTATGGTTCTGTTGGGTCTCCATGGTTCTAGTGGTTCTCCACGATTCTGTTGGTTCTCCATGGTTCTGGTGGATCTCCATGCTTCTCCATGGTTCTGGTGGGTCTCCATGGTTCTGTTTGTTCTCCATGGTTGTGATGGTTCTCCATGGTTCTGATGGGTCTCCATGGTTCTGTTTGTTCTCCATGGTTCTGGTGGTTCTCCATGGTTCTGTTTGTTCTCCATGGTTCTGGTGGTTCTCCATGGTTCGATTGGTTCTCCATGGTTCTTGTGGGTCGCCATGGTTCGATTGGTTCTCCATGGTTCTGGTGGTTCTCCATGGTTCTGTTGGGTCTCCATGGTTCTGATGGTTGTCCATGGTTCTCCATGGTTCTGGTGGTTCCCCATGGTTCTGGTGGGTCTCTATGGTTCTGTTGGGTCTCCATGGTTCTGGTGGTTTTCCACGGTTCTGTTGGTTCTCCATGGTTCTGGTGGGTCTCCATGCTTCTCCATGGTTCTGTTGGTTCTCCGTGGTTCTGATGGGTCTCCATGGTTCTGTTTGTTCTCCATGGTTCTGGTGGTTCTCCATGGTTCTGAAGGGTCTCCATGGTTCTGGTGGTTCTCTATTGTTCTGATGGGTCTCCATGGTTTTGGTGGTTCTCCATGGTTCTGATGGGTCTTCGTGGTTCTGGTGGTTCTCCGTGGTTCTGGTGGTTCTCCGTGGTTCTGCTGGTTCTCCATGGTTGTGGTGGTTCTCAATGGTTCTGGTGGGTCTCCATGGTCCTGGTGGGTCTACATGGTTCTGGTGGTTCTCCATGGTTCTGTTTGTTCTCCATGGTTCTGGTGGTTCTCCATGGTTCGATTGGTTCTCCATGGTTCTGGTGGTTCTCCATGGTTCGATTGGTTCTCCATGGTTCTTGTGGGTCGCCATGGTTCGATTGGTTCTCCATGGTTCTAGTGGTTCTCCATGGTTCTGTTGGGTCTCCATGGTTCTGATGGTTGTCCATGGTTCTCCATGGTTCTGGTGGTTCCCCATGGTTCTGGTGGGTCTCTATGGTTCTGTTGGGTCTCCATGGTTCTGGTGGTTTTCCACGGTTCTGTTGGTTCTCCATGGTTCTGGTGGGTCTCCATGCTTCTCCATGGTTCTGTTGGTTCTCCGTGGTTCTGATTGGTCTCCATGGTTCTGTTTGTTCTCCATGGTTCTGGTGGTTCTCCATGGTTCAGAAGGGTCTCCATGGTTCTGGTGGTTCTCTATTGTTCTGATGGGTCTCCATGGTTCTGGTGGTTCTCCATGGTTCTGATGGGTCTTCGTGGTTCTGGTGGTTCTCCGTGGTTCTGGTGGTTCTCCATGGTTGTGGTGGGTCTACATGGTTCTGGTGGTTCTCCGTGGTTCTGGTGGGTCTCCGTGGTTCTGCTGGTTCTCCATGGTTGTGGTGGTTCTCAATGGTTCTGGTGGTTCTCCATGGTTCTGGTGGGTCTACATGGTTCTGGTGGTTCTCCGTGGTTCTGGTGGGTCTCTGTGGTTCTGCTGGTTCTCCGTGGTTGTGGTGGTTCTCCATGGTTCTGGTGGTTCTCCATGGTTCTGGTGGGTCGCCATGGTTCTGGTGGTTCCCCATGGTTCTGTTGGTTCTCCATGGTTCTGGTGGGTCGCCATGGTTCTGGTGGGTTGCCATGGTTCTGGTGGTTCCCCATGGTTCTGTTGGGTCTCTATGGTTCTTTTGGGTCTCCATGGTTCTGGTGGTTCTCCACGATTCTGTTGGTTTTCCATGGTTCTGGTGGATCTCCATGCTTCTCCATGGTTCTGGTGGTTCCCCATGGTTCTGTTGGGTCTCCATGGTTCTGGTGGTTCTCCACGATTCTGTTGGTTTTCCATGGTTCTGGTGGATCTCCATGCTTCTCCATGGTTCTGATGGGTCTCCATGGTTCTGTTTGTTCTCCATGGTTCTGTTTGTTCTCCATGGTTCTTGTGGGTCGCCATGGTTCGATTGGTTCTTCATGGTTCTGGTGGTTCTCCATGGTTCTGTTGGGTCTCCATGGTTCTGATGGGTCTCCATGGTTCTGGTGGTTCTCCATGGTTCTGATGGGTCTCCATGGTTCTGGTGGTTGTCCATGGTTCTCCATGGTTCTGGTGGTTACCCTTGGTTCTGGTGGGTCTCTATGGTTCTGTTGGCTCTCCATGGTTCTGGTGGTTTTCCACGGTTCTGTTGGTTCTCCATGGTTCTGGTGGGTCTCCATGCTTCTCCATGGTTCTGTTGGTTCTCCGTGGTTCTGATGGTTCTCTATGGTTCTGATGGGTCTCCATGGTTCTGTTTGTTCTCCATGGTTCTGGTGGTTCTCCATGGTTCTGAAGGGTCTCCGTGGTTCTGGTGGTTCTCTATTGTTCTGATGGGTCTCCATGGTTCTGGTGGTTCTCCATGGTTCTAAAGGGTCTCCATGGTTCTGGTGGTTCTCTATTGTTCTGATGGGTCTCCATGGTTCTGGTGGTTCTCCATGGTTCTGATGGGTCTTCGTGGTTCTGGTGGTTCTCCGTGGTTCTGGTGGTTCTCCGTGGTTCTGCTGGTTCTCCATGGTTGTGGTGGTTCTCAATGGTTCTGGTGGGTCTCCATGGTCCTGGTGGGTCTACATGGTTCTGGTGGTTCTCAATGGTTCTGATGGGTCTCAATGGTTCTGATGGGTCTCCATGGTTCTGGTGGTTCTCCATGGTTGTGGTGGTTCTCAATGGTTCTGGTGGGTCTCCATGGTTCTGGTGGGTCTACATGGTTCTGGTGGTTCTCCGTGGTTCTGGTGGGTCTCCGTGGTACTGCTGGTTCTCCATGGTTCTGTTGGGTCTCCATGGTTCTGATGGGTCTCCATGGTTCTGGTGGTTCTCCATGGTTCTGATGGGTCTCCATGGTTCTGGTGGTTGTCCATGGTTCTCCATGGTTCTGGTGGTTCCCCATGGTTCTGGTGGTTCCCCTTGGTTCTGGTGGGTCTCTATGGTTCTGTTGGGTCTCCATGGTTCTGGTGGTTTTCCACGGTTCTGTTGGTTCTCCATGGTTCTGGTGGGTCTCCATGCTTCTCCATGGTTCTGTTGGTTCTCCGTGGTTCTGATGGTTCTCTATGGTTCTGATGGGTCTCCATGGTTCTGTTTGTTCTCCATGGTTCTGAAGGGTCTCCATGGTTCTGGTGGTTCTCTATTGTTCTGATGGGTCTCCATGGTTCTGGTGGTTCTCCATGGTTCTGAAGGGTCTCCATGGTTCTGGTGGTTCTCTATTGTTCTGATGGGTCTCCATGGTTCTGGTGGTTCTCCATGGTTCTGATGGGTCTCCATGGTTCTGATGGGTCTCCATGGTTCTGGTGGTTCTCCATGGTTCTGATGGGTCTCCATGGTTCTGATGGGTCTCCATGCTTCTGGTGGTTCTCCATGGTTGTGGTGGTTCTCAATGGTTCTGGTGGGTCTCCATGGTTCTGGTGGGTCTACATGGTTCTGGTGGTTCTCCGTGGTTCTGGTGGGTCTCCGTGGTACTGCTGGTTCTCCATGGTTGTGGTGGTTCTCCATGGTTCTGGTGGTTCTCCATTGTTCTGATGGGTCTCCATGGTTCTGGTGGTTCTCCATTGTTCTGATGGGTCTCCATGGTTCTGGTGGTTCTCCATTGTTCTGATGGGTCTCCATGGTTCTGGTGGTTCTCCATGCTTCTGGTGGTTCTCCATGGTTGTGGTGGTTCTCAATGGTTCTGGTGGGTCTCCATGGTTCTGGTGGGTCTACATGGTTCTGGTGGTTCTCCGTGGTTCTGGTGGGTCTCCGTGGTACTGCTGGTTCTCCATGGTTGTGGTGGTTCTCCATGGTTCTGGTGGTTCTCCATTGTTCTGATGGGTCTCCATGGTTCTGGTGGTTCTCCATTGTTCTGATGGGTCTCCATGGTTCTGGTGGTTCTCCATTGTTCTGATGGGTCTCCATGGTTCTGGTGGTTCTCCGTGGTTCAGATGGTTCTCCATTGTTCTTATGGGTCTCCATTGTTCAGATGGGTCTCCATGGTTCTGGTTCAGCAGCAGCGCCCTCTGCAGGCGCCACAGGAAGCGGCTGTTTTCCGGAAGTCTACAGGGAAAAGCGTGCGGCATTCCTTCTGCCTCCATATTTCAGTCTTCAGATGATTGATGGTTGACGGTTGAATCCTGATGAATGGAAGCAGGAGGAGTCTCTGCCAAAGTGCCAATGAGCAGAGCGGCAGGTAGAGGAAGCCGGCTGCTTCCTGTCCACTGTGGGTTTTTTCCGTTAACAATAAATGGTTTCCTGTCGGTAACTCGGTGTAGAAAGACAAAGCGGTTCCTGCTGGAACCAGTAAAGTCTGGATCCTTCTGTCCCGCAGTCACAGACGAAGACACGCTGAGGTTCATCCAGACCCGAACCCGCCTGGACTTCCTGTTCACGGGGAAGAGAAACAAGGTCCACGGAGCGTGGCAGTAAGTCCATCCCAGTCCTGCTTCTGTCCATCCATGAGTCCACTGACTAACGCTGTGACATCATAAGGCAGGTCATCCAGGAGACGGGGGTGGAAGGGGTGGTCACTCCCACCCAGGCGGCCAAGAAGTGGGACAACCTCAAATCCAAATACAAGGTAGATTCCTGTTAGGACGTCGTTAGCTGACAGAAAGCTAAGGTAGGCTAACGATCCGCGTTCCTCCTGCAGGAGCTGACGAACCCCAACCTGAGGTCGTCTGAGGAGGAGGGCAGGGCCGCTACTTGGCCCTGGTTTGAAGCCATGCATGAGGCCATCGGGGAGCGGGGAGCTGTGGAGGCCCCTCACCTCATCGCTTCATGTGGGGCCCCAAACAAGGGCCGCTCCTCCCCGCCACCCTGCCGTGCCGCAGCCTCCACCAGCAACGGCTTGACTGCGCCGCAGCCCAGTAGGAAACGCTGCGGAGACGCACTGCTGCGCCTGATCAGGCAGCAGTGCGAGAAGGACAACGAGTACAGCCAGAAGATCATCGAGCAGAACGAGCGAATCATAAAACTGCTGGAGGACATGAAGAAGAACTGAGCCGCACCACACGCCCCAACATAGACACCTAACGAGTTCCTCTGTGGTTCCGGGCCGCTGCACTCTGCTGGTAACCAGGGCAACCAGGTTCCTGGATCAGGTGGTTCCAGCAGCATCAGCAGAACTTTGGTTCTTGAAACGTCCTGATTCCTTCGGCCGCAGGTCGCTCATGTGACACCAGGAGGAGGAAGGACTGCTGCTCCGTTTCTATGGCAACAGTGACCCTCCCCCGTCCCCCCAAAGGGTCTTCTATCACTTTGCCTTTTTGATAATCAGTATTTTCTACACTAGATGTTGTTTATCTCCACAGCTCAATAAAACCTTCTGTTCCTCCTGACTGGTTCTGGTCCTGGTCCTGGTTCTGGTCCTGGTTTATAGTTCTGGTTTTGGTTCCAGTTCCGGTCCTGGTTCTGGTCTCTAAATTCTCCTTAGGTGTTAGTGTGAATGGTTGTTTGTCCCGTTTGTCTCTGTGTTGCCCTGAGATGGACTGGCGACCTTTCCAGGATGGACCCCGCCCCTCTGTCCAGGGTGGACCCCGCCCCCCTATCCAGGATGGACCCCGCCCCCCTATCCAGGATGGACCCCGCCCCCCTATCCAGGATGGACCCCGCCCCCCTATCCAGGATGGACCCCGCCCCCCTATCCAGGGCGGACGGTGCCTCTTACCCGTAGACGGCAGCCCTTGCCACCCCAGCAGGGATGATGGTGGAGCTCCTTCAGTGACAGACTGCTGCCCCCTAAATGCACCAGGGAGCGTTATTACAGATCCTTTGTCCCAGCAGCTGGAAGATTCTAGAACCACCACTGTTCCCAACAACCTCAATCAGTTGATCCGTTCATGCTGATTTTGCACAGTTTCTACCTTAGTTAAATAACATTCTGCTGTCATTCTGCACATCTCTGATGTTGCTGCTATTTTCAAATATCCATTACTGGAAAAATGTCCATAGCTGCATGTTGGGTATTTATTCGCCAGTTTTATGTTGTTAAAATACTTTACAGGATTTTATTGTTTATCTTTTAACTCTTCACTATTATTTTTATTCTGATACATTTTTCTAAGGTCCACATTTGTGTGACCATTTTTATCCTGTTGTTGATGTAAATACCAGAATTACCCATGGAGGGAAAATAAAGGGATTTTCTATTCTATATTTGCTGTCCACATCATTTCATGTAGTGCTAATGATCTACAGATAGGGGGCAGCAGACACTGAGGCCCCAATTCTGTGGCACCAACGTATTTTAACAATCCTGGAGAAGCTTCACAGGAATGACTCATTGTTAGAAATAGTGTTTATTTCAGTCACATCAAGCAGCTACTGAACACTTTGATCAGATGTATGATTTTATTAAAAGTTTATCATCATTATGAACAATGAACATCTGAACATCTCTGGTATGAAGGAGATCCTGGATCTGATCTGGATGCTTTGAAGATCATGTGATCTGACTTAAATGGACAAATGGTCCCTAAAGCAGTCCTGAAGATGTCTGAGAGGACGGACGGACGGATGTCCAGCAGAGCTTAGCAACCCCAAACTCTATTGGTGGAAAAGCTGGTTCTCCTGAGGACCTTTGCAGCTCATCCCATCAGCTACTGGAGGTCCTGCTGACTGACCACGCAGTGGGTCTTTAATCCAGCTCAGATTTTTACAGTCACCCTCGTTCAGCAGCTACTGACTGCAGAGATGCACAGAACCTTCCAAAAGCTTTTACTTCCAGGGTTAACCCCAACGTTATTGTGCCCTTACTGTAAACAAAACCAACTCCTCCAGGTGTGCCATGCTCAGGTGGCTGCCTGTTTTTCCAGTAAAACCATCAAACCGCTCCAGTTGGTTTTAATGGCAGCGGCACTAAATGCTGCCAATCAGCTTCAAAGAGACGGTTTATTAAAGGAACTAGTGACTCGCTCAGTGAGAGAATAGGTGTCATCCATGAGGATGGACTCAGGAATAGTTCACTCAGCATCCATCTTTATCTCACTAGTCTGTGTGCAGCGTTTAGTTATCTCATCCTTCCTTCCTCAGATCAAACAGCAGAAATTAGATGATATTAAGGAAATAAAAGAATTATTGGTTAAACAGGTGAAGGAAGAGGAGGTTCTGGTCTGAGATCTGGGTCACAGCTGCATCAGGTGAGCTTAGCTGCAGCAGGAGGTCGAGTTGCACCACCTGCAGGTCAGTGGTCTGCTGCAGTGATGGGTGGTGTGGGTTAGAAGCAGCCAGTGAACACTGACCCATTGCCCCATTATTCCCTGGCAAACATGGCGCTGTTGTAATGATGATCCAGAGCCAGGAGGAGATATGATGAAACAAGGTCAGTGGGGAGCAGTTTAACAGGAAAGCCTCCATACTTAGCAGTGATTTACACTAAAGCAGAAGAGTGTGGAGTCAGTCGATCAGAAACTACCCAGATATAAGAAGGACTGGCTTAGAAAAACCCTGAATGGCACCAACATACAACATAAAGCTAGATTAGTCTGACATCCTGTTTTTGGTCTATAGACTCTGATTTGAAGTGGAGCTCGTTCCCTACAGCAGTAACCCTCACTGTCCTGTAAACCGCTTCCAAAAGGGGGAGGGTCTCCATGAAGGAGTCCTTTAGGGTGGATGGTCTCCATGAAGGAGTCCTTTAGGGTGGATGGTCTCCATGAAGGAGTTCTTTAGGGTGGAGGGTCTCCATGAAGGAGTCCTTTAGGGTGGATGGTCTCCATGAAGGAGTCCTTTAGGGTGGATGGTCTCCATGAAGGAGTCCTTTAGGGTGGAGGGTCTCCATGAAGGAGTCCTTTAGGGTGGATGGTCTCCATGAAGGAGTCCTTTAGGGTGGATGGTCTCCATGAAGGAGTCCTTTAGGGTGGATGGTCTCCATGAAGGAGTCCTTTAGGGTGGAGGGTCTCCATGAAGGAGTCCTTTAGGGTGGATGGTCTCCATGAAGGAGTCCTTTAGGGTGGAGTGTCTCCATGAAGGAGTCCTTTAGGGTGGAGGGTCTCCATGAAGGAGTCCTTTAGGGTGGAGGGTCTCCATGAAGGAGTCCTTTAGGGGCGTCTCCACAGTGAGAGGAAGGAAGGCTTCAGACTCAAACAACCACCCCCACCTTACCACCACCACCTGTTTCTGTCGTAGCTGATTACATTCTCCTGATTTCTGTTCTGGATTCCTCTGTTATCATCTGCATTCCTTGTGGTCGTTCACATCCAAACGAGTTTCTCTCTACCAGGCTGATGGACGGCTGGTTTATGAGGGATTCAGACCAAAGCTCTGCAGATCCACCTTAAAGTGATGATTGATTGAAATGTTAAAAGGAAGAATTTGAAAGCAGAACCATCCCGTCAGATTTAGGCCCTTATTCCCCCCCTACACCACATGGCTCAGTCTGCACAAAAGAGGTTAAGAGACCTCAGCTCAGTTTCAGTTAGGCTGGAATCTCTGGAAGTTGATCTGCTAGCGGTCCGCCACTGACCCAGCTGCTGGCAGCTAATGACTCCGGGGAAACTTTTCAGCCCCAGAAAAACAAAATGTGAGGCTGTCTCTGCGTTAGCCACTGTCACAGCTTAAAGATTTAGACCAGTGTATTCTTGCCATACAGAAAATCTGCCTAAAACGCTAGCATATGTTGGATAAGTTATAAAACACGCTGAAGTACGCTGAAACACGCTGAAGTACGCTGGAACACGCTGAAGTACGCTGAAACACGCTGAAGTACGCTGAAACACGCTGAAGTACGCTGAAACACGCTGAAGTACGCTGAAACACGCTGAAGTATGCTGAAACACGCTGAAGTACGCTGAAACACGCTGAAGTACGCTGAAACACGCTGAAACACGCTGAAGTACGCTGAAACACGCTGAAGTATGCTGAAACACGCTGAAGTACGCTGAAACACGCTGAAGTACGCTGAAAAACGCTGAAGTACGTTGGAACACGCTAAAGTATGCTCGAACACCCTGAAGTACGCTGAAGCACGCTGAAGTACGCTGAAACACGCTGAAGTACGCTGAAACACGCTGAAGTATGCTGGAACACGCTGAAGTATGCTCGAACACCCTGAGGTACGCTGAAGCACAATTGAAGTACGCTGAAACACGCTGAAGTATGCTGGAACACGCTGAAGTACGCTGAAACACGCTGAAGTACGCTGAAACACGCTGAAGTATGCTGGAACACGCTGAAGTACGCTGAAACACGCTGAAGTATGCTGGAACACGCTGAAGTACGTTGGAACACGCTGAAGTATGCTGGAACACGCTGAAGTACGCTGAAACACGCTGAAGTACGTTGGAACACGCTGAAGTACACTGAAACACGCTGAAGTACGCTGAAACACGCTGAAGTACGCTGGAACACGCTGAAGTACGCTGAAACACGCTGAAGTACGTTGGAACACGCTGAAGTATGCTCGAACACCCTGAGGTACGCTGAAGCACAATTGAAGTATGCTGAAGCACGACTGAAGTATGCTGAAGCACGACTGAAGTATGCTGGAACAGGCTGAAGTACGCTGAAGTATTCTGGAACATGCTAAAGTATGCTGGAACACGCTGAAGTACGCTGAAACACTCTGAAGTATGCTGGAACACGCTGAAACACGCCCACGGATGGCAGATGCTGGCATAATGAATGCCAGCATCTGCCATCCATGAGCTGTAAGATCCAGGTCATTTATCTGATGATTGACATACATTCAGAGTCTGTTCCTCATCAGTCGTGGCGTCTAGCTTATCCTAAACCTATGAGTAACTTCTGCGTAACTTATCAGGAACTTCTCTCCAACGCATATCAACGTATCTGAGGAAACAGGAGGAAACCATCAGTTCTCCTCCAGACTTCATCCCCATCATAGGGTGAGCCAGAAGGTGAGTGTGATGGATCCTCCCTGCGTTCATGCCCACCACCGCTAAACTTCCTAGCAGACATGACGCTGAATCTGCTGCCACCAAAAACCTTCTTTCTTTCTTTTATTTCTTCTTCTTTTTCTGATGGGTGGTACACAGCAGCTAGTTTAATACTGCAACACCAGGAATCTTTTTCTGCAGGCCGGGCGCCTCCGAGTGCGTCACTGCCCCCCTCAGGAAAGTGTGCATCATTTCCTGGGCATTGCTTATGCAGAAGTTAGGCTGTCGTTGGACAGAAGTTCCGGACTTGTTTTGAATACTCTATTTATACGCCCAGAATAGAAAATATACATAGAAAGGTCAGCATTTTAGGAGATTCTGGGACAGCGGGCATAAATCGTCCAGGTGAGACAGGAGCTTAAGGTGTTCAATAACACTCACCTGTTCTCTGTTTAGAGGCACTTTGGCAAAACACAAAAGATCTATTTAAGTATTCACAGCCCCTTGTTGAAATTTGTTTACAACAACCAGGTGGTGAAACCAGCCTGGAATAGTTTCAGAGCAGAAACTATTTCAGGCTGCTTGTTTATCAGCTGATGGCGACTGAGCCGCGCTGCAGGAATGTCCTGTTTGTTCTGTGGACACTGAGTCATCTCTGGGTCATAACCGCCATTAGTTTCATCACACCTTCAGCTTTAGAAAATAGTGATGGTTACTGATGAGCTGGATTTAAACTGTTACAAAAAATATATGATATAAAATAAAATACATTTTATTTTCCAGGACTGATGCTGCATAGAAATAAATGCTATCAATTATTTCAAACTCTTTCTTCAGAAACTGAGCTTAGCTGGATAAGAGATTGAATCTGCTGAACGTTTAGTCCTGATCTATTTAGTCATCACTTCCTCTTTCAGCCTCCCTAAACGGCCATGTTAGGTGCTCAGTGATACATGGCTGGACTGATATATTTAATACTAAGAAGCTGGTTTAGATAATTTTAGATTCAACAACCTTGAGAATCATTCAGAGTTAGCAACAAACCGTTAGCCAGTCTGGCGACTAACTGAGAGTCTCAAAGCTAAACTGACTTCCCTTCTGGTCGGTCCATTAACTGAAGGAATAAAAACTGTGAAAACATCTTGAAGAACATCTTTCTTCAAGATGTTTTTTTAAATTATGAGCGAGAAGATTTAAATCAGTGCAGATATTTTTCTCTGTCTTTATTTACTGACTAGGCAATGAATGTAGGCCTATTAGCTGCCTGGTAGCAGTCAGGTAGCAGCCTGTTAGCAGCCAGGTAGCAACCTGTTAGCAGCCAGGTAGCAACCTGTTAGCAGCCTGGTAGCAGCCAGGTAGCAGCCTGTTAGCAGCCAGGTAGCAGCCTGTTAGCAGCCAGGTAGCAGCCTGTTAGCAACCAGGTAGCAGCCAGGTAGCAGCCTGGTAGCAGGCTGTCCTGTCTGACCTGCTATCAGTCAGCCATGTTTATCTGTCCATCACCACAGTAGCAGGTTACAGTAGTGCAGACAGCCTCCTGGCTCAGAGGATGAACTCCAGTAACCCAAACAGATCGCGCGAGAGCTGCAGGTGACGTCATGGTTTGTCCCGCCTTGTAATCGCCTTATCTTTGGAAATCACGCGCCTCTGTAAGAGGATTGGTTAGACGCTCACACCTCCGCTGCGTGATTGGCTGCGTGCGCCGCCATTCAGAGGGGTCCATCGGTGACATCAGAGGCCGGTCTGGTTCAGCCGGTCCTTCGAAGCATCTTTCATTTTTACAGCATCAGTGGAAAAATTAAAGCAAATGAAATGTTTTTTATTAAACCAGTTTAGTGTTTTTCACACCGTTTGTGTCTCAGGCACCTCAAGAAAAAAGCCTGAAATAAAGTAAGAAGGTTCTTTTGGTTTGATGAGGCTGTGAACTCCAGTAACCCCGCGAGCATCTCTGACCTGTGACGTCGGCAGCTGCTCCATCAGTGGATCCAGCAGCTCTGCCTCTGCTCTCATTGGCCATGACTGTGAAGCGGCTGTCAGCCCATGTGGCGTGGCCATCCATAACACAGCGCATTTATATTCCCCAGCAGAAGCTTCATTCAGATCGCAGCGCGACACGCAGAACACAGGTGAGTCCTGGACCCACGCGGATCCACTTATTTTAATATAGAGCAGCCCTAACCTTAGAGGTTTTAACTTTTGATGTAATTATTGATAAAGTCACTATCGAATCCTTTACTTGGTTGTTTTAAATTTAAAACACTCAGTTAAAAATCTTGATTTGTCAGCTGCTTATTTCCAGTAACGTGTCATCATGGTGCCTTTGATCACTGTCCGACATCATTGCTGTAACTTTCCTTCAGGAGGCCAGAACCTTCCACTTCTAAAAGCCTCCATCAGGAACTCCAAACCGGTTCTGAGCATCAATAGATCCGGTCTGAACAGGTTCCTGCAGGAGTCTGAGATGCTCCCTATTTATCATTTCATGATCTGATTCCTTTTGCTTGGCTCTGCAACCAGGGGGCCTTAAATCAATGGGCCGGTCCGAGCTCTGCTCCCAGGGGGCCTTAAATCAAAGTCCTTCCAGGGCTCTGCACCCAGAGGGCCTTAAATCAAGGGGCTGGACCAGGGCTCTGCACCCAGGGGGCCTTAAATCAAAGGGCTACCCAGGGCTCTGTTCCCAGGGGGCCTTACATCAATGGGCCGGTCCAGTGCTGTGCTCCTAGGGGGCTTTAGATCAATGGGCCGGTCCAGGGCTCTGCTCCCAGGGAGGCTTAAATCAAAGGGCTGCCCAGGGCTCTGCTCCCAGGGGGCCTTAAATCAAAGGGCTGGCCCAGGGCTCTGCACCCAGGGGGCCTTAAATCAAGGGGCCGGTCCAGGGCTCTGCACCCAGGGGGGCCTAAATCCAAGGGCCAGTCCATATCCAGTTGATCTGATCTTCTCCGCTGTGGTGGACCCGTTGAATGTGGACATGCTGGTGACTTTAGTTGTGAATCAGTGATGTGCACTAGAGACTGACATTTTTTCGGGAATCCCACGGGTCACGGGATTCCCGTGGGATTCCCGTGGGATGGGAGTCAGTATTAGTAACGATCATGGGATTGGGACGGTACAGGATTAAACATTAACGGGAGCAGACGGGAGCGGGAGCAAACCAATAGTAACTTCCGCTCTGAGTTTTTCACCCGCGCTCAAAAACAACAAGAATGGGAGTGGTGCAGGAGCGGGAGTCATTCTGAATGGGAGCGGGATGGGAGTGGGAGTAATTTCACCAGGAGTGGGACGGGACAGGATTTAGATTTCTACTCTGGCCCGGGATCGGGACGGGACACCATTTTTTTCTGTGGGAGTGGGACAGGACAGGAGTGAAAATCCACTCCCGTGTCAGTCTCTAATGTGCACATGGTGTCTTTAACAATCACAAATGATGCCAGCTGTGGTCTCAGTCAAGCTGAGATTGACTGTAGGTTGATGGTTTGATCAGGAATTGAAAGGACTGGTTGTTGCTGTTGGTCAGCCATTGGAGGATGAGGTTGCTAAGGTCTATGATCTCCTTGTCTCTCCTGGGGTCATGGCTGACCAAGCTTGGTCTTCAGGCCCCCATAGGAGGGGGGGCCCCTGTGGTCGGTGATGGACCCCTAGCAGTTCAACCCGATAGAAACTGTGGTTCTGAAACTGACCCGGCAGCCATCAGTTTAGGGGAACCTAGGGTCAGTTTAGGGGAACCTAGGGTCAGTTTAGGGGAACCACAGGTCAGTTTAGGGGAACCACAGGTCAGTTTAGGGGAACCACAGGTCAGTTAAGGGGAACCACAGGTCAGTTAAGGGGAACCAAGGATCCGTTAAGGGGATCCAAGGATCCATTAAGGGGAACAGAGGGTCAGTTTAGGGGAACCAAGGATCCGTTACAGGGGACCATAGGTTAGTTTAGGGGAACCAATGATCCATTAAGGGGAATCAAAGGTCAGTTAAAGGGAACCAAGGATCAGTTTGGGGACGAAGGGTCAGTTAAGGGGAACCAAGGATCAGTTAAGGGGAACCAAGGATCAGTTAAGGCGAACCAAGGATCCGTTTAGGGGAACCAAGGATCCATTTAGGGGAACCAAGGGTCCGTTAAGGGGAACCAAGGGTCCGTTAAGGGGAACCAAGGATCAGTTAAATGGAGCAGAGGGTCAGTTTAGGGGAACCAAGGGTCAGTTTAGGGGAACCAAGGGTCAGTTTAAGGGATCCAAGGGTCAGTTAAGGGGAACCAAGGGTCAGTTAAGGGGAACCAAGGATCAGTTTAGGGGAACCAAGGATCAGTTTAGGGGAACCAAGGGTCAGTTAAGGGGAACCAAGGGTCAGTTAAGGGGAACCAAGGGTGAGTTAAGGGGAACCACAGGTCAGTTAAAGGGAACCAAGGATCAGTTTAGGGGAAAAAAAGGTCAGTTAAGGGGAACGAAAGGTCAGTTAAGGGGAACCAAGGGTTAAGGGTAACCAAAGGTCAGTTTAGGGGTATCAAGGATCAGTTAAGGGGTATCAAGGATCAGTTAAGGGGTATCAAGGATCAGTTTAGGGGAAACAAGGATCAGTTTAGGGGAAACAAGGATCAGTTTAGGGGAAACAAGGATCAGTTTAGGGGAAACAAGGATCAGTTTAGGGGAAACAAGGATCAGTTTAGGGGAACCAAGGATCCGTTAAGGGGAAAAAAAGGTCAGTTAAGGGGAACGAAAGGTCAGTATTGGGGAACCAAGGATCCGTTAAGGGTAACCAAAGGTCAGTTTAGGGGTATCAAGGATCAGTTAAGGGGTATCAAGGATCAGTTAAGGGGAAACAAATATCAGTTTAGGGGTATCAAGGATCAGTTAAGGGGAAACAAATATCAGTTTAGGGGTATCAAGGATCAGTTTAGGGGAAACAAGGATCAGTTTAGGGGAAACAAGGATCAGTTTAGGGGAACCAAGGATCCGTTAAGGGGAACCAAAGGTCAGTTAAAGGGAACCAAGGATCAGTTAAGGGGAGAAAAAAAAGGTCAGTTAAAGGGAACCAAGGATCGGTTAAGGGGAACCAAAGGTCAGTTAAGGGGAACCAAGGATCAGTTAAGGGCAAAAAAAAGGTCAGTTTAGGGGAACCAATGATCCTTTAGGGGTACCAAGGATCAGTTAAGGGGAACCAAAGGTCAGTTAAGGGGAACCAAGGATCAGTTAAGGGGAACCAAGGATCAGTTTAGGGGAACCAAGGGTCAGTTTAGGGGAACCAAGGATCAGTTAAGGGGAAAAAAAGGTCAGTTAAAGGGAACCAAGGTCAGTTCAGGGGAACCAAGAGTCACTTAAGGGGAACCAAGGGTCAGTTAAGGGGAACCAAGGGTCAGTTAAGGGGAACCAAGGGTCAGTTTAGGGGAACCAAAGGTCAGTTTAGGGGAACCAAGGATCAGTTAAGGGGAACCAAGGGTCATTTAAGGGGAACCAAGGATCAGTTAAGGGGAACCAAGGGTCATTTAAGGGGAACCATGGGTCAGTTAAGGGGAACCAAGGGTCATTTAAGGGGAACCAAGGGTCATTTAAGGGGAACCAAGGATCAGTTAAGGGGAACCAAGGGTCATTTAAGGGAAACCAATGGTCATTTAAGGGGAACCATGGGTCAGTTAAGGGGAACCAAGGGTCAGTTTAGGGGAACCAAGGGTCAGTTTAGGGGAACCAAGGGTCAGTTTAGGGGAACCAAGGATCAGTTTAGGGGAACCAAGGGTCAGACTTTTGTTTTAACTCCAGAACTTCATCTTGAGTTGCTTTGGATCGTCATCCTGCTCCAGAACTAAGCTGTTGTTTGGGCTGAGGCTCTTCCTGAAGGAGGTTCTGGGTGAGACCCAGCAGATCAAAGGAAGACAACCAGGATAGACGTTCCCACAGCCATGGTCTGAAGATGAGGAGCAGCAGCAATACTCTATCTGAGAACGTCTTTATTCCACATCTGATTGTGGAACTTCTCCTCCTTAGAAAGATCTGAGAGGTCTGTGATCTTCATCATCTGTCTTTGAACTTCCTCTCAGTGGAGGATTGAAGGTGGCTGGGTCTTCCAGCACAGCGATCATCTAAACACGACGCTCTGCCAACCAGGGAGGGGCCTCTTTAAAAGCTTGTCAAGGTCCTGGAGGTCCCAGCCGGTCTCCAGACCTCAACCTTTGGGGTCTGCTTGGATGAAACGACCAGCAGCTAATATCAAAGTTCATCCAGATATCTGATTATGGGTTTTATGAGGTTTATAGAGATTCTAACGGTAGAATGGGTCTTGGTGTTTAACACCCTGTGGACAAAGACGTGTCTCCTTATGTGTTAAATGTCTTCATCCTCACCTTATCTGTGTTACAGTGATTCAGGATGGAGGAGATCGTCATAGCCGGAATATCAGGCCGTCTGCCAGAGTCCCACAACCTGGAGGAGTTTTGGGAAAACCTCATCAAAGGCGTGGACATGGTGACTGAGGACGACCGTCGGTGGACACCAGGTTAGACCTCCAGTGTGGTGAACCTGCTCGCACCAATCCGTTCAACCTTGGCTAACTCAGTGCTAACACTTGATCAGATGCCACCGGCTGATTGTCGCAAAGAAGACGCTGGAGGCTAACTCGGCGCTAACACTCGATCAGACGCCAGTTGAAGGCAGTTACAGAATGGTTCCTGGGTGTTGCTTGTGTCGTTTGAAAAAATCTGTTGGTAGTTTTTCTTTGGTTTTGAATGAATGTTTTAGGGAACTCATACTCGTCATCTGCAACATCTGGGACTGACCGGGTCAGGGGGGCAGCATTCTCAGCAGAGACTCCCAGATTTCCATCTCCTCATCATCTCTCAGGCCAGCAGAGACATTCTACCCCTTTCCCACTGGCTGACAAACCAGTTTAAACTGGAGCAATGGGATTTTAGTGGCAGTTGAAACGGCTCACTGCAAGTGTCTACCAGGGTCAAACGACTCGGCAGCGACCAGTTTTAAAATCTCCTCGGCTTTGATCGGCATGCTGTGGGAACACCAGAGTCGGGTCGACCCGCTGAATTCATGATACCATTGAACACATCGTACGAACATCAACAAACACACCGCGCCAGTCGCTTCTGATCTAACAATCAGGGGGTGGGGGGTTGGGTTGGGTTGGGGCAGAGGCCACACAGCTGCAAGCGAGGGGTTAGAATCAAATGAGAAAAGAGCCAAAATCAGATTATTAGCGATTAACCTGGTTTTGAAAAACTGGGGTTTTCGTCTGGAAAACGGCCATTGTCCGTCCATGGTGTACTGGTCGTCCCCCAAGCCTCCTAACCGTGGGACATCCCTGGAACCCCTCAGAGGGAGGCGTCCATCAGATAAAGATGTCTGATCCTCCTCAGCTGTGGAGGAGAAGTGGCTCTACTCTGAGCCTCTCCCTGATGACCCAGCTCCTCACCCTCTCCCTGAGGGAGAACCCAGCCTCCCTGCGGAGGAAGATTGGATCCAGGATCTAGTTCTTTGGGTCCTGATCCAGATTAATGACCTTAGGTGAGGGTAGGAAGGAAGGCCGACTGCTAAATCATTATTCCTTCCGGATGAGCCTGGGCGAGACGCGCTAGGAAGAAACAGATCATCAGGCGCTCACCGAGGAAGCCAAACCCTAGACCAGGCTCCAGGGCGAGGTCCCAGCTCCGCCATACTGAGTGATGTCATGTGCACCCTTTTTTGTCTTCATGGGAGCTCTTTGAACCACTTTGTCTGACCCATTACCCATACCCTATTTGCCTTGAGAGACCCTCCCAGGGGCCTTTAAAACCAGGGCAGCCTGGCCTCTATGTGAAATCCCTCCCTCACCTTAAGGTGGCGTTCAAGGATCCAGGGGATTTATGTTTTCCTTCACTGATCAGTTGCTTATAGCAGTGTTTTTCTATAATGGATTAAAGCAATAGATGCAGGTGATAGACCAATTAGCGTTAGTTGACATTTAACTTTTCCTTGCCCTAAAGGGCTCATTATGATTGACAAATTGGCTATGCAGCCATCATGAGTCAAGTCAAACATAAACCACGCTTTATGCTAATGTTTAGCTTTGGTTAGCATTAGCAAACATTTAATTTGCTAGTTCATTAATGCTAATGTTTAGCTTTGGTTAGCATTAGCAAACATTTAATTTGCTAGTCCATTAATGCTAACGTTTAGCTTTGGTTAGCATTAGCAAACATTTAATTTATTTGCTAGTCCATTAATGCTAATGTTTAGCTTTGGTTAGCATTAGCAAATATTTTATTTGCTAGACCATTAATGCTAATGTTTAGCTCTGGTTAGCATTAGCAAACATTTAATTTGCTAGACCATTAATGCTAATGTTTAGCTTTGGTTAGCATTAGCAAACATTTAATTTGCTAGTCCATTAATGCTAATGTTTAGCTTTGGTTAGCATTAGCAAACATTTAATTTGCTAGTCCATTAATGCTAATGTTTAGCTTTGGTTAGCATTAGCAAACATTTAATTTGCTAGTCCATTAATGCTAATGTTTAGTTTTGGTTAGCATTAGCAAGCATTTAATTTTGGATGATGAAGGTATTTTCTGACCTCAGCTTATGAAGAAGGGACCTTCTGCAGCCGTTTGCTGTGACTCTGGAGGCGTAGCAGAAGTCGTTGCCTGATCTTTTCATCCCACCTTCAGGCTTCACATCGGATGTTAAGATGGCCGACATGGAGAGGATGCTCTGTCTCTTCGTTGTTCTTATTGTTGCTACCCCCAAAAGCAGTAAGGAACCAGTTAAACCACAGTCCTTCTGCGTTTCTCCAGGTTTGTACGGTCTTCCCAAAAGAAATGGCAAACTGAAGGACATCAGTCACTTCGATGCAGCGTTCTTCGGCGTCCACCCCAAACAGGCCCATACCATGGACCCCCAGCTGCGGCTCATGCTGGAGGTCTCCTATGAAGCCATCGTGGATGGAGGTGGGGAATCAGAAATAGTTGTAAAGCCGAGGTGTGTGGCTGTTGCTGAAATATGTCGCCCACAGGTCTGAACCCGAACAGTCTGCGCGGCAGCAGGACTGGCGTCTACGTTGGAGTGAGCGGCTCTGAAGCCGGCGAGGCCTTCAGCAGAGACCCAGAGGAGCTGTTGGGCTACAGCATGACGGGCTGCCAGCGGGCCATGTTGGCCAACAGACTCTCCTACTTCTTTGACTTCAAAGGTACACTTAGCATCCAGAACCAGTGTAACTGGGAGTACTGGGACCAGCTCCTCTCTAAGCGCAGTGAACCAGTGTTTTCATCCCCACAGGCCCCAGTGTGACCATCGACACAGCCTGCTCCTCCAGCCTGCTGGCCTTAGAAAACGCCTTCCACGCCATCCGGCAGGGCCACATCGACGCCGCCCTGGTGGGAGGAGTCAACCTGCTGCTGAAGCCAAACACTTCGGTGCAGTTCATGAAGCTGGGGATGCTCAGCCCTGATGGGACCTGCAAGTCTTTTGACTCCTCAGGTAGAAACAAACAGCAGAAAATTCAAGAAGGGCTCCATTTAGCTTTGATTCTGGTCGGCGTTGCCTTAACTCACAGCTCCTGTTTTCATTTAGGGAATGGATACTGCCGTTCTGAAGCGGCGGTGGCGGTGCTGCTGACCAGGACGTCTGCAGCAAAGAGAGTCTACGCCACCATAATCAATGCAGGCAACAATACGGACGGATACAAAGAGCAAGGTCAGTGGAGCCACCAGACATCTGGACCGGGTCTGCCTTCACGTAGATCGCTATATTTCAGCTTCAGCACAGTTCCTGATATCCTGGAGAAAATGATCTCTGATGCTGTTGCTGGATGAATGCAGCAGACTGGTGTCATTAGAGTCCTGAACCCTGCAGAACCAACCAGAACCTTCAGGCTAAACCAGACGCTGCTGCTAACAGGAGTTAAAATGATTCGAAATCCTGACTGGATCTTTGAGCCGAGGGATGTTGGGAGGAGTGGATCTGGTATTCCTAAACCGCAGAGGGTTGGTGCTTAGAAACCTGCAGAACTACAGACAGACGATCAGATGGATGAACGGATTCAGAGCTTTCATTAAAATCTGAGCGAAAGCAGGAAGCAGAACAATCAAGGGGCCGAGAAGACGTCCCTGTGGAGAACATCTCTGCCTGGAACTCCTCCCACAGCAGCTCTGTCAGGATGCAGGGAATGTCCTATTCAAAGTAAAGCTCATCTCCAAGGTTCACAGCCTGCTGCTGTAGTGGATTTAGGGAATCAGACGTCCTGCTCTTTGGTTCAGAACCTGAGCTGGCCTCCTGGTTTCCTTTCTTTCTGCACCATTTTCAAAGCCAAGGAAATCCTAGATGATCTAGTTATTTAGCTTTAGAGAGCACCTGGCAGGCTGTGGGTCCGCCTTCCTGTAATCGGTCTTCTGTTCTGCTCTCCTCAGGCGTCACGTTCCCATCAGGTGACATGCAGCAGACCTTGGTTCATTCTCTCTATCAGAAGGCAAACGTTTCCTCTGATCAAGTGGAGTACGTAGAAGCCCACGGCACCGGAACCAAGGTCAACAATCCCTGCGACTCCTCCTCATCGAGGCCTCTCCTGTCTCATCGACGGCTTCATCTCTCTGCGTCTCTGTGTTGTGCCTCCAGGTGGGAGACCCGCAGGAGGTGAACGGCATTGTGGGTGTTTTCTGCCAGGCCAAACGAGAGCCTTTGCTGATTGGCTCCACCAAATCAAACATGGGCCATCCAGAACCGGCATCTGGTCTGGCAGCTCTGGCCAAGGTGAGCAGAACCAGGCTGCGGTCAGGGGGCCCCCATCAGGCGGAGCAGATTCAGCTGATATTTAGACTTTCTGTTTTTATTGGTGGATCCATATGAAGCTGCTGCAGAAGCTCTGGGCTGTTTCAGTGTCCTCTGCTGTGTTCATCTTGTCCTCAGGTGGTTATGTCTCTGGAGCGAGGCCTTTGGGCTCCCAACCTGCACTTCAAACAGCCCAACCCTGACATCCCCGCCCTGAGCGACGGTCGGGTCCAGGTGGTAGACCGGCCCATTCCTGTTCAAGGAGGCATTGTGGGAATCAACTCCTTTGGATTCGGGGGCTCAAACGTTCATGTCATTCTTCGTCCCGCCGGTAAACCCACCGACCCGACCGGACCCACCGACCCGGCGGGACTCAGGACAGTTCCCAGAATGCTTCCAGCGTGCGGCCGCACCGAGGCTGCGGTGAAGGCGCTCCTCCAGAGGGCGGAGGATCACAACACCAATGAAAGCTTCCTGTCTCTGCTGAGCAGCCTGTCAGAGATGCCTGTGGCCAGCATGCCCTACAGGGGTTACGTTCTGCTCGGTTCACAGAGTGACATCAGGGAGGTGCAGCTGGTTCAGGCTGCAGGCAGACCGCTGTGGTATGTCTGTTCCGGTGAGTCATCATTCACCTTCTTTCATTCATGTAATCAGGCAGGCAGCAGCTTGTCCAGGCTGCACCCAGGCAGTGGAGCAGCAGCACTAACCCCCCCTGGGTAGTAAGTTCAGCAGGAAAACTTTTTGCCTTTTAGTTCCTGCAGCAGTTCACCCAGGAAGCACCAATCAGAGGCAGCCTTCAACCAACCAATCAGATGCTCTGGAAATGCTTTGCACTTTCCCAGCATGCAGTGAATAAACCCGTTCAGCGAGCGACTCTGAGCTGCATGTGTTGTAGAAATTGCTGCCAAGGAGACAATGACTGGTTGGTGGAACGCTAAGCTGTGATTGGTCGGTTCTCAGGGAGCGGCTCAGGAGGTGAAACTCCTGCTCTCTGTGATAAATATATTAAAAATAGACGTAAACCTATCAAACGTATACCGAGTCTGTGTTCTGCATGGTCCAATATGGCGTAACAAACCTAAAAAAATAATGGCCCAGTTTAATGCTGGAGAAGCTATTAGTCAGCCTTATATTTTTTAATATATAAAAACTATTTATTTTCTGTGTTTAAGAGCAATTATGCAAATTAACAAACCTGTAGAAAAAGTAGACTATATTCTATTATTTTTCCTGTGAGCCCTTCTTGAATTTCCATGCTGGCTCAGATCCTGACCTTTGAAAAAGGAGGCAGGGAGCAGGATACAGCATTAGCCTCGCTGCAGGCAGTTAGCCTCGCTGCAGGCAGTTAGGCTCGCTGCAGGCAGTTGGGCTCGCTGCAAGCAGTTGGGCTCGCTGCAAGCAGTTGGGCTCGCTGCAGGCAGTTGGGCTCGCTGCAAGCAGTTGGGCTCGCTGCAGGCAGTTGGGCTCGCTGCAAGCAGTTGGGCTCGCTGCAGGCAGTTGGGCTCGCTGCAGGCAGTTGGGCTCGCTGCAGGCAGTTGGGCTCGCTGCAGGCAGTTGGGCTCGCTGCAGGCAGTTGGGCTCGCTGCAAGCAGTTGGGCTCGCTGCAGGCAGTTGGGCTCGCTGCAAGCAGTTGGGCTCGCTGCAAGCAGTTGGGCTCGCTGCAGGCAGTTGGGCTCGCTGCAGGCAGTTGGGCTCGCTGCAAGCAGTTGGGCTCGCTGCAGGCAGTTGGGCTCGCTGCAAGCAGTTGGGCTCGCTGCAGGCAGTTGGGCTCGCTGCAGGCAGTTGGGCTCGCTGCAGGCAGTTGGGCTCGCTGCAGGCAGTTGGGCTCGCTGCAGGCAGTTGGGCTCGCTGCAGGCAGTTGGCCTCGCTGCAGGCAGTTAGGCTCGGCAGTTAGGCTCGCTGCAGGCAGTTGGGCTCGCTGCAGGCAGTTGGGCTCGCTGCAGGCAGTTGGGCTCGCTGCAGGCAGTTGGGCTCGCTGCAAGCAGTTGGGCTCGCTGCAGGCAGTTGGGCTCGCTGCAAGCAGTTGGGCTCGCTGCAGGCAGTTGGGCCCGCTGCAGGCAGTTGGGCTCGCTGCAAGCAGTTGGGCTCGCTGCAGGCAGTTGGGCTCGCTGCAAGCAGTTGGGCTCGCTGCAGGCAGTTGGGCTCGCTGCAAGCAGTTGGGCTCGCTGCAGGCAGTTGGGCTCGCTGCAAGCAGTTGGGCTCGCTGCAGGCAGTTGGGCTCGCTGCAAGCAGTTGGGCTCGCTGCAGGCAGTTGGGCTCGCTGCAGGCAGTTGGGCTCGCTGCAAGCAGTTGGGCTCGCTGCAGGCAGTTGGGCTCGCTGCAAGCAGTTGGGCTCGCTGCAGGCAGTTGGGCTCGCTGCAGGCAGTTGGGCTCGCTGCAGGCAGTTGGGCTCGCTGCAGGCAGTTGGGCTCGCTGCAGGCAGTTGGGCTCGCTGCAGGCAGTTGGGCTCGCTGCAGGCAGTTGGGCTCGCTGCAGGCAGTTGGCCTCGCTGCAGGCAGTTAGGCTCGGCAGTTAGGCTCGCTGCAGGCAGTTGGGCTCGCTGCAGGCAGTTGGGCTCGCTGCAAGCAGTTGGGCTCGCTGCAGGCAGTTGGGCTCGCTGCAAGCAGTTGGGCTCGCTGCAGGCAGTTGGGCCCGCTGCAGGCAGTTGGGCTCGCTGCAAGCAGTTGGGCTCGCTGCAGGCAGTTGGGCTCGCTGCAAGCAGTTGGGCTCGCTGCAGGCAGTTGGGCTCGCTGCAAGCAGTTGGGCTCGCTGCAGGCAGTTGGGCTCGCTGCAAGCAGTTGGGCTCGCTGCAGGCAGTTGGGCTCGCTGCAAGCAGTTGGGCTCGCTGCAGGCAGTTGGGCTCGCTGCAGGCAGTTGGGCTCGCTGCAAGCAGTTGGGCTCGCTGCAGGCAGTTGGGCTCGCTGCAGGCAGTTGGGCTCGCTGCAGGCAGTTGGGCTCGCTGCAGGCAGTTGGGCTCGCTGCAAGCAGTTGGGCTCGCTGCAGGCAGTTGGGCTCGCTGCAGGCAGTTGGGCTCGCTGCAGGCAGTTGGGCTCGCTGCAGGCAGTTGGGCTCGCTGCACGCAGTTGGGCTCGCTGCAGGCAGTTAAGCTGGAGTTCTGCCCCAGAGAGACATCCAAAGCATGCAGGGCAGTGGGACTGAGCAATGGTGGTTGGTGCGCCTGGTTGACGCAGATCTGTGCGGTCTACAGGTATGGGGACACAGTGGGCCGGGATGGGCCGCAGTCTCATGCAGTTGCCGGACTTCAGAGAGTCCATTCTGCGCTCCGATGTCGCCCTGAAGGAGACCGGCCTGGTTGTGTCTCAGCTGCTCCGTGAAGCGGACGAAGCCACCTTTGAGGACACGGTTAACGCCTTCGTTGGTCTTGCTGCCATACAGGTATACACCCGTCTTTTTTTTTTCTTCAGTGGTCAGACCGGAACCAGCAGCTGTGAAACGTCTCTGCTTCCTGTTTGCAGATTGCCCTGATCGATCTGCTCAGGAAGATGGGCCTTGAGCCGGACGGCATCATAGGACACTCTGTGGGAGAACTGGCCTGTGGATACGCTGATGGTTCCTTCAGCCACAGTGAGGCCATTCTGGCTGCCTACTGGAGAGGCCACTGCATCAAGGTGGCAGATCTTCCTGCAGGAGGCATGGCAGCAGTTGGTGAGGAGCCATCCTGTTCTTCTTGAATCGTTTCAACTGCTTCATACTTTCTGCCATTTTCACAACATTCAGCTCATTTAGGACAGTCCTGCTATGATTTTTAGACCTTTTAAAAATGCTGATTATTTTCTGCTTTTTTCTCCCTTTAAATGAATGGAGTTTCTGCTCAAACTTGACGGTTTTTGCCATTTAATCACTCCCACATACCTTCAGATACAAACACCAATCAACTTTTAAAATGTTTTCACACCCATCAGCTATTACTGTGACATGCAGCCTTTTGCATCTTTTACAGCTTTGCTTCAGTGATGCTTCAAACTTTTGAACATTTTTTTTTTCCAGATTTTGGGATTTATAATAGAAGTCAATGACAGAATGTTCATGGTGCTAAAGTAATAAGGCAAATCAAGTCTTCTTATTCTCTCTATCCAGATAAATTATACATCAAAACATAGGAATTTTTGTCTGGATTCAGGAAATGTAATCCTCATTGTTGTTGAATTTACAGTTTTTCAGCAACTGGTCTTAGAGCGCTGAGAAGTCCACCAATGGGAGAGTTTCCTGAAATTGGAGCTTCGTAACCTTAAACGACACGTTTTTAACTCACCGTTTGATGCAGAGACATGCCGCTAGTGGAAGTTTCCCATCAGACATGAAAATGAAGGAATTTCTTTGATAACTTCTATGGTTTTGAAATGAGTAAGAGTTGTTGGCCTTTCACCTGAAAAGCTTTTAAAACGACCCAGTTTTTTACACCATCACCTTTTGCACAGAGAACATTCTGTAGGAAGAGGAAGGTTTGGCATAAGGAAGCCTGTTTGGCAAACAATGAGTCGTTTCTGTTGAATTATTAGATCTCAGCAGGTTTTATTTATTCTAACTGGCTTCATTCCTCCATCTTTCAGGACAGCCAGGAAGCTTTTATGTGTTCTACTCATTTCTATCCTTTCAGTATTTTCTGTCTGAGTGATTTCTGTTTGCTCCTGCTGTTTGTCAGGTTTCTGATTTCTGCTAATTCATCCATTTTTAGCAGTTTTTGCTTTTATTTGTCTTTGTTTCTGCCGTTTTTCAGCTTACAGTTTAGTGTACAGCATTCACGCTGCATTTTCACAGGAAATGCAACTTTATCTAATTCTATTGCTTATGTTTGCAGCAGGACGAACTGAGCTTTTAAATAACCACACGGTAAAAGTCTAAACAGTTGGTGTGCAGGATGTGTGGGCTCTGCAGAGATGTTCTCTGCTCTTATGATTGGTTTGTTCAATTGTTACCATAATAACAGCTGTTGACACATATCAGCCTCCTGGACGTCACTAGTCAAGGGTTCTTCCCAGGGGCCGCCTTTAACTGGGTTCCTGGGTCCATAAAGAATATCTTAAAATCCAATATAAACCTATCAGTCATCAGGATCTGTCGCCATGGTAACGGATTTCAGAAGCTGTTGCCGGTTGACGAAAGTCTCAGTTCAGTAGCTCCTGTCCCAGAAATGGGTCGATGAATCTCAACCTGCCGTGCTGGCGGGGCTTAAAGGTCCCTGTGCGCCTGGAGGCCTGGTGTCTGGACATGGTAACACCAACCTTAATAACCTCCGTCCAGCTTCAGTTGTTGGAGAACCAGTGATGGTTGTTCTAGAAACCACTCAGTTTCTGGCTCACATTTTAGTCAGTTAAGCTGATGAAGTTCCTCAATGAAATATTACCCGTGAAATGATGAGATCATGGACGTTTTTATGGTTCCTGTCTAATTTCCTAAATATATCTGATTGAATGAAGCTTCTGTTCTCTGCAGGGTTGACCTGGGAGGAGTGCATCAGCCAGTGTCCTCAGGGAGTTGTTCCAGCCTGCCACAACGCTGAAGACTCCGTCACTATCTCTGGTCCTCAGGTCAGACCTTTCAGCTGCTCCTTCTTTCATGTTCAACTGTGTTAACAGCATATGCAGGTCTGCGGGTTTCCAGCCTTTATGGCAGGTCTGCGGGTTTCCAGCCTTTATGGCAGGTCTGCGGGTTTCCAGCCTTTATGGCAGGTCTGCGGGTTTCCAGCCTTTATGGCAGGTCTGCGGGTTTCCAGCCTTTATGGCAGGTCTGCGGGTTTCCAGCCTTTATGGCAGGTCTGCGGGTTTCCAGCCTTTTTGGCAGGTCTGCGGGTTTCCAGCCCTTATGGCAGGTCTGCGGGTTTCCAGCCCTTATGGCAGGTCTGCGGGTTTCCAGCCTTTATGGCAGGTCTGCGGGTTTCCAGCCTTTATGGCAGGTCTGCGGGTTTCCAGCCTTTATGGCAGGTCTGCGGGTTTCCAGCCTTTATGGCAGGTCTGCGGGTTTCCAGCCTTTATGGCAGGTCTGCGGGTTTCCAGCCTTTATGGCAGGTCTGCGGGTTTCCAGCCTTTATGGCAGGTCTGCGGGTTTCCAGCCTTTATGGCAGGTCTGCGGGTTTCCAGCCTTTATGGCAGGTCTGCGGGTTTCCAGCCTTTATGGCAGGTCTGCGGGTTTCCAGCCTTTATGGCAGGTCTGCGGGTTTCCAGCCTTTATGGCAGGTCTGCGGGTTTCCAGCCTTTATGGCAGGTCCGCAGGTTCCAAGCCTTTGCCTGGAGGTGCAGATGAGTAGCTGAGTCTGGGCTGCCTGTTTTGGTTTTTTGTATCAGCAGGAATACTGGGATCAGTTGGGTATGTTAGACAGAGACTGGTTCCCAGTAAGGCTTCATTTCTGCTGCTAGTTTTTTCAGAATCCTGATAACTTTTCATCAGAATACATAATCCCAGGAGGAGCAGGACACGCTGAATGACTATGTCTCTCTGCTGGCCTGGAGCGCCTCAGGAGGAGTCTGGATGGGGGGGCGTCCTGGATGGGGGGGGCGGCCTGGATGGGGGGCGGTCTGGATGGGGGGCGGTCTGGGAGTCTCTGCTGAGGCTGCCTCCCTGTGACACAGTCCTGGATGAAGCGGGAGACGAACCAGTAAGAAGACGTCCACAGAGAGGTTCTGTGTGCGTAAAAATATGTAGGATTGAGTATATTTGAAGAGAGAAGACATTTTTACAGTCAGTACGAGAATAAGCAGAATGAAATCCTGATTCAAATTAAAAAACGTGCTCTTGAGACTCAGCAGGTAATTTCTCCCATTGATCAAACGGCTGATAAACTGTTCCAACAGGATGAAGTATCTGAGACGGTTTATGATGTTCAGAGTTCCTGATGGAAACGTTCTGATGATCTTCATCAATGTTTTTACTCACAGGCCCCAAACAGCCATGAATGTTGGTATCAAGCATAACAACAGCTGCTAGAAAAACAGAACCAGAAGAACCGATGCTCTGGTCACAGAGCTACCTGCACACCATCCAGCCTAGCAGGACAGATGGCAGCCTCAGATATGCAGGTCTTAACTAACGGCTTTTTGTTTTTTCTGCAGGAAGCTGTCCAGGCTTTTGTGTCTAACCTCAAAGAGCAAGGAATATTTGCCAAAGAGGTTCGCAGTGCCGGCGTGGCGTTCCACTCCTACTATATGGCCTCCATTGCTCCCAACTTGCTGGCTGCTCTAAAGAAGGTACGCAGACCTTCCTGGATTCAACAGCTGCTCGCTGCATTCAAGTTGTTTTAGAGCAACTCCAAACACATTTCCTGTTATTTCTGCTTTCTTATCATCATCATGGCTGTAGCTTAAAGTGGTTGTTCTTTCCTCGGTTCCTACAGTGCAATGTCCGTGGTTCCTTGCTGCAACAGAAAGTCCTTAGTGTTCGTCTGTAGATCTGTGCTGAGCTGAACCACTGCACAGTTAAAGTGCAGTCTGAATGTTTGATAACTGATTGCTGTGAGCTGTGTGACCGGCGGCCTGTTTGGTCCAACAGTCAGAAAACCTCACAGCTTGACTAAAGTTACCCCTCAGAACATGAGCCTTTGGTTTGGCTTTAACCTCAGTATGTCTTTGGACCGCTCCTGAAAAACAATACACTAATCACTGGATCTGAGCTAGCTGCCGGTCACTGGCTATGAGCTTGCTGCCGGTCACTGGCTATGAGCTAGCTGCCGATCACTGGCTCTGAGCTAGCTGCCAATCACTGGCTCTGAGCTAGCTGCCGGTCACTAGCTCTGAGCTAGCTGCCGGTCACTAGCTCTGAGCTAGCTGCCGGTCACTGGCTCTTAGCTTCCGGTCACTGGCTCTGAGCTAGCTGCCAATCACTGGCTCTTAGCTTCCGGTCACTGGCTCTGAGCTAGCTGCCGGTCACTGGCTCTTAGCTTCCGGTCACTGGCTCTGAGCTAGCTGCCGGTCACTGGCTCTGAGCTAGCTTCCGGTCACTGGCTCTGAGCTAGCTTCCGGTCACTGGCTCTGAGCTAGCTGCCGGTCACTGGCTCTGAGCTAGCTGCCGGTCACTGGCTCTGAGCTAGCTGCCGGTCACTGGCTCTGAGCTAGCTGCCGGTCACTGGCTCTGAGCTAGCTGCCGGTCACTGGCTCTGAGCTAGCTGCCGATAACTGGCTCTGAGCTAGCTGCCGGTCACTGGCTCTGAGCTAGCTGCCGATAACTGGCTCTGAGCTAGCTTCCGGTCACTGGCTCTGAGCTAGCTGCCGATAACTGGCTCTGAGCTAGCTGCCGGTCACTGGCTCTTAGCTAGCTGCCGGTCACTGGCTCTGAGCTAGCTGCCGATAACTGGCTCTGAGCTAGCTGCCGGTCACTGGCTCTGAGCTAGCTGCCGGTCACTGGCTCTGAGCTGCCGATAACTGGCTCTGAGCTAGCTGCCGGTCACTGGCTCTGAGCTAGCTGCCGGTCACTGGCTCTGAGCTAGCTGCCGATAACTGGCTCTGAGCTAGCTGCCGGTCACTGGCTCTGAGCTAGCTGCCGGTCACTGGCTCTGAGCTGCCGATAACTGGTTCTGAGCTAGCTGCCGGTCACTGGCTCTTAGCTAGATGCCGGTCACTGGCTCTGAGCTAGCTGCCGGTCACTGGCTCTGAGCTAGCTGCCGGTCACTGGCTCTGAGCTAGCTGCCGGTCACTGGCTCTGAGCTAGCTGCCGGTCACTGGCTCTGAGCTAGCTGCCGGTCACTGGCTCTGAGCTAGCTGCCGGTCACTGGCTCTGAGCTAGCTGCCGGTAACTGGCTCTGAGCTAGCTGCCGGTCACTGGCTCTTAGCTTCCGGTCACTGGCTCTGAGCTAGCTGCCGGTCACTGGCTCTTAGCTTCCGGTCACTGGCTCTGAGCTAGCTGCCGGTCACTGGCTCTGAGCTAGCTGCCGGTCACTGGCTCTGAGCTAGCTGCCGGTCACTGGCTCTTAGCTAGCTGCCGGTCACTGGCTCTTAGCTAGCTGCCGGTCACTGGCTCTGAGCTAGCTGCCGGTCACTGGCTCTGAGCTAGCTGCCGGTCACTGGCTATGAGCTAGCTGCCGATCACTGGCTCTGAGCTAGCTGCCAATCACTGGCTCTGAGCTAGCTGCCAATCACTGGCTCTGAGCTAGCTGCCGGTCACTAGCTCTGAGCTAGCTGCCGGTCACTGGCTCTTAGCTTCCGGTCACTGGCTCTGAGCTAGCTGCCAATCACTGGCTCTTAGCTTCCGGTCACTGGCTCTGAGCTAGCTTCCGGTCACTGGCTCTGAGCTAGCTGCCGGTCACTGGCTCTGAGCTAGCTGCCGGTCACTGGCTCTGAGCTAGCTGCCAGTCACTGGCTCTGAGCTAGCTGCCGGTCACTGGCTCTGAGCTAGCTGCCGGTCACTGGCTCTGAGCTAGCTGCCGATAACTGGCTCTGAGCTAGCTGCCGGTCACTGGCTCTGAGCTAGCTGCCGATAACTGGCTCTGAGCTAGCTGCCGGTCACTGGCTCTTAGCTAGCTGCCGGTCACTGGCTCTGAGCTAGCTGCCGATAACTGGCTCTGAGCTAGCTGCCGGTCACTGGCTCTGAGCTAGCTGCCGGTCACTGGCTCTGAGCTGCCGATAACTGGCTCTGAGCTAGCTGCCGGTCACTGGCTCTGAGCTAGCTGCCGGTCACTGGCTCTGAGCTAGCTGCCGATAACTGGCTCTGAGCTAGCTGCCGGTCACTGGCTCTGAGCTAGCTGCCGGTCACTGGCTCTGAGCTAGCTGCCGGTCACTGGCTCTGAGCTGCCGATAACTGGTTCTGAGCTAGCTGCCGGTCACTGGCTCTTAGCTAGCTGCCGGTCACTGGCTCTTAGCTAGATGCCGGTCACTGGCTCTGAGCTAGCTGCCGGTCACTGGCTCTGAGCTAGCTGCCGGTCACTGGCTCTGAGCTGCCAGTAACTGGCTCTGAGCTAGCTGCCGGTCACTGGCTCTGAGCTGCCGGTCACTGGCTCTGAGCTAGCTGCCGATAACTGGCTCTTAGCTAGCTGCCGGTCACTGGCTCTGAGCTAGCTGCCGATAACTGGCTCTTAGCTAGCTGCCGGTCACTGGCTCTTAGCTAGCTGCCGGTCACTGGCTCTGAGCTAGCTGCCGGTCACTGGCTCTGAGCTTGCTGCCGGTCACTGGCTCTGAGCTAGCTGCCGGTCACTGGCTCTGAGCTAGCTGCCGGTAACTGGCTCTGAGCTAGCTGACGGTCACTGGCTCTGAGCTAGCTGCCGGTCACTGGCTCTTAGCTTCCGGTCACTGGCTCTGAGCTAGCTGCCGGTCACTGGCTCTTAGCTTCCGGTCACTGGCTCTTAGCTAGCTGCCGGTCACTGGCTCTGAGCTAGCTGCCGGTCACTGGCTCTGAGCTAGCTGCCGGTCACTGGCTCTGAGCTAGCTGCCGGTCACTGGGTCTGAGCTAGCTGCCGGTCACTGGCTCTGAGCTAGCTGCCGGTCACTGGCTATGAGCTGCCGGTCACTGGGTCTGAGCTAGCTGCCGGTCACTGGCTATGAGCTAGCTGCCGGTCACTGGCTATGAGCTAGCTGCCGGTCACTGGCTCTGAGCTAGCTGCCGGTCACTGGCTCTGAGCTAGCTGCCGGTCACTGGCTCTGAGCTAGCTGCCGGTCACTGGCTCTGAGCTAGCTGCCGGTCACTGGCTCTGAGCTAGCTGCCGGTCACTGGCTCTTAGCTTCCGGTCACTGGCTCTGAGCTAGCTGCCGGTCACTGGCTCTTAGCTTCCGGTCACTGGCTCTTAGCTAGCTGCCGGTCACTGGCTCTGAGCTAGCTGCCGGTCACTGGCTCTGAGCTAGCTGCCGGTCACTGGCTATGAGCTGCCGGTCACTGGGTCTGAGCTAGCTGCCGGTCACTGGCTCTGAGCTAGCTGCCGGTCACTGGCTCTGAGCTAGCTGCCGGTCACTGGCTATGAGCTGCCGGTCACTGGGTCTGAGCTAGCTGCCGGTCACTGGCTCTGAGCTAGCTGCCGGTCACTGGGTCTGAGCTAGCTGCCGGTCACTGGCTCTGAGCTAGCTGCCGGTCACTGGCTCTGAGCTAGCTGCCGGTCACTGGCTATGAGCTGCCGGTCACTGGGTCTGAGCTAGCTGCCGGTCACTGGCTCTGAGCTAGCTGCCGGTCACTGGCTATGAGCTGCCGGTCACTGGGTCTGAGCTAGCTGCCGGTCACTGGCTATGAGCTAGCTGCCGGTCACTGGCTATGAGCTAGCTGCCGGTCACTGGCTCTGAGCTAGCTGCCGGTCACTGGCTATGAGCTGCCGGTCACTGGGTCTGAGCTAGCTGCCGGTCACTGGCTCTGAGCTAGCTGCCGGTCACTGGCTATGAGCTGCCGGTCACTGGGTCTGAGCTAGCTGCCGGTCACTGGCTCTGAGCTAGCTGCCGGTCACTGGCTCTGAGCTAGCTGCCGGTCACTGGCTATGAGCTAGCTGCCGGTCACTGGCTCTGAGCTAGCTGCCGGTCAGCGGCAAAACATTAAAGTCAAGATTAGAGAGGGGGATTAAAGTGCTGCCTGCGCCGGCTATAAGGTTTCTCAATAACTCGACCTTAGGAAATAGTTCCCGACCTTCAGAGCTAGTTAGGAGCAATTTTACTCATTTCACAATGATTTTTGAACCTAATCTTTCAGGCTGAGGAGTTTTTGTGGTCAGGAACATCTTAAAAATAAAGAAGGCTGAAGAGCAATAAAAGAGTCAAGAAGAAGAAATTATCAGCTCGTTTAATGTGCTCCCAAAAATACTTAGTTTTTTTTAACAGTCATTTCATGAATGTTTTAGAGTTACATGGACTTTGCATAAAAATGTTCAGATGTTTGTACAGACCTCTGCTGCAGTCTGTTCTGAGGCTGCTTGGATCGATATCAGAATTATATCAGCAAAATGTAGAAATATATTCTGACCTAATTTCTGACCACGTCGTCCAGCTCTGTTCTCACGGCACTGAGAGGGAATCCAGTGGTTTTAGGGTGAGAATCATCCTGATGAGGTCAAGGGGTCTGATTGGTGGATGAGTGAGATGGTAGCGGTTATGCTACGTTTAGACCGAACGGCATCAAAGGAGCTTCTGCTGCTTCATCTCTGATCCACATTAAGGTCAGCCGTCCAGTAAAGTGTGTCCAGATGCGTCTGATGCTTCTGCTGCTCCTGTGTTCAATGCAGAGAGCAGCTTTGCTATGTTTGCTGTGATCAGCGGGTAAAAAGTAGTTGGAAACTATTTTGAAGTGAGAAATTCCACCTGAAAACATTGTCTGTGCAGTCAGTTCTGACGAGCTAATGCTGTTTGCTGTGATCCACAGGTGATCAAGGAGCCCCGCCAGCGTTCCTCTCGGTGGATCAGCACCAGCATACCTCAGTCTGAGTGGGACTCTCCCCTGGCGAGGTACAGCTCAGCCGACTACCACGTCAACAACCTGCTCAGCCCCGTGCTTTTCCAGGAGGCCCTCAGTATGGTACCTGACAACGCCGTGGTGCTGGAGATCGCGCCTCATGCTCTGCTGCAGGTATTCTCTCGTTGCTACCTGCTGCTTCCTGGACATAAACAGGAGGAAAATCCAAAATGATTGAATTATTTCATCTTCATACATTGCTTTTCTATATTGGATGTTGGATGCTAATTTTCTGCTCCTAAATGTAAGTGAGACTGATGGGAAATCTACACGCCACAACGCAAGAGAATCAGGAAGTAGCCGTGGGTCTAGATATGGCCAAAGCGGTGCGGAAGTGGGGGCAAGTTGTCCGACATTGGAGGGACATGAGGGCGAAAAAGAGCGGGGATCCAGGTGGAAAAAGGGTCACAGCTTTCTCACGCACCTCGCTCTTCTAGCGGGTCAAACTTCATGAGTTGTTTTCCGCAATTTCGGTCAAAAAAAACAAAACAAGCCGGCCTCCTGTCCACGGCACTGTCTGCGGTCAGCTACAGTTTGGGAGGGGTGCAGCAGAGTGTCTGCAGAGGAGGCGGGGACATGTTTTTGCTCACAACAACACCTTCGCAGAGGACCTAGTTTAGAAGTGTTAAAATGAGGAGGAATTGTCCCCTTGGAAGAAAGGCTGTAGCGCCCCGGGGGCCCCCTCACCGGTTCTTTTCCTGGGAGCAAGTTATTTACTATTCTTAACTCAAACTGGGTAAAACCATATAAAAAGGACTATAAAACAGGAGTAAAAATATAACAGAGTTTATTCCAGATCAGGTCGTTACAGGACAGAGAAAAAATGCTTAGAGCTTGCACAGCTGTGGGCTCAAAAATCACATCCGCGAGCGTCCGGCAAAGTTTGAGCCCTGATGAAGGTCATCTCCTGCTTCTACCTTGTGAGTCTATGTGTTGCATCAGGTGGATGTTGAGTTGGCCGTATCAGAAACTGACACGCCATCCATGTGTTGAACTTCATGCAGCTTGCTTCTATGCTTCAGGGTTACAGATAGCTATCCTCTATCAGACCGGCTCCAAGATGTTCCCATATCCTGTGTACTCTTAATCTGTCAATTTTTATAAGGTCAGTCATGTTAGAAAGGTTTCTGAGAACCTCTGCTCTATTCTAGTTGTGTGTCCCATCGCTGCCATTAGACACGTGATGAACTAAAGATCAGCAAACATTCAGACTGATGTTTCCTCCTCAGGCCATCCTGAAGCGCAGCCTGAAGCAATCCTGCTCAATCCTTCCTTTGATGAAGAGAGGACACACCAACAACCTCCAGTTCTTCCTCTCAAACATTGGAAAACTCTACATGAACGGGTGAGTGAGCTCCTCTCTGCTCCTTAGTCACGATGCTAACAGGCTAAGCTGATTTTATTAACAGTAATTTAAACCCCTTTAGGATCAACCTGGATTCTGCTGGTCTGTACCCAGCGGTGAGCTACCCTGTCCCGGTCGGCACCCCCATGATCTCTCCCATGATTGGCTGGGACCACAGTCAGACCTGGGATGTCCCCAAAGTAGAACATTTCTCCCACAGCTCAGGAGGATCTAAATCTGCTGCCATCTATAATATTGGTATAAAACAAAAAGTTCAGATTCCCAGCATGTGGTCTGAATGTCTCCCTCTAGTATTGACTCCTTTGCTTCCCTGTCATCCCTCTGATTGTAACAGAGATAAACCCGGAGTCCCCGGACAACTACCTGATCGAGCACTGCATCGACGGCCGCTTTCTCTACCCAGCAACGGGCTACCTGCTGCTGGCCTGGCGCACCTTGGTCAGGAGTCAGGGGATCGTGATGGAAAGCACCCCTGTGAGATTTGATGACGTGAAGATTCACAGGGCCACCATCCTGCCAAAAACCGGTGAGAGCAGCAGGGCTCAGAAGGACACCTTTGGTCAGGATTCTCTCTCTGTGACCATTTTAATGTATATATTTTTTCAGGACCACAGGAAGAATAGCTGCAGCATAGCTGTAGCTAATGGGGATCCTTTCAATAAAACTAAAAAATCTAGGCATCATTACGCTGCTTTATAACAACTAGTCAGTAAAATAAAGAAGCAAGGTAATGGTGAGTAGAGCAGGCGAACAACACCAGCAAGGAGAGAAGGTCTGCCGGTCATTGTCTAACTGACCCTGTGAGGTTTTAGGGGGAAAAAAAATCTGGTCCAAACAAAGGATCCGGTTAAAAAAAATCCATTACGGCTGTAAAGATGAGCTGATTTAGGTGAAAAAAACAAAACAGAACCAAATGGATCTGAACCTGGATATGATGGTTTTTATTTTGTAGGTAGGATGTTAAAAATGGGGTTCTTAGAAAGTATCCACGCAACTACAGACCTTTTACAGGAAGAGAAAGGACACCTCAGCAACCAGGACATGTAAGTCCAACAGCTGCTCGGGAAATGATCTGCCGTGACGCGTCTTAGAGCACCTAGGGTGCAGCCTAAAGGGGCTTATCCAACTGCTTCCTCTCAGCTCCAACTTTCCTCCATAGAGGACACTGATGCCAGCACAGCAGGTCTTCATTAGTGCCCCCTGCTGGATGAAATGCCTCAGTGTTGGGTTGGGACGTGCAGGGCTGGCACAGCTCCCGGGAATTCCTTTCATGTGGCCAGAAATGAAAATAAATTGATGTTCTATTGTTTTATATCAAGAGCCGTCCATTCCTGCGGCACCTTGCACTATTTAGTGCCTGGAAATACTTGGTGCTCTGCTTTTATGCAGAACATTTTTGATTTTCATATGCATTTGTTCAGTTATGATGGAAAAGCCCAACATCTTCCTAAATCTGCTCATTTCAGGCTCTGTTCAGTTAGAGGTGCACCTGATGCCCGCCACCAGCAGGTTTGAGGTGTCAGAGAACGGAAACCTGGTTGTTAGCGGTAAGAACTTCTTTTTATCAGCTTTCATGTATTCAGCAAATGCAGAAAATCAGGGTGTTAAACTTTGTGTTTCACTTTATTTCAGGTAAAGTTAGCATCACTGAGGACAACGATCTTCAGTCACTCCAAATCGCTTTGAATCAGCAAAAGGAAAACGCGAATGACTCCAATATTAAACTAAAGTCACATGACGTCTACAAAGAGCTGCGGCTGCGTGGCTATGATTATGGGAAGGCCTTCCAGGGCATATTGGAGTCCAGCGGTGAAGGTAGAGTAGATGGATGCTTTAGGATTTAGGAATACATTACTAGTCTGGACATGGCAGCGAGTCCTGAGGTCCAGAGAAAGAACCAGGTGTGTTTATGGGCGGATCAGGTACGTCCAAAGTTGGTTCTGGAGAGTCGCTGTCCTGCAAGTTTTCAATGTTTCTCAGCTGATTTTGATGATTGTAGTTCAGCAACATCCTGTTAATCAACCATCAGTGGAAATCAGCAGGTGGGAAGCAGTAGGCGCTCCAGGACTGACTCTAACTGGACCAGACCAGTGACGTCTCACTCAGCTGAACTTACTGATGGTCAGGAGCTAAGGCTACTGATGCTAACATGGTGTTCTTCCAGTGATGTCATCATGTGCATAGCCTCTCTGACCAAACATGTTAGATTCTCGAAAATCATCCCATTTATTTCAGCGCTGCTCTCCCAGTTCCCATCAGTTTGAAGCGTTCCCTGTGTTCCTTTGTTGGATCATAGGAAGCTTCCAGAACAATGGTAGTCCAACTCCTCCAGGATGGCACATCAATACGTGCCATTGCCAGAAGGTTTGCCATGTCTCCCAACACAATCTCAAGTGAATGGAGGAGATTCCAGGAGACAGACAGTTACTCCAGGAGAGCTGGACAGGGCCGTAGAAAGTCTACAACCCATCAGCAGGACCGCTATCTGCTCCTTTGTGCAAGGAGGTGCAGGAGGAGCACTGCCAGAGCCCTACAAAATGACCTCCAGCAGTCTACTGGTGTGAATGTCTCTGACCAAACAGTCAGAAACAGACTTCACGAGGGTGGCCTGAGGACCCGATGTCCTCTAGTGGGCCCTGTGCTCACCTGCCCGGCACCGTGGAGCTCGGTTGGCATTTGCCACAGAACACTGGGATTGGCAAGTCGGCCACTGGCGCCCTGATGAGAGCAGGTTCACCTGGAGCACATGTGACAGACGTGAAAGGGTCAGGAGAAGCCGTGGATAACGTCATGCTGCCTGTCACATCGTTCAGCATGAGCGGTTTGGTGGTGGGTCAGTAATGGTCTGGGGAGGCATATCCATGGAGGGACGCACAGACCTCTACAGGCTAGACAACGGCACCCTGACTGCCATGAGGTAACGGGATGAAATCCTTGCACCCATTGTCAGACCCTATGCTGGTGCAGTGGGTCTTGGGTTCCTCCTGGTGCACGACAATGCCCGGCCTCATGTGGCGAGAGTATGCAGGCAGTTCCTGGAGGATGAAGGAATTGATACAATTGATTGGCCCCCACGCTCGCCTGACCTAAATCCAATAGAACACCTCTGGGACATTATGTTTCCATCCATGTGACGCCGCCAGGTTGCACCTCAGACTGTCCAGGAGCTCAGTGATGTCCTGGTCCAGATCTGGGAGGAGATACCCCAGGAAGCCAACCGTCGTGTCATTAGGAGCATGCCCTGACATTGTCAGGCATGCATACGCGCACGTAGGGGCCATACAAATTACTGAATACCATTTTGAGTTGCTGCAATGAATTTTCAGCAAAATGGACTAGCCTGCCGCATCATTTTTTCACTGTAATTTTTGGGGTGTCTTTGAATTCAGCCTTCTGTAGGTTGATAATTTTCATTCCCATCAAATGATGTGGCATCCTTTTGTTCCTACACATCACCCAGTCCATATCAGGATAAAGAAACAGCCGGATTTTTCCCCCATTGAGATCTGATGTGTTTTCAAAGGCTACATTCACACTGCAGCCTGAAGTGATCCAAATCCGATTTTTTTGGCCCATATGCGATCTGGATCTGATCTTTTCATGGCTGTTTGAACAACACAGATCCGATTTTTTCCAATTCGACCCAGGCCACTTGGCTCTGTGGTCCTGAATCCGATAAGAATCTGATCGTTTCAAATGCGACCTGTGTCTGAACGGCCAGGTCGCATTCATCCGACCTGAACGCCATTAATACCTGACAAAGGTCACTATTGTGTGTCTTGTTTTATGTTTAACCATATTGAAAAGATTGAGATTTTATGGTTGGAAAAGACCGCTAGATGCATGCTGTCACTACCGTCCATATTTACTTCTGTAAACATAAAGTACGCTGGCCTGTGACGTCATTGCGTCCTCTACTGCGGATGCGGGACACTTGCTTTGTATGAACGACAATGCAAACAAAATTGGATTTCACAAAAAAAAATCGGAATTGAGCATCAAGGCCTGCAGTGTGAATGTAGCCAAAGTGTTCCTTTAATTTTTTTGAGCAGTGTATATATATTACATTCCATGTAATAAGGTCTCTGCCTGCAAGGTGGGCCTGCCCACCTATGTCTATGGTGTTTGCTGACTGGCCTCTCTAATCTCTCTGTTTCTAGGAGACAGTGGGAAGCTGCAGTGGACGGGAAACTGGGTGACCTTTCTAGACACTATGCTGCAGATGATGGTGGTCGGCCTACCGGGTCGCAGTTTGCGTTTGCCAACCAGAATCCGCTCTGTGTGCATTGATCCTGCCATCCATGTGGACAAAGTGTGCGAGTACGCTGGAGGAAGGCGAGGTGGGTGAAGCTGACTAAAACAGCTTTATTTAGTGATGGTGGAGTTACTGAAACTAAACGCCTTTGATATTTATCCTTTTAACAAGGCTGTCATTTTGAGGAGGATTTTAAAGGGAAAGAACTTAATTTACATGAATCTGACTTTTTATATTTCCTTCATTTTCACCTATAATTTTTAATAAAATAACATGAAAAATAAATCTGGTAATTTTACCTCTCCCACAGCCATCATTTTGACGGCTCTATTAGCTGCATTGTAAATTCCTCCCGCAGTTGATTGATAGTAGGTACCGTTCATTCTAGCTGGAAATATTTGACTTTAAGAAATCTAACAACGAAACAGGCTTTAGAAATGCTTCCAAATATTGATGATAGTTATTCAGGTGGAGAGGGACAGAGACTGATGAGGAGGACTGGGTAGGAAGCGGCTCAGATTCTGACAGTAAGTCCGAGGATGATCAACGCAGACTTATCGGTGACACATCAGACATAGTGATGGGTCTGCCCACGCCTCAGCCGGTCCACTCAGCAGCCCAAAGCCAAACCAGAGACCCTGGTCTTCTATAATCACACAGGGCAGCCTGGATGTGTCTGATCAGATGATTAGAACGTATTCTAGCTCCAACGTGAAGGTGACTGTGTTTACAGACTTATTTTTAGGGTTGTCAAAAGTATCGATACTCCAAAAAGTATCGATACTGAAACGTTGTATCCGGATACAATACTGATTTTCAAAAGTATCGATATAGTCATCTAAAGTGCAAAATTGTGGAAAATGCACTTTCTGAACACTGTGTGATTGAATAATTCTGTGCATTTTTCAGTTTCAGACTTTTTCTGTAACAGGTGCAGCTGCTGAGAATTATTTTTGTTTAACTGGTTTGGCCTAGTGTCATTGTTATGTCTGCAAAACATAGCCAAGGAAGGAACACTTAATTTTAATTTTGTAAGTTTTTTTATCAAGCTTGCTTAATATTGCGCACAGCATACAACCTCAAAACATTATTCTTATTTTTTTTATTAATTAAAATATTTCTGTTGAATTTTAGAGTATTTTTTTTTATTCTTGTTGTATCGAAAAGGGTATCGAGTATCGAATATTTTACTTAGTATCGGTATCGAGTTGAAAAGTTTAGTATCGTGACAACCCTACTTATTTTTAATGCAAATTTAGACTACAAATAATAACGGCATATAACCCAGCCTTCAAATATATATGTTAGACCTGTTTTAAGGTTTACATATCCACAGTCTGTTTATATGGCAAACTAGAACCATTTCAGTTGATGACGTCATCACTACTCTTGCATTCCATTGGGTAAAATGTCGCCCATCAAATTGATTGTCTTTGGGAGTTGTAGTGTTAATTAATCATATATATCAGTTTTATTAATGAATTGTATCAGTTTTATTGATGAAATATTATGTGTCCTGTCCATGAACTAAAGAACAGAGTCAGTGGGAAGGGCCAGCCCCAATGGTTCTAAACACAGCCTATGCTTTGGGCCTGTGAGGATTATGGAGAGCCCCCAGATTCCCCATATTTACAGCTTCTCATACCTCAGGGTTCATGATGATGGACTATAGAACCAAGTGCAATGAGTAACTTCTGAGGGCCAAAGGTTCCGTCCACTATAACACAGATATTCCTCGTTCTTGACCCGTTCTTGTTCTCGACCCATTCTCCCGGCGACCTCTACCCCAGAGGGTCCCATTCTCCCGGCGACCTCTACCCCAGAGGGACCCATTCTCCCAGCGACCTCTACCCCAGAGGGTCCCGTTCTCCCAGCGACCTCTACCCCAGAGGATCCCGTTCTCCCGGCGACCTCTACCCCAGAGGGTCCCATTCTCCCGGCGACCTCTACCCCAGAGGGTCCCGTTCTCCCAGCGACCTCTACCCCAGAGGATCCCGTTCTCCTGGCGACCTCTACCCCAGAGGGTCCCGTTCTCCCGGCGACCTCTACCCCAGAGGGTCCCGTTCTCCCGGCGACCTCTACCCGACAGGGTCCCGTTCTCCCGGCGACCTCTACCCCAGAGGGTCCCGTTCTCCCAGCGACCTCTACCCCAGAGGGTCCCGTTCTCCCGGCGACCTCTACCCCAGAGGGTCCCGTTCTCCCGGCGACCTCTACCCCAGAGGGTCCCGTTCTCCCGGCGACCTCTACCCGACAGGGTCCCGTTCTCCCGGCGACCTCTACCCCAGAGGGTGCCGTTCTCCCGGCGACCTCTACCCCAGAAGGTCCCGTTCTCCCGGCGACCTCTACCCCAGCGGGAGATGAGTTAGGGTTCGGTAGATGTTAAGTTTCTTACTGTGTTTCCTTTATTTCATTACTGCTTTAATATACCACTCTATTTATTATTTTATGATTGACTAATTGTATTTTATGACTAATTGTATTTGATGGCTAATTGTATTTGATGGCTAATTGTATTTTTTGATTGTGTAAAGCACTTTGCGTCTGTTGGATGTAGAACATGCTTTATAAATGAATGTGGTTTGGTATAGAAATAAAATAAAAACATTTAATCAGTTAACTGTTTTTTCAAGCTGTGGGCGGAGCCTGACAGAATGGAGGTCAGGTCGATGGAAGCGGCAAAGAAAAGACCGAATGGGATTTATCAGGACTGCTGCTCTGTCCATAGATTCATTTTATTCTTAGATTTAAGATGGAGGCTGTAACTAATGAGCAGAAGCCTGAGTTTGCATCACATTAAATCTTTTGTTAGAGAATCCATGAAATGTTCCTTTAGTTTGTTTTCAGCTCAGTTTTCCTCTTTGTTGCCACAGCTGTTGATGTCCAGGTGAGCCGCTGCCTGGACAGCATTGTGGCCGGTGGAGTACTGATCTCTGGTCTGCATGCCACGGTGGCCCCCCGCAGGCAGCAGCAGCAGAACCCCCCCACTCTGGAGGAGTTTGTGTTCGTTCCTCATGTGATGACAGAGTGCCTGGCAACCAATCAGAGCCTCACTGAGCAGCTGCACCTCTGCAAAGGTAAGGATCGTTGCTCCTCTGTGAGATGCTATGGCTGATGAAGGAAAGAAAGTGTCACCAGCAAAGCAAGCAGGTTCTCACTTCACAACGAAAAATGTAGAAATCTGCATGTAAAACAGATTTAAAAATAAAATGAATTAGAAACATCAAAAGAAAGCCTTGTTTCTGGTGGCATCTGCAGCCCTGCAAAGGTGCATCTGTTCCAACAGACCAATCACAGAAAAACCACAGCATCTATCAATGTCAGACTCTATAATCTTCTCACGGATTGATTGACAGCTGGTTCTCTGGCTGGAGATGATGATCTGAGCTGCATCATCAGCCCTTCCTACCTTTCCTGAGTTAGCAACAGCTAGCAGATAGCAACGCTAGCACTCATGGCTGATCCTGCTGCCCGCAAACACGAATGTGTTTAAAACCAGAACTGACCAGAACATGGCGGCTCCATGATGCATGTAAAAAGGTCAAGTGAGCAACCAGGAGGAGCCACAAAAACCTGCAGGTATCATTCAATCCAGAAACCTCCTTAGAGCTGCAGAGCAGGTCGCTGCTCCTCCTCAGAAGGCCGTAAGCAGCATCTGCTGAAGGTTATTATCGTCACTTATTGATCTGCTCAGAGTTTATATACCTTTGATTCCAGAACAAAGTTTTTTTTCCCCTAATCATCAAAATCTGTTGTAAAAAAGGAAATTTTTCATCCACCTTCTCTATTGATCATCTTGACGTTTTACTTTCTGCATCTTCTCTGCAGCTTTAATTCACAAACTGCAGCTGAAGTTGGCTCCTCATGGCATCAAGCTGCCTGATCCTGGGTCAGCAGGAGACCAGGCTGATTCTCTCCCCAACCAGGAAGCATCTCAGCCTGGTTTGCCGCGGCTGCTGAGGCTTCTGGGTGGACTGCAGCTGAACGGGAACCTTCAGTCTGAGCTGGAGCAGGTGGTAGTTAAGGAGCGGGCGTGTCTGCTGCAGGACGCTCTGCTGCACGCTCTGCTGGACGATCCAGGTCTTCGACACTGCCTGGACATTTGCACTGAGAACTGTACCCCAGGGAAGATCAGAGTCCTGGAGGTAGTCTGTGGGATGATTTGGAAATAAGCAAAGCGTTCTGTGATGCATGTTTTCATAAGCTGTTCTCTCTCTACCTGCTGCCAGGCTCTGGCTGATGATGGCCAGCTTTTCACTCGTGTGGTTCCCCTCCTGAACATCCAGCCAATGCTGGATGTGGACTACACTGCCACAGCCACACACCTGGATCTTCTGTCCCCCCATGAAGCCAAGCTGGAGGAGCTGGCAGCGGCTGCAGCTCAGTGGGACCCTCTGAAAGAGCCAGCTCCTGGAAGGATGGCTGCAGGAGCAGACCTGGTGGTGTGTAACCATGCTTGGGGTGCCCTGAGGACCGACCCCAGACAGCTGGTGGATAACCTGGCCTCCGGGGCCAAAGAGCAGGGATTTGTTCTTCTCCACACCTTGCTAAAGGGCCAGACTCTGGGAGAGATGGTGGCCGTCCTCACCAGCAGCCCCCAGGGCAGCGCTGGATGTGGCCTGCTCACACAGGTTTGTGTGAAAAGATCATTTCTGAATAATCCAGATTATGTTCAGAGATTAGCTTCAACCGCTGACTAGTTCTAAGTTAAGGCTAAGCTAAGCTAGTTCTAAGCTAAGCTAGTTGTAAGATGTTTTTATCTCCTGGTGCTGCTTATTGTTAACATCGCTGCCGTGAAATCAGCTCCTAGTAATGAGCTGTTAATAATAACTAGTTAGTGATGACTAGTTAAAACTAACATGTTAGTAATTGCCTAATAGTAAGGAATGTTTAACTAGTAATTGATGACGAGGTAATAAAACTAGTGAGTAGAGGTGAACCACTGAAGCTATCTAAAGAACTACTTCTGGTTTCCATGGCGATGACAAACTGCTTCCTTTTTTCCTCTCCAGGCTGAGTGGGAGGCGGTCTTCTCTGAGGCCAACCTGACCCTGATAGCACTCAGGAAGTCCTTTTATGGCTCTGTCCTTTTCCTCTGTCGCCACAAATCTCCCAGCAAGCAGTGCGTCTACCTACCTGTGGACGGCTCGGACTTCCTGTGGGTGGAAAAACTCAAGGTGGGTTTATTTGGTCTCACAGTCAGTTCCATCTGGGGAGAATAAGGAGGAGGACCTCCTTATTCCTCTGGAGAAGGTCCGTTAGGAGGAGGACCTTCAGGGAGTTACTCCTCTGGTTTAGAATAACAGAATAACTTTCTAAGTCTCCAATAATGAACGACTGACCCTTGATGTCAGCATTCTGCAGTAGTTGTCTGATTGGTTCTGGTTGGTTCTGCAGGCCCTACTGGCAGATCCATCAGACGCCGCCGTGTGGCTGATGTCGTCAGAGGCCCACAGTGGGATTGTGGGAATGGTCAACTGTCTGCGTCAGGAGCCTGGTGGCAGCCGGATCCGGTGAGGCGCTATGGACCCATGTTACCTCAGGTTGAGCCGTTTCTCACGTCTATCAGATGTTTCATGTGTTTGCTTCTCCACCAGCTGCATGTTTGTGTCCAATCTGAATGGATCTTCAGCATCGCCATGCCTGGAGCCTGGCCAGAAGTCCACGGAGTCAGTGATGGAGGGGGATCTGGTGATGAATGTGTTCAGAGACGGACGGTGGGGAACTTTCAGACACCAGCTCATCTCTCAAGGTAAAAGCTTGATAAATTTAGTCCAGCCTCACTGAGTCTGTTGGAGCTGCAATCTCAGCAGTAGAGGAGATGCTTGATGTTTGGACCGACCCTGGTTTGGAGACGTAGTACAGCACAGGAATCCGTTTTCTTTTCTCACACTAGGTGGTTTAGTTCATTTCGCCTCCTCATGGTCGTGTTTTCTGTTTTCCAGAGCCAAAGGAGGAGCTGACAGAGTCTGCATTCATCAATGTTTTGACTCGAGGTGACCTCTCCTCCTTGCGCTGGATCACCTCCCCTCTCCGCCACTCCTCCTCCAGCAGCTCCTCTCTGAAGACGTGTCACGTTTACTACAGCTCTCTGAACTTCAGGGACATCATGCTGGCCACCGGAAAACTTCCTCCAGATGCTATTCCAGGTAACAACTGTTGGAAAGGAGAATAATGGACTTCTAAATCAGAAAATCAGGATTCTAGTTCTGTGGCTGAATACTGGCATTGCACTGCTGCAGGTGTGAGTTCTGCTAGCTTAATTCTGCCGTTCCTTCCAATAGAATGTTAGCTGCCCTCTTCATGGATCAGACTGTTTTTTGCCTGTTTGATGCTGTGGAGCTTGAAGGATTTTCTCAAATTCTTTCTTACCATTTCAGACACTTGCTATGATGCGCAACCACTGCAAATTGTATTTTTTACACCCATTAACATTTATAAAGCTGAAATAATGTATCTCTGCAAGTAGCAGTTGAGCTGAAAAGGAAGTGGAAGGGATGCAAAGTAGGAGCAAAGTTAAGCTGAAGGAGCAGGAAATTTAAGCCATCTCTTCCATCAATCAACATTTGCAATGTGAGGAAAAAGCAAGAAGAACTCCAAACCTTAGGAAGGACCCAGCCGGAATATCAGTGATGCAGCTTTACGTGTTTTACTGAAACATGGCTGCAGGATCATATCTCAGAGTCCAACGTCTCCCTGCCAGGCTTTCTGACCGTACCAGCAGACTGAGATTTAAAGAAGACTGGGAAACTCAAAGGAGGAGGGTTGGCAGTGTTAGTGATAAACCCTTTATATTCCACCTTCACTCAATGTGATGTCATCAGTTCTGTTGTTGCTTAGCTACAGATACAACAGCCAAATGCATTTGTGGCAATGACTGGTGGTTTTAATAACATCTCTGCTACTCCGCCATCGTTCCAGAAGTTTGTCAGCTGCTAAAACAGAGAAAACTAAACTTTTATCTTGTTTTATGCAAATATCAAAGATTCCTGCATCTCTGAAGGAAGACATCTTCTTGTAAATTAGATCACAATAAACCATGGATCACAGGTGATCTGAAGGAAGTGCTCAACTAGAACAAACAGCCTTTAAGGAGGAAGAGAGGGAAATAATGAGAATATAGAAGCAACTTAAGATCAGAGAAGGGAAGGAGGCAAAGAGGAAGAGGCTGGAAAACGAGTTCCAGCACAAGAATATAATATATGAAGAAGATCCCAGGCTTCCAGATGGAGGATGATCAGACAGATGGAGGTCTGGACAGAACCAATAAACTGAACCATTCAACAAGCTCAGCATCTTTCTCTCCTGCCCACAGTCACATGGACATCCTGCCCTCCTCTGACATTCACTCTCCTGCTTCTATTATCAGCCAGATCAGCAGGTGGTGCCGCTCCCTCCACCTTCCACCTGTCTGTCTCTAGAAGTCAGTAAAGAGGCAACAGGAGAGACTGGATGGTAATCAGTCAGCAGGTCCTGATGGTGTCAGAGTCCTGAAGGCCTGAGCAGAGCAGCTCAGAGACAGTTCCAGGGATGTGGAAGACCTCCTGCCTTGTTCCAGGACCAAAGAAGACTCAGGCAGCAGTCCTCAGTGACTATAGACCTCCTGCCTCTTTCCAGGACCAAAGAAGACTCAGGCAGCAGTCCTCAGTGACTATAGACCTCCTGCCTTGTTCCAGGACCAAAGAAGACTCAGGCAGTAGTCCTCTGTGACTATAGACCTCCTGCCTTGTTCCAGGACCAAAGGAGACTCAGCCAGCAGTCCTCAGTGACTATAGACCTCCTGCCTTGTTCCAGGACCAAAGAAGACTCAGGCAGCAGTCCTCAGTGACTATAGACCTCCTGCCTTGTTCCAGGACCAAAGAAGACTCAGGCAGCAGTCCTCAGTGACTATAGACCTCTTGCCTTGTTCCAGGACCAAAGAAGACTCAGGCAGCAGTCCTCAGTGACTATAGACCTCTTGCCTTGTTCCAGGACCAAAGAAGACTCAGGCAGCAGTCCTCAGTGACTATAGACCTCCTGCCTTGTTCCAGGACCAAAGAAGACTCAGGCAGCAGTCCTCTGTGACTATAGACCTCCTGCCTTGTTCCAGGACCAAAGGAGACTCAGCCAGTAGTCCTCTGTGACTATAGACCTCCTGCCTTGTTCCAGGACCAAAGTAGACTCAGCCAGTAGTCCTCTGTGACTATAGACCTCCTGCCTTGTTCCAGGACCAAAGGAGACTCAGCCAGCAGTCCTCAGTGACTATAGACCTCCTGCCTTGTTTCAGGACCAAAGGAGACTCAGCCAGCAGTCCTCAGTGACTATAGACCTCCTGCCTTGTTCCAGGACCAAAGAAGACTCAGGCAGCAGTCCTCAGTGACTATAGACCTCTTGCCTTGTTCCAGGACCAAAGAAGACTCAGGCAGCAGTCCTCAGTGACTATAGACCTCTTGCCTTGTTCCAGGACCAAAGAAGACTCAGGCAGCAGTCCTCAGTGACTATAGACCTCCTTCCTTGTTCCAGGACCAAAGAAGACTCAGGCAGCAGTCCTCTGTGACTATAGACCTCCTGCCTTGTTCCAGGACCAAAGGAGACTCAGCCAGTAGTCCTCTGTGACTATAGACCTCCTGCCTTGTTCCAGGACCAAAGTAGACTCAGCCAGTAGTCCTCTGTGACTATAGACCTCCTGCCTTGTTCCAGGACCAAAGGAGACTCAGCCAGCAGTCCTCAGTGACTATAGACCTCCTGCCTTGTTCCAGGACCAAAGAAGACTCAGGCAGCAGTCCTCAGTGACTATAGACCTCCTGCCTTGTTCCAGGACCATAGAAGACTCAGGCAGCAGTCCTCAGTGACTATAGACCTCCTGCCTTGTTCCAGGACCAAAGGAGACTCAGCCAGCAGTCCTCAGTGACTATAGACCTCCTGCCTTGTTCCAGGACCAAAGAAGACTCAGGCAGCAGTCCTCAGTGACTATAGACCTCCTGCCTTGTTCCAGGACCAAAGAAGACTCAGGCAGCAGTCCTCAGTGACTATAGACCTCCTGCCTTGTTCCAGGACCAAAGAAGACTCAGCCAGTAGTCCTCTGTGACTATAGACCTCCTGCCTTGTTCCAGGACCAAAGTAGACTCAGCCAGTAGTCCTCTGTGACTATAGACCTCCTGCCTTGTTCCAGGACCAAAGGAGACTCAGCCAGCAGTCCTCAGTGACTATAGACCTCCTGCCTTGTTCCAGGACCAAAGAAGACTCAGGCAGCAGTCCTCAGTGACTATAGACCTCCTGCCTTGTTCCAGGACCATAGAAGACTCAGGCAGCAGTCCTCAGTGACTATAGACCTCCTGCCTTGTTCCAGGACCAAAGGAGACTCAGCCAGCAGTCCTCAGTGACTATAGACCTCCTGCCTTGTTCCAGGACCAAAGAAGACTCAGGCAGCAGTCCTCAGTGACTATAGACCTCCTGCCTTGTTCCAGGACCAAAGAAGACTCAGGCAGCAGTCCTCAGTGACTATAGACCTCCTGCCTTGTTCCAGGACCAAAGAAGACTCAGCCAGTAGTCCTCTGTGACTATAGACCTCCTGCCTTGTTCCAGGACCAAAGAAGACTCAGCCAGTAGTCCTCTGTGACTATAGACCTCCTGCCTTGTTCCAGGACCAAAGGAGACTCAGCCAGTAGTCCTCTGTGACTATAGACCTCCTGCCTTGTTCCAGGACCAAAGAAGACTCAACCAGCAGTCCTCAGTGACTATAGACCTGTTGCCATGACCAGTGATGGGACTAACGGCGTTGAAGGTAACGGCGTTACTAACGCCGTTACCTTGTTTTAGTAACGAGTAATCTAACTAATTACTTTGACTGTAACTATAACGCAGTTACCATTGCAGACACCCCGTTACTGCGCGTTACTCAGGTCGCACAATGAACCTTTTTTCATGATAGGACTCGTGCACAGCTGCGTGAAGCTGACACCCCACCCACGTCAAAAAACTCTGCAAATAGACTGAATGGTTAGTGCAACGTTAGTGCAGATTTGTGCAGAAAAAAATATTGTTTGTGCTACTTTTGTTTAAGAGATATTAAAGATAATTTTTTAGGTCATCCAGAGGTGCGCGCCTTGTCATGAGAGAGGGGAGGATGAGAATGGCTGATGTATAGTGAGATTCCGTCTGTCAGTTGGGTAGGTGGGTGTTTCTGCTGGTGGGTGTTAACGTACAGCACACACAGAGAGATGGAGAGTGAGGAGGACTCCAGCAGCAAAACAGCGTTTTCCTGATGGAAATACCGGTGTTACGTCGAGCTGCGTTTCCCCACCACATACGGTTTCCTCTGCATCTCCGCACAGCGCAGGCGGCAAGAGTCACCGTGCAAGCGACATGAAACGCGCATGCTCGCTAAAGGCGCGCAACAGTCGCCCTGTGCTCGCGCCACAGGAGAACTATGGAGAGCGTGAACGATCAAATGATAGCCTATATGAAGAAAGGGAGAAATCTGGATGGATGGATGGATGGATGGATACTCTGCCTTTTCAACCTACTGTATTTTTTATTTTAAACATTATTTGATGGCCTTCGTGGCAGGGATGGAGATCCATATTTTATGTCACACACAGAGTATACATCTAGATAGATAGATGTTGCAGTATCTATAACAACCCAAACACACAGGTTTTCAGAATTAGACATCCCCAGTTATTAATTTCATACACTCACCAGATCTGAACGCCCTGTTAAAAATCTTCACATCGCGTTCCCCCCTGATGTCATTTACGTTGAGTTGCAATAAATGCAAAACTCTCTGCAGGTTCTTGTCTTTGTCGTCCGCTCTATTCAGCTGGCTTTGGAAACACACGGCGAGAAGGTGGGGGCCGGGTGGTGAGGTTTACGGGGGCGAGAAACGCAAAAGTAACGCAATAGTTACTTTTACTAGTAACTAGTTACTTTTATTGTGGAGTAACTCAGTTAGTAACTCAGTTACTTTTTGGGAGAAGTAACTATAACTAATTACTTTTTCTAAGTAACGTGCCCAACACTGGCCATGACAACCACATCATGAAGCTATCAGGACCCCCTGCTATTTTCTTATGGAGATGGAGTTGATGATGTCATCATCCACCTGCTTCAACCAACCCACTGTCATTTAGCCAAGGCAGACAGCACTGTGAGGACCAGAATAAGATGATTGTTTCCACACCATGCTTTGTGGCAGACCGCCCCCCCACCCCCAGACAAAGGAGGGACAGCAGTGAATTTCATTGGTTTATACTTTAGTTGGACATTTATAATATTAATTATATATATTATTAATATTTTTACTGATGGTTGAAGAAAATTAGCCGATGTGATCCATCCTGGTCCAATAACAGAGGAACGGGGTCAGGAACTAATCATTTTGGTCCTCCTCTAACCTCTGTCTGTCTTCTTTCCAGGGGACATGGCCCTCCAGCAGTGCCTGCTGGGGATGGAGTTCTCTGGTCGGGATCCTAAAGGTCAGCGGGTCATGGGTCTGCTCCCTGCTAGAGGCCTGGCCACCGCAGTGGAAGCAGATCAACGCTTCCTGTGGGAGGTTCCCCTCAGCTGGTTAGTCACCGTCATCACTCCACTGCTGTCATAGAGCTGTTCACATAGAGCTGTTCTCATAGAGCTGCTTGCATAGAGCTGTTCACTTAGAGCTGTTCTCATAGAGCTGCTCCCATAGAACTAATAATATTAGTATCAATATAATCGCTATAATTAGTTCTAATAGCAGTGGGGCTGAAACAATGAATTGTGATTAATTATGAATTAATCGTTGACTTTAGACTCAGAGCAGGAATAATAAAAAGATTGAAAAAATCTATTAACATTTTTCATTTAAGATCAAATGAATTTACGGGGGGGGCGGAGTCTCTGACCACCGATAGATGCTTCAGTCAAACTCCTGCTTTCATTTAAGATCAAATGAATTTCCATCTGTCAATCTGCTCTATAATCCAACTGTAAGTGAAAATATTTTAGTTTGACCTGGTTTAATTTATAAGGATTATTAATCAAATGAACAATTGACAGATTAATCGATAGTTGCAGCCCTAAATAAGTATTTATGATAGTAATAATACTTGTTATATCAAGAGTAGCAATATTTTATTACCGGGTACTGGTATTAATAGTAGTACTATTATTATTGGAAGTGTTTGGTCTGATGTTAGGCTCCGCCTCCTCTTCCTGTGTGTGATCAGGACCCTGGAGCAGGCCGCCTCTGTGCCTGTAGTTTATGCTACTGCCTATTACTCCCTGGTGGTGCGCGGCCGGCTGCGGCCCGGGGAGACGGTTCTCATCCACTCGGGTTCTGGGGGCGTCGGCCAGGCGGCCATCGCTATAGCGCTCAGCATGAACTGCAGAGTCTTCACTACAGTTGGTCAGTACACTGCGGGCGGTCTGCACTCGTTTGTCATCTCAGACAAGCTCTGCCTCCATCTGATCTAAGCGTCTCGGTTCTTTTTGGGACAAACAGGTTCTGCAGAGAAGAGGGCCTACCTGCAGGAACGCTTCCCTCAGCTGTCTGCAGAATCCTTTGCGAACTCCAGAGACGTCTCCTTTGAGCAGCACATCCAGCTGCAGACCAAGGGCAAAGGTCAGCCTCCATCTGAGTCGCATCCCCTGGAGAACGCGCTGACCAGCTGTAGTGACCAATCCGTGGCTGTTTCCTGTGGTTGCAGGTGTGGACGTGGTGTTAAACTCTCTGGCCGAGGAGAAGCTGCAGGCGAGCGTCCGCTGCGTGGCCCGACACGGACGATTCCTAGAGATCGGAAAATACGACCTTTCCAACAACTCTCCACTGGGTCAGTAAGGAAGGTTCTACTGCCTTTTCTGATCTAGATGAAGTATTTCTAGATGAAGTCTTTTGAAGCTACTTGGTGTTGCTAGATGTTTCTTGAAGAAGCAGTGTCGTTACTTCTGTTGGACCCGTCCAGGTATGGCGTTGTTCCTGAAGAACGTGGCCTTCCACGGCATCCTGCTGGATGCGCTGTTTGAGGAGGGCAACAAGGAGTGGGAGGAGGTGTCCCAGCTGCTGAAGCAGGGCATTCTGGGAGGTGTAGTTCAGCCTCTAAGGACCACCGTTTTTCAGAGGGATGAGGCGGAGCAGGCCTTCAGATACATGGCCCAGGGCAAACACATCGGCAAAGTGGTCCTGCAGGTCAGTCTCCTCCTTCATCGTTCCTCATCATCATCATCGCAAAGATCAACCTGATCTAGCAATGTCTCTCCCGTTTCCTCAGATCCGCAGTGAGGAGCAGGGTCCAGCCGTCCAGCCCGCCTCCCGTCTGCTTCTTCCCGCCGTTTGTCGTACTTTCTGTCTCCCGTCGCACTCTTACATCATCACTGGCGGACTGGGAGGGTTCGGCCTGGAGCTGGCCCAGTGGCTGATTGAGAGAGGAGCCTGCAAACTGGTGCTGACCTCTAGATCTGGCATCAGGAATGGTAAGGCTGAGCGAAGGACGCCAGCTGAAAGCATCCCATGATGCCTTTCAGAAGGACAAACTAAAATCCACTGTTATTGCAGGTTATCAGGCCAAGCGGGTTGGCGAGTGGCGCAGGCAGGGCGTGAGCGTGCTGGTTTCCACCAGTGACGTCAGCACACTGAAGGGGACCCAGGAACTGGTCAGAGAAGCCAGCGCACTGGGCCCAGTAGGCGGAGTCTTCCATCTCGCCATGGTAACCTTGCTGTCAGCTTCATGTAAACAGCAGTAGGCAAAAATGTTTGCTGTGTTTTCACTATGACATAATCATGAAATCAGTGTGTGCCGTTATGGCAGCGCCTTGTTCAGGGTTACCGGGGGGCGGAGTCTCTGACCACCTGTAGTTTGTCTTCCTCAGGTGCTGAAAGACGCCATGTTGGAGAATCTGACCCCTGAGCTGTTTGTTGATGTCAGTAAACCCAAACGCGACGGCACCATCAACCTAGACAGGTAAGGCGGCCGTGGTTGAGCTGATCTGCATCACTGCGAATCCTCTCCTCTCATTGGTCCAATCAGCTCTGTCCTTTCTGTCTCCTCAGAGTGACCAGACAGCTGTGTCCAGACCTCAGGTACTTTGTGGCCTTCTCCTCTGTCAGCTGCGGCCGTGGGAACGCCGGCCAAAGTAACTATGGTTACGCCAACTCTGTGATGGAGCGCGTGTGTGAAAAGCGGCGCTTCGATGGCCTGCCGGGGTTGGCGGTCCAGTGGGGGGCTATTGGAGACGTGGGAGTGGTGCTGGAGACGATGGGCGGAAACGATGTAGTGATTGGGGGCACCCTGCCCCAGCGCATCACTTCCTGCCTGGAGGTGCTGGACCTGTTCCTGCAGCAGCAGCAGGCGGTGATGTCCAGCTTCGTGCTGGCAGAGAGGAGCACAGTGAGGAGCGAGGCGGGGAGTCAGAAGGACCTGGTGGAGGCCGTAGCTCACATTCTGGGTTAGAAGCTGCAGCTTTATTGACCATCAGTGTTTTTTTCCTGTCAAACTTCCTCTGATCCTCGCTGCTGGTTTTGCTCACAGGAGTTCAGGATGTGAAGCAGCTGAACGCTGAGGCCTCGCTGGCCGACTTGGGCTTGGACTCTCTGATGGGCGTGGAGGTTCGCCAGACGTTGGAGCGGGACTACGACATCGTGATGGCTATGAGGGAGATCCGCCAGCTCACCATTAACAAGCTGCGGGGGTTGGCAGAAGGAACGAAAGGTATGAAACGGATCAGATGCTAAATAACCTTTCCTGCTAGAACTCCTCCAGTCTCTCCGTCTCTGGAACCACTTCCTATTTCCTTCCTTTCAATCCTAGATTGTAAACAGACCAAAGCGGCCACTCGCTCTGTACTGCAGTCTGACGTGAGCCAGGTTCTGGTGGACCCCAGCGGGCCCACGCTGATTCCTCTGAACCAGGTGAACAGCCAGGAGAGCCCCCTGTTCCTGGTCCATCCTATCGAAGGCTCCACCTCTGCCTTCAGGACGCTGGCCTCCAAGCTGGGCCTGCCCTGCTTCGGCCTACAGTGCACCAGAGGTACGTCAAACACAGAAGCATCACTTCATGGTGGGGGAGGATCGCCTCGTCTCGCCTCCAGTTAGTGAAGGAGCTCCAAACGTTGTTTGCTTCAAGCCCGGCGTACACTGTGTGATTTTTTATTTTTTTTTTCTCAATCGTTGCACACATCTGCTGCTCACACTATACGACTAAACGCAGGGTTTAGTCGTACAGTGTGAGCAGCAGCTCCCGATTTATGTCTGGCCGGACGCTCTGATGCGATCAACCTGCTCGCAATGTGCGACTAAAAAGCACGTCGGACTGAGCTCCGCAGTGAGATGGAGCTGCACTGTAGCTCTCTATCCTGAAGCCAAACAAATAGAAGAGGGATATTAAGCTCACTATAGTGAACCGCGCTGCCGTGGCAATTTGTGCAATTTTGTGCTGAGGGTCCTAGAAAGAAAGGGCGACGACAGAGCTGCATTTCACTCATTGCATCCCTGCCATGCTGCTGTGTTTACATGTGAGAGGAGGAATAAAAAGAAGAACCCTTGTTTGCGCCCTGAGCGATTTGCCATAGACGGTCTGGACCTTACGACCTCACAATTCCTGATCAGCAGGTGGTCGTGAGAGGCTGATCGCCCCCCTCTGTACACCACACGACTCATGAAGCACGATTAGGCTGAAAGTCGGGCCGATTCTCACACGACTGGAAAATCGCCTTGAAAATCGCGCAGTGTACGCCTGGCTTTAGTGATCCAACTTCCAACCAAAGCCAGAATTCCTCATTACTTTCAACAATCTGAAATAGGTAAACGCAATGATCAGTTCAAAACGGAGAGCAGTCATGATGATGATGATGATGGTGATGATGGTGGAGAAGGAGAAGGAATATCATGATTATTTATTACAGGAAGTAACCCTAACCCAAGATGACGTTAGAAAATGGAAAACTGTGTCGGCCATTTTTGTAAAATCCAACAGTTCAGGTGGAAAAACGGCTTTTCTACCTGAAACAATCCGATTAATTGATTATTGAAATAATCGTCAACTAATAGTATTTAATTAATTGTTAACTGGAGTATAGAGACTCTAAAACAGGCCTTTAGCTGACAGAGCGACTCCCTGAGAGCAGGAATTATACCAAGATTGTAAAAAAATATATATAAACATTTTAAATTTATGATTAAAAAAAAATCAATCTGCTCTATAATCCAGAACTCTTAAAGTGGAAAGGTTGAAGTAAAAACCTTTAATGAATTTGTTGCTATCTGCACTGCAAAAAATATAAATCTCAATAAGTTATTTTTTCTTAAAATAAGTGTGTTTTTCCTTGATTTGAGGAGGTAAGTAAGACACTTTGCCAATGGAACAAGACAATTTCCTTTTAAAATAAGAAAAAACTATTTTATCGTCTTATTTCAAGTAAATATTATCTAACTATCTTATTTTAAGAGTGAAAATACTCATTCCATTGGCAAATCATCTTATTTACCTGCTCAAATTAAGGCTAAATATACTTAATTTAAGCCATTTTTTACTTATTTCTGGATTGTTTTTGCAGTGTGATTAATGGATGATTGAAATAATGTTTAGTTGCAGCCGTACGCTGATGATCTGCTCTTGTTTTTTCTCGTTAAGCTTCTTCAGGTGTGAATTGGCGCCATAAAAATGAACTGAACTATCAAATGATGATCTGATGCAGAACTTTAGTAGAAATCATCTAATTAGATTTTATCACTCTGGTAACAGAACAGTCTCTAATCAGCGTGCCCCAGGCCAGCGGGGGCTACAGTTCGGCTCACCTCAAACAGTGGTTTATGGTGAACTCATTCTAGCTGCTGTGTTTCTATGTCCTGCCCAGCTGCGCCGCTGGACAGCATCCAGTCCCTGGCAGCGTTCTACGTGAGCTGCATCAGACAGCAGCAGCCCGACGGCCCCTACAGAATCGCCGGCTACTCCTTCGGAGCCTGCGTGGCCTTTGAGATGTGTTCCCAGCTGCAGGCCCAGAACCACGCTGTAGACTACCTGTTCCTGCTGGACGGCTCCCACTCCTACGTGGCGGCGTACACACAGGTCAGAGGAGGGTTCTGATTATTCTGACCAAAGTCTGATTTCATGCGTCTGCGGTGGACGGTTCCCTGACCCTGGGTCTGCTTTCAGAGCTACAGGGCTAAGCTGACCCCGGGTAAAGAGTCGGAGGCCGAGACCGAGGCCATGTGTGCCTTCATCCAGCAGTTCACCGGCATCGAATACAACAAGGTACGCGCTCAGGCTCTGAACATCATTCCTCTTTAGCTGCGATTCCAGCAGGAAGGTCTGCAGCTCCTGTCCTGCAGCATGAGACCCCTCTGTTCATTAGGCTAATGCTAACTGCTGTAATGCTAGGCAGACATCAGGTTCCCTATTAAAGTAGAACTAAACAGTCCGCTTTTATTTTGACGGGCTGGAGCTGTCAGACTTCCTGCTTTTTTATCCTCAGACTGGTCCTGTCACTGGAAACCAGTGGCAGCTTATTATGGGATGTAGGCGGAGCAGAGAAAAGCCTCTTTGTTCTGAATGTGAAGATAAGAAACGTCTAAATGAATCTTTGTTCTGGTCGTTCTTCTAACTCTCGGCTGTTCATCTGATTCTGCAGCTGCTGGAGAATCTGCTTCCACTTTCAGACCTGAAGGCTCGAGTCAAGGTGGCCGTGGACCTCATCACCTCCAGCCACAAGAACATCAATCGCGACTTGCTGGACTTTGCAGCCTCCACCTTTTATCAGAAGCTAAAAGCAGCAGATGGATATGTTCCTGCAACAAAATACCATGGCAACGTGACGCTGCTACGGGCCAAAACCAGCAGTGACTACGAGCAGAGCCTGGGAGAGGACTACAAGCTTGGCGAGGTAAGGACTCCTCTGGTCACTGGCCAAACCAGAAACCACGTCTGTTATGATCTCTGATAGTTAGCAGCCTGCAGCATCTCATCTGGGCTTTGACTAGACCAATTGTGCAGGACTGCAGTCCTAGGTGGGTCTGCTGGGATGTTTTAGGGATTGGGCTTCACCCCTTGCTCACACTGGTTCCGGTGCAGTTACCGAGCCGACGGAGACCGCAACGCCCGCACACCCCCTCTCACACCGCCCTTTTGACTACGATGCGGTGCGGCTCTGGCAACAGGTCCGGAGATTTAACAGAAGTTCACTTGAGTTCACGTACCTTCACGCGATAACACGGCCCAAATAAGGATATTTGCGAGAGCTTGTTGCGGAGGGCTCCGGCACGGCGCAAGGATAGCTTTCTTGCGGAATTTTCTGCAGCGCCGGAGTGTCTCGGTAACCGCAGCCGGACAGCTCAGCAGCCGGTGAGAGAGGTTTACGTCTTTTTAATGACTTGGAATCACTGCGGCGCCGCACCCACCGCACCGCAACGGTAAGACCGGAGTCGGTGTGAGCCTGGGGTCATGCAGGAGTCGTTAATAAGAACAAATTCAACCTTAAATCGTTCGTACGGCTAAATCAGGAGAAAATTCCTCATTCTCCATTTTCTCCCGTTTCTATCTTCGCTCAGGTAGGAACTAATTTTAATCCTGACTGAAAGAGGAGTCTAGTTCCATCAGTTTTTCTGCGTATCCTGTTGCTTTGCTCTCAGTCAGCAGATCCTCCGTCTCTGAACCACAAAGTTGGAGGTAAAAATATAAGAAGGATGGAAATAAATCTGCTTGTAAAATTTCATGTAAATCTTTTTAAATTACTGTTGTAAATTAAAATTTAAGGATAAAAATCTGGAACTTCTCAGCTGAAGGGCCAATCAGAGGCCAAAGCCGAACGTTTCCATTTCTCAGTGACAAAACTCTGAAATATAAATAAAAGTCTGACAATAAATAAACGCATTAAAAACAAATGAATTCAAACATCCCTGTGATTATTTCTCAGTTTATTTACTTTGCTTTAAACTCAGCTGGCAGGATTAGTCCCGCCCCTAACGTCTGATTGGCTGCTTGGCGGTCTGCAGAGCTCCAGTTCGCTGTGGTTCTGATGGCCGCAGCTTTGGACCTGGTCTCGGTTAGCTGGAGCAGGTTCTTCCTGGACTCGTCCCGGTTGGTCCAGAACCCCCATAAAACTCTGTGCTTCCGTCTCCATGTCGTTCCTCAGGTGTGTGACGGGAAGGTTTCGGTCCACGTCATCGAAGGAGACCATCGCAGCTTCCTGGAAGCAGAGGGGGTGGACTCCATCAGCACCATCATCCAGAACTCCTTGGCCGGGCCGCGGGTCTCCCCAAAGGAAGGCTAACGACACCCCACACCCTCCTCGCTCCACCTCAGCACTGTCGGTGCAGAGGCGGGGTCTCTATCGGACCCGCTGAGGTTCTGGCTGAGGATCTTTGGAAACGAGTTTTGGACTTTTTGTTTACATTTTGTTGCCTGTAGAACGGAGCCTAAAGGCACGTCCAGGTTCTGTTTTAGCTCAATAATAAGTTTGTTCCTTTTTATTAATGTTAGCTTCATTCTTATCAGTTATGTGAGACAGAAGCTCGGTTCTGCTGGTGAACCTTTGGGCCTGCAGTGAATCCTGCGGATGAGCGGCTCTACTGGTACCAGCGGTTCTGGTTCTGAACGCTGAACAGTTGGAGCTAAATGTGAGTCAGTTTGACTCAACCAGTTTATTAAAGCCTAACCTTTAACTCACAGCTGTAACCATGGCGATGTAATGAAGCACCGACTCTGCGGTGTGGATGATGCCATCTGAGGAACGGTTTCCTGTCTGCTGAGACCTCATTGGTCAGTGAAGGGTCAGGTGATCCTGATGAATAAAGCCTCTTTGTAAAACACTGATGTTCTGTTGTGTTTGGATGATGATGATGAAGGACGGGGGAGATTGTTCAGTTCATCCATAACGCTGTAAAATCTGGACCAGATGGAGGAGGTGCAGCTCCTGGAAACCAGTCATGCTCATTTATTCAGCACTGGTTCCAATGTTCCCAGTTCAGGCAGAATGAACTGGTTCAGAAATAAGCGTGATGATGATGATGATGAACCTGTCCGTGTCTCCTCCTCTCTGCCTCCATAAACTAATATGTTTCGATCGTCTCCAGATGCAGTTTTTCATATCCAGTTTGTGGACTTCCTGATAGTAAAGAATTACAATAGTCCAGCCTTGAAGTAACAAATGCATGGACTAGTTTCTCAGCATCACCCCTGGACAGGAGATTTCTCATTTTTGCAATATTCCTCAGATGAAAGAAGGAAATTCTAGAAACCTCTTTGATATGAGATTTAAATGACAGGTCCTGATCAAAAACAACACCAAGATTTTTTACTTTATTATCTGAAATCAGTTTAATCCCATCCAAATGAAGTGACTGGCTAATCAGCTTCTCTTTCAGAGACTCTGGTCCAAAGACTGATGCTCTGTTCGAAAACCTAGGACGCATCCTTAGAAGACCGGATTCGAAGGCCGATTACGTCATAGCGCGGCGCCGAGGTCTGGTCGGATTCCAAGAGTCCTCGTTATGCGGCCTTAAAATGCGTCCTTCTTTTTGCCCGATTTGAAGGAAGGGTCCGATGTATCCTCGGTATTCTTGGATATCCCAGGATTCATTGCGAGACCAAGCAAGCCGTGATCAGAGTAAAGGTTACTTGGCGCCGAACAGTGGTGAAAATTGGAAGTTCAGTTTAATATAATACAACTCTGTGAATAGTTCCGTCTGAAATGAATGAAAATAGTTGTTTTAATGGTTATTGAGTCAGATATGTGGCGGTAATGTTTGGTTTATCTAAAGGTTTTAATCTGTTACTGTGTAAATGGGTTTGGCTGTAATTTAAGGACAGATTCTAATATATCTGCAGGGTGGGGACTATAAATCTGATAGGATTTTTATCTTTTTATTGCTGTTTTGCACAATATGCTTAACTTCCTATTTTTTGTCGTTGAATATTAGAGATTTTGCAGATATATTTTTTATACATATATTGTTTAGATTTACTTATATCTTTCTACCCCTTTTATAGAATAGAAAAGAAAATCCCTTTATTGTCCCACAATGGGCAAATTTACAGCAGCAGAAAGATTATTGAAAATGGTCTCACAAATGAAGACCTTAGAAAAATGTATAAGAATAACATAATAGGGAAGAGTTAAAATATAAACAATAAAATACTGTAAAGTGTTTTAACAATATAAAACTGGGGAATAAATAACCAATATGCAGCTATGGACATTTTTACAGTGATGGATATTTGAAAAAGCAGCAACATCAGAGATGTGCAGAATGACAGCAGCAGGTTATTTAACTGACTTTTTCTATCATTACATTTGATTTGATTTGTTCCTGCTCCCGCTGGTTGGAACCTTTATTCCACTCTGGATTCTTGTTAATGTAGTCTTTGTTCACTTCACAATAAAAAAGAAATAAATAAACAGTTTTGAAAACTTCTGTATTCATTCTTTTCCTGCTTTGTGTGTCAACGTTCACGGTTGCTCAGCAACAGAGCATACGGTGGTAAAACCCGCCAAAGGGTAGACCTGGTCGAATTTACAGCCAAAACTCTTCCGGTCTCCTTATTTTCAAGGACTTCGAAGGATCCAGTCTAGGTAGACCCGTCCTAGGTTTTCGAACAGAGCCTATAACTTCTGTTTTGTCTGCATTCAGAAGCAGAAAGTTAAGAGTCATCCAGGTTTTTATGTCTTCAGACATGCCTGTAATCTATGTAATGGGTTAGCTTCATCTGGATTTATAGACAGATATAGCTGGGTATCATCAGCGTAACAATGGAAATTAATCCCATACTGTCTAATAATTCTCCTGATAAACCTGCAGGGTTTGTTCATCAGAGCATAATCCACGTTGAAGGAAAACACACCAACCCAAATCACTTTTGGTTTTTATTTCAGTTTTATTTTGATGTCAGTTTTACAGCTCAGGGTTCAGTAGCATCTCCTCCAGGTTTGCTCACAGTCTCTATTCCACCAACATCCCGTCTGGAGAACCAGAACATGAGGCTGACCTTAACGCTCCACTTCGAGGATCTCGTCTCTGACTCGGTTTGGTCTTAAATAAATCTGAATATGGAAGGAAGGTCCGGTTCCGATCCGAACCGTTTTATGAGAGCCAAGGCTGGAACCACGACTAAAGATAAAAACTTCATCCTAAAACCAACAAGGTCCATCCGGACCGACAGCGGCCCGTTAAAGCAGTAGAAGGTGCAACACGCCCAGAGAGACGGACGTTAGAAGAAGGAGGTGTCTGCAGAAAAGGCGCCCGCCAGTCTGAACTCGTCTTTCATCAGAACGCAGAACAGTCGCTGGGGCAGAGCCTTGGAGTACGGCGCTGGTCGGGGAACGCAGGTCCGCAGCAGAACCTCCCGACCCGCAGGAGGTGGGAAGTCTGGAACCTTCCTGCTTTCTTCTGCTTCCAGATCGTCGTCCGCTGGAGCCAAAAGAGCCGCCTGCAAAAAAACAGGAGGGAGAAGGTCGGACTGGAAATCAAAGGGACATCTAGACTGTAGCACCAGTAAAACCAGCAGCACTATTAGGAACATTGGAACCATTAAGACCAGTGGAACCTCTTGTTTCCCCAAGAACCAGACTCACATCTCCTTAAATCATGAAGGACCTGACAGAAAGCTGCCGTTCAACCATCTGGGTCCACAGACTCCATTATGGGGTGGATCCTGGTCTTCCAGGACCTGAACCTCCAGGGTCCGGTCCAGGCTGGACCTGTGATGCTGATGTTAGTCTGCAGTAACCTGCTGTAGCAGAACCTCAGTCTGGTTCCATGATAGGAAACCAATTGCTGAGTTGGATTTCAGAGGCTGGATCCTCCTAAGCCTAACCCTAACCCGGTCTACCTGGACAGGATCCTTCCAGGTCTCTAAAAAGAAGGAGGCTGGAAGAGTTTTGGCTGTGGATTCAAACAGGTTATATAAAATCGCACTTCCCATATTCACCACTGTTCGCCGCCATTTCCCCTTTTCCTCTAAACACGGATCAGCTGGGCTGCTTGGTGTCGCAATGAATCCTGCGAAAACCAAGGATAGCGAGGACACGGCGGACCCGTCCTTCCAAATGGGCAAAAAGAAGGACGCATTTATCGACCGCATGATGAGGAGTCTTGGAATCTAAAGAGACCTCGGCGCCGCGCTATGACATAATCAGCCGACCAATGTTTGGAGAACGCAGACGCTGGATTCGAATTCAGCAAATAAGTCCAGGTTCCTCAGGTGACAGGACCCAGAGAAAGGTCAGAGGTCACTACAGACGTCATGACCTTTAGCAGGAGGGAGGTCTCCACCAACCAGGAGGAAGAACCTCCTAGATAGACCACAACCTGCCCTAATGGTGGACTGAGCCAATCAGCACCAGCCTCTTGAAACAGAAGCGCCCAAGCTGCCAATGAGCGACCCGGGACAGATCTAACGCTGCATGGCGGCCTGACGGTGGATAGCGACTCACCCGCTGAGCGTTGATGAACAGCCTGTGGATGGTTCTGCCGATCCGGGCCTGTCCGGCTCCCATCACCTCCACCTCCGGTTCCTCCAGCAGGGAGGTGATGAACCTTGAACAAAGAGAACAGAGAGTTCTCCTCAGGAAGCTCTGCAGGTCCACGGCTCCTCATCGGGACTCGCAGGAGGAACTTACCGCTTCAGCTCCGCCGGACCTTCATTATCCTCTTCCTCATCCACAGCAAACTTGGCCTGGAGCGAACGCGCTTCAGCGATCGCCGTCTCCATGGCAACCAACTGGTTGATAAAATCCTGAAACAGTCGGACACGCATGAGGTCAGAACAGTGTCTAAGCCCTAGAGGGCCCCAAAGGTACTGCAGCACTGACCTCCACCTTCTTGTGGTCCCGGTTAGCGGCGTGCAGCAGCTTGTTAGCTTGGCTGGTTGCCTGTTGGAGGCTCTTTTCCACTGATGGGATGTTTTCCAGCGACTCTGGAGGACAGAGATGAAGAAAACCGTCACAGAGGATGAAAGTCCGTTTATTTCAAAGAAGAAGCACCACCAACCAACAGGGGGCAAACATCGGACGCTCTATAATGTTAGCAGGCCTGCTCTAAAGCACCTAAATTTGACCTTTGACCTGTTCTAACGAGGGTTGGCCAATTAACTGCATCTGCAATGAAATCACAATTTTCCAACCGCCGAGCCGCTCAGTTTAACAAGACTTAAGACGCTGACCTTCTCCCTCCAGCCCACAGGTGGCAGTATGATGTCTGACACCTGTGTGAGATCCCAGCATGGCAGCAGAAGAAAGCACTATTTCAAAACAACAGGAAACGGGAAGTCCTGGAAAATGGTCTCTGGAGCAGAAAGCTCTGAAGATCCGTAGAACCATGAAACGTCTCAGATGTTTCCTTCATCAGAACCAGAGTCGGCTCCAAACGGGCCTTAGAGTGCCCCCTCCAGGAAGCAGCTAGCTTCACCGCGCTGAAAACAAACGGCCATTTTATCAGGGAGGGGAGAAGAGGCAGAGCCTGGATTCAGGGTCAAAGTTCAGACTGGGGATAAAAATTATCAATTGATCACTGCATCGATTTTATTCTCCACGTTTATCATCCAGATCTTTGGAATTATAGGAATATCCCTGCATACAGTCTTTAAAACCTTAAAATAATATTAGAGGAAACAAAACTACGTTAAATAAGTTCTGCTGCTTCACCTGCAGAGAAACAAATCAGAAATATGAGAGAAAAAAAAAACTATCAAAATACCGGTAGTAAAAGCAGCAAAAATAACAGCTTATAAAAAGTAATAAAACAGTGAAAAGAGCCTCAAATGAAGGATTTCCCTTCAGTCTAAGGCAGCTTATCTGTTCTGATCTATTCACTGATTTCTAGAAGCAGCATCATGTTCGGTTTGTGTTTTAGCTGAAATGAATCTGCCGCCGTCATTAAAGGTCTGCAAACAGCTTTGTGCTGTCAGACTTTTTCAAAACCAGCTTCAGCTTCTTTCGGGAAGAAGCTCCTCCCCCTTCCGCCATGTTGGAACGTTGTGTGGAGCAGCAGGTACGGATCAGCAGATGATAAACTGAAGGCTGCTTCAGCAGCTAACCTGCTCCGCTAACCTCTGGGCAGTTGCTGATCGTTCAGCCATACGATGAGAGGGGAATTGCTTCCCTTTGCAGAGACTGAAAGGAATCACTGCTCTGATGTTCTGGAGGCTTTCAGGATCTATAGACGGCTACAGGGGTCCAATCTAACTGTTTTAGTTCTCACAGCCTACTCTAATGTGTTTCTATCAAACTGTTGATTCTCCTGTTAGAAAGCAGACACCAGCTAGCGCCGCCGCTCTGGCAGAACCGGTTCCAGTTAGCACAGGAGCTAAAGATGCTAACTGAAGGGGATTAGAGCCTCTTTGGTGCCTCCATGTTTGGTTTAACACCCTGTTGCTCTTGGGGGGGTTAAAGTCTACCTGCCCTGGTCAGCTGACCCTACAGGAAGAAACCGTCTCTGTGGGACCATCAGGAATCAGACAGAGGTGGTTTCCAGGGCAACAGCAGCATCCCTGCACTGACATGATCCTCCATCATGAGAAGAAGGCTTGGGGCAGTTGGCCCAGATGGCCCAGCTGGGAGGAACGTCAGCCTCGGATCTAAGGAGGACCAGAACGTGTGCTAAGAACAAGCTTTTGGGGTTCCTGCTAAAATCAATTAGTGGCTAAAAAGCAACATCAGATCCAGGATGGAGATAAAGGCTGAAGGTGGAGGAGGACCTGGAACCAGGCTGGAGCTGCTTCTGGCTCAGAATCTGCTCCAAACCAAGGAGGTCCCACTGAGTCCAGGAGGAGCTAGAAGATCCTGAAGGTTGCTGCTTCTGCTCTGGACTGGTTCCAGTTTGGACCCACCTCAGACGTCTAGATGATGGGCAGGTCTTACCTTCCTGCTTCAGCTTCAGGATGGCAGCATGAAGAATGCAGGGCAGCAGGTGATGAGCCAGGTCTGCAGGCTTCAGCATGGCCAGATAATGCAGCACCTGCAAAAAGGACAGCGTTTGACCTTTGACCCTGGATTCAGATCTACTTCCTGGAGAAGAACATCTGGTCAGAAGTTCATCTCACCTTCTCTGCCTCCTTGGTGTCATCAAACAGTCTCTTCTGGCGGCGCGCAGGCGTCACTCTGGCAGAGTCCCAGGCCTCCACCCACATGTTCCCTGGGATTTTCATTCGGGCGCTGAGTTCTCCTCTCAGGACCGTCTGCCCCGTCTCGTCCACCACTTCTTCTTCGACGTAGTCCCTGGGTGAGTACCAGCGGACAAAGTCCTCCAGGAGACAGCCGGGGTTGGCCGCCTGAGGAGGAGCACAGGTAGAGGCCTGGGTTCTACAGCCAGAGACCTGGGCTGGGTGGAGCATCACTGAACATCTACTGGGGGGGGGCTCACCTTAAAGGACTCCATATCTGAGAGCAGACAGGCGCTCTGCATCCGAGCACGCAGGTGGGTTCCTTCAGCTGATGTCCCCAACTTAGCCAGGACCTCCGACTGCTCCTCCAGCTGATCCTCCGTCATGGGCGCCGGTTCCTGAACAAACGGAGCCGCCGCAGTCAGACCCAACAGCAGCGCTCTACCTCCAGAGGAAGAAGCAGAGGGAGGCTACCTGAGTGACGGGAACATAGAGCGGCTCTGCAGACGCCAGCAGGGTCATGTTGTTGTAGGGGTGCAGACGGCCTTCTGCTTTCCCCTTACTGCCGTCCCTCCCCCCCTCGTTCTGGGACGCCTCCATGTCCCCCTGGTCACTCAGGCATTCAAAGAACTCGTCCTCGCTGTCGCTCCAGGAGTCCCAGGACTTTCCTCCAGAGCCCTCTCTGGTGGAGGAGGCGGAGGCTCGTCCTCCTGACGCCGGGCGCTCCCTCTCTCTGCTGCCCTCCTGAGCTTTACGAGCTTCATCTCTGCTCCTCTTCCTCTCTATGCAGCAGTTCAGCATCTGTCCACAATCAGAAGCATTTTAAACATGATGGGACGACCAGCAGAAAGTTCTCCATCTTTTTACGGAGCAGCTTCGCTACCTGGAGCTTCTGGTGCAGAAGACAACAGCGAAGGTCAGGAGGTCCAGCTGCTAACCTGCAGAGGAAGCAACACTTCATGTTAATCAGCATCTCCCTCCTTTGATGCCAAACATCACTGGTTTCCTCTCCACTGTCGCTACAAGCATGCTCAGTGTGAGGGATTGCTGAAGAGTCAATGAGTCGATGCAATCAGCTGGTTTTCCTTAGATAGAAAACTTTAAATCAATCTGACTGGATGATCTGGTGAACTGGAAAGAGACCTGAGATTGGAGCTATAGAAATAAACTGAATAGAATCGGTTCCAATCATGGTTTAATAATCTGCCATATTCAGCTCTCTGATTTCAGCTGTTTTAAAGCCTCGACGGTCCGTCTGTTAACCCACCCATAGATCAGGTAGTTGTTTTCCCAGCGGTAGCGCAGCTCCAGAACAAACTCCTGCCAGAGGTGGGTGACGGCAGGCAGGCCGCCGTAGCTGTAGTTGACCATGCAGAGACACAAGGCCAGGCGGTACGTCAGGCTGTCTGAAGGCGCCGACTTCAGGTGGAGGAACAGGTTCTAGAGAGAGAAATCAGGAACATTCAGAGAAACAACCACAGGGACCCAACTAGAGGGTCATGGTCAGAGACTAGAGTTAGAAGCCGAGCCCTGGCGCAGTCCTCCTTTAATATTAGTATTTTTCATCATTTGTGGCATTTAAATCCATAAAAGCAGAGTGGCTAGTCCATGTGACGTTCCTGGACTGATTGCTGAGCATCAGTGGGTGAAATACCTTCTAAACCAAGATGCATCCTGGACCTCTGTAGATGACGATGCTAAGGGCTAGCGGGGCTCCAGACGCAGGCTTGAAAAACTTATGAAGCAATGACAGAACATTGCAGCTATGATGGATGATAAACTAGAGCTGCGCAATATCAACATGAACGTCACTCAGAGTGTAAAGAAATGATTGATGGGAACAGACACCTTGGAAAAAAACTAGGCAGGAACTATGAACTACATGTCCAGAAAGTTCCATTAGATCCACAGGTTCTGGTCTCTGCTTCTCTCTGGGGAACCATCTTCAGCTTTCCCATCAGGAAGGTTTGGCTGCTTCTGATTGGACCAGCTTGGTCTTCTGACATCATCACTTCTACTTGCAGTATCAACTTGCTTCTAGGGCTAAATTAAAACGCTTTTCTTAAAAGCCACTTTATTCTTTGTCAACAATATTTTCTCTGCCTTTAATCTTTTATAATAAAAACAGAACAGCTGTTTAATTCTGGCCGATGGTTTTGTAATTAGAATATTACACTAGAAATTGTCAGCTGGGTTAATTGGTTAATCACTTTTAAAGAATAATCGTACCTGATACAGGAAAAGGTCAGTTCATTGAGCTCATCTTAAAACAACTTTACAATTTCCGGTTCAATGTTGTTTAAAAAAGAAGCTTTTTTTCTCCTCTTATGATGGCGGTTTCTGAACTAAGTGAAAATTGGCTTAAATAATCTGGGTCGACACATCTGGACAATGTGAAACCAGCGGGCATGGCAGTGTCCAGGAGGCGTGCTAAACTGGTTCCTTTATTACCTGATTCTATGGGCTTAGAGCAATAAAACCTGGATTTGACATCCCTGATATGACCCAGACCGTCTATGCAGCCGTAGTGGAAACAAGGCTGCAGTTTTAATTTAATGACTTGAACTGCGAATGCAGAAAAATAACATTCACTGCTTTCAGCACCACCCTCCAGCGGTCAGCAGGGATGGAACAGAACTGCTGCAGCTCATCTTGTTCGTGGTTCTCCTAGAGATACTGATAATTTCATGATGAAAGCAGGCAGACATACATCCTGTGAGCTCCGCTCCTGGTCCGTCTTCCTGGAGGAATTGGACGATGTGGTTTTCTCTCTGTCCGTCTTCTCCACTGCAGCATCAGGGAAGAGGAACTAAGAAAGGAAACACCTTTTCAATTCAGAGGACGCCTTCTTCACACCGACATGCTCTGAACCTCCTCCACAGGAGGAGCTTCCAAGACTTAAACATACCAGAAGAATGGAGTTGAGGACATCGGTGTTAAGTGGCGACTCGTCGATGTGGCGGCGGCGGCGAATGTGCTTCCGGGCGCTGTGGACCATGCTAGACACGGACAGTTTGCTGAGCGGGACGGGCGCTGCTGGCTCCGTCAGTTTGGACAAAGCAGAGCTGATGTCGCTGTTTTCTGCAGGGAGGAGATATAGAACATCTGGAGCCAAAGACCAGCAGGATCTGGACTCAATTAATTTCAAAGGTCTGGAACTCTGGACCCTTCAAGATCAAACTATCAAACGGTAAAGTTTAGATCTTTTCAAGTATGGTTGGTGAACTTTGGAAAATGTCCCAGAATCAATTGAGTTTGTGGTTTGGTCTCGAACCAGAACCCAGTACCAGACCATTGTTTTTTAAAATTAAAGACAGAAATCAGAACCCTGATGGAGAATCTACATCTACGTTGACATCCAGAGAGGGCTCAGAAAACTGAGCAGAGGGGAAGGTGTGGAAATTAAACGTATTTCCGTCCTTATCTTGGAGAAACTTCCAGACATTTCCAGAGACGTTGGCCTAATCCTTGGAAAAAACAAGAACCTTTTAAAGGTTCTGGATCTTTGTAGAGAATAAAGCAAACTGACCTGGGCCTTCTTCTTCAGCGTGGCTGCGACCCAGAACCTCCTCTGCTGACTCCTTCCGACAGCAAAGCTTAAAGAACTCGGTGATAAAGTCTCCTAGAAGAAAAACACCTGGTTGGTTTAACAGATCCACACAAATAAAGGCAGAACATAAAATCCAGATCAACTCCTTCAGCTATTAAAGGTTCATCGCAAGTAAAATAGTTTAACATCGTTTAAACTACATGTTCTGTGTAAACGCGTTTAGTTGCTATTCTACTGAAACATTTGAAGCATGCTGCAAAAAAAAGTTTAGAAATGACTGAAACACGGTTCGAAGCTGAGTGGGAACCAGTTACCTACCCAGTAAGCACTGAAGGTTGTCAGCTGTCCTGACTCGAACCGACCAGTGAGGAGCTTCCAGGGGGTCGAGGTCACTGTTGGATATCAGGAAATAAGGCTCAACAAACATCCATCACTCAACCCACAGAAGTCACAGTAATCCCCTGAACCCAACGAGGTCACAGCAATCCCCCTAAGCCCAACAAGGTCACAGCAATCCCCCTAAGCCCAACGAGGTCACAGCAATCCCCCTAAGCCCAACGAGGTCACAGCAATCCCCCTAAGCCCAACAAGGTCACAGCAATCCCCCTAAGCCCAACGAGGTCACAGCAATCCCCCTAAGCCCAACGAGGTCACAGCAATCCCCCTAAGCCCAACGAGGTCACAGCAATCCCTCCAAGCCCAACGAGGTCACAGCAATCCCTCCAAGCCCAACGAGGTCACAGCAATCCCCCTAAACCCAACGAGGTCACAGCAATCCCCCTAAACCCAACGAGGTCACAGCAATCCTCCTAAACCCAACGAGGTCACAGCAATCCCCCTAATCCCAACGAGGTCACAGCAATCCCCCAACCCCAACAAGGTCACAGCAATCCCCCTAAACCCAACGAGGTCAAAGCCATCCCACTTAACCCAACGAGGTCACAGCAATCCCCCTAAACCCAACGAGGTCACAGCAATCCCCCTAAACCCAACGAGGTCACAGCAATCCCCCAACTCCAACAAGGTCACAGCAATCCCCCTAAACCCAACGAGGTCAAAGCCATCCCACTTAACCCAACGAGGTCACAGTAATCCTTCCAAACCTAACAAGGTCACAGCAATCCCCCTAAACCCAACGAGGTCACAGCATTCCCCCTAACCCCAACGAGGACACAGCAATCCCCCTAAACCCAACAAGGTCAAAGCAATGCCCCTAAACCCAACAAGGTCAAAGCAATGCCCCTAAACCCAAACAAGGTCACAGCAATCCCTCTAAACCCAACAAGGTCAAAAAAAAACCCCCGTTAACCCAACGAGGTCACAGCAATCCCCCTAAACCCAACAAGGTCACAGCAATCCCCCTAAACCCAATGGGGTTTAAAATAAAAGCATAAAGGACGGGACTGAAGCTCACTGTGGTCCAAACATTTTCTGGCCTTGTGGCGAATGGAGCTCTGACATCATCTCACCTTATATGGCGAGTGTTCATTTCAGACCCTCCCTGCATCTACCTCAGACCTTCTACTGGCGCTGCCCCAGTCCTTCAGTAAAACCAGAACCCCAAGGCGTGGCGCGGTACCGGGTCGGGTCGTGATGACCAGAGAGGCTGGTCCTTTAAGCAATCATCTCATCCACTCACCTGTAGACGTCGTTGTCCACAACGATGCCCTCCACGAGGTGAGGCCAGGTGGCGGCCAGGTGGAGTTCGCTTCAAAACAAAAGAAAACTAATTTATTTTACACAGAAGCACCTCTGACCTATGATGTCAACATGATGTCATCATGGTGTCAATGATTTAATTTAATTTCCTCTGGGGCTCAAATTAAATGACTAATGCCATCCATGATGACTGTCGATAAAGTTCTAATCAGAACCTTTCTAGTCCCGCCTACTGAGCTTTCACTCCATTTGGTTACTGATCTGAGATCTGCTACCTGATTGGTTCCTCACAGGCTCCAAAGGGAAGGTTTCCAAATTCCACTCCTCCCACTTCGCCTCCAAGCAGGGTATCAAAGTCTGACAGAACCAAACAGAGAAAACAAGTTTAGACCAGGTTCTGTCACCCCCAGGTGACCCGAAGACGGTGGTTCCTACCTGGAGGCTGCTGAGGCCACGAAGACTGCTGCCAATCCTGGAGAATGTAGGTGTAGCGAATGGAGATGTCGACGGGCGGAAGAGGGAGCAGGTTACAGCCCTGAAGCAGACAGAGAGACAGAGACTGAGGAATGGACCTGGAGCCCCGGTCCTCCTGACTGGCACTGACATTCCCCCGTCCTGCTCTCCCTTTATCATTATGACGTTATTCATTTATTCATTATCTCCTCTCTTTCATCTTTTCTCCTTTTTTTCTGTTTTTCCTCTTCTGTTCTACTTACATTGCATATATATATAATCTCCTTGAATAATTATTATAGAGCAATTTATATGCATAAATCAAATGGAACACTATGGCGATAGCTGTACTGCTTCACTTGTGAAAGTAAAATCTGTTGGTCTCTTTTTGGCATCAAGACAATTATTCTTATTTCCACATCGCCAGACAGGACACTGTAAAAAAAAAAAAAAAAAAGTCAGCCGTCCAGTAAAGTGTGTTCAGGTGCGTCTGATGCTTCTGCTGCTCCTGTGTTCAATGCCAGAGAGCAGCTTTTCTATATTTGCAGTGATAAGCGGGTAAAAAGTAGTTTGAATCTATTTTGAAGTCACTGAAAATCCCCAGCAGCAGCTTCCTCAGGCGTGCGTTTTCCAGGTATGTACCAGTGTAGACTTTCCTACAGCCATTGCTAATAAATAGACATATATTTTAACATCCGTGCTTTCTAGATTAAAGGTATAGTGGATAAAATTCTTTTAAAACCTAAACCTAAGGTATTTCACGGTTGGTGGATGAGGAACCTGAATCACTTCCTGTCTGGAGGATAAATATGGCGGCACCCTGCCACAGCCAACAGAGGGTGGTTGTTGTGATGTTTCCGTGGCAACAGCAGCAGAGATGATGAGGTTTAATAAGTTTTTATTAAAATATTTATCCATCCATCCATTTTCTTACATACTTAATACCAAGCGGGGTTGCAAAGGGTGCTGGTGCCTTTTGGACTGTGGGAGGAAGCCGGAGTACCCGGAGAGAATCGAGGCATGCTCAGGGAGAACATGCAAATTCTATGCAGAAAGACCCTGGGCCGGGAATCGAACCCAGAACCTTCTTGCTGCAAGGCAGCAGTGCTACCCACTGAGACACTAAGCAGCCCTAAAATATTTATTTATCTATGATTTCACTGAAGACTCCTAGATGACTTGATGAGACACATTTTCTCTTTACCTCATAAAACAATCTAGTTCTGAAAAGAGAAGGAAATATGTACTTATCCTCTTTAATGTTAGAATATTAGGGATAGAACGGTTCACAAAATCCACGGTTCGGTTCGGTTCACGGTTTCGTGGTCACGGTTTTTGGTTCGGTATATGTTGATTGTAACACCGAAATCCCATAAAAATTTATGAAATTAATGAAAAATAAAAAATAAATTAAAGAATTGTAATTACTTTTAATGATCCGCGGAAACCCTGGATCATTTCCGTATGTTTTGCTGCTTTGAATTTAATCATCTCGCGCATGCTCTCTACGATCTCAAAGGAGCTCAGAGGGGAGCGGACGGGAGCCACAGTGGGGGCTGTAGGCTTTGCTTTGAGCAGCCAGTCTGGAGCGCAGCGGGGGGGAGAGGAGCGCTGACGGAGTATGTGGGATTTCAAGGTTAGCCTGACATGTTAGTTGTGTTGCTGTTAGCGTAAACAAAACGTGTTGCACAATGCTTGCACACTGCTGCACTTTTATCCACAACTTTCTTTCCGCCGTCATCATAGGTCACTCTAAATGCAAAGTGGTCCCATACAGCAGACCTATAAAGTGCTGCTGGTGCGTCTTCCAACTCCTGTTCTTTCCCACTCGCCATACCGACACAATTCTCCACAACAACTGATTTTTTTCTGCTACACCCGGCTACGCAGCTTCGCTTCTTCTTCTTCTTGTTTACTACTGGTGATTGGCTTTGGTCGCAGTACCGCCACCTTCTGCTCTGGAGTGTAATCGCATCCTCTGAGAAAAAGGAGCAGCGCATGAACCGAACGAAACACACGCGAACCGAACCGAGACAGTCGAACCGAACAGTTCGGACGGTTTTCATAAACCGTTCCATCCCTATAGAATATTGATGTGCAGAATTAACCACAAAAACTTTAAATGCTTTGAATATTCACCTGGAAGTATTTCCGCTGCCACCATCTATATTAGAAGAAAAAAATGGCCCCCCACCTAGCTCCGCCCTTGGGCAGCAGGATAATAAAAACGAACATGTTCTGCCGGCAGGTTTCTACATTTAAAGTTAATTTAGGCGTTAATAAACTGTTTCAGAAGAGTGATCATAGCGCTCTTCATCAGCAGTGCCGTCTGTCTCCCTGATCAGCTTCTCTGATTGGTTGATGCGGCGCGTGCAGCAGCTGCTGCCTTCGCAACGCATCACGCACCTCATGAGCATCTGAGGTGCGTGATGCGTTGCTCTAGACGCTGCAAGACCTTTAGATGCTTGTAAGCCTGCTGCTTCTGCTGCCTGAAGTGCATGCGGTCTGAGCGTAGCTTAAGACCTTTTCAGGGCAGTGAATGAACGTGGTCAGAATGAAAACGGTGCTCTGACAAAATAAAAGTGCCAACAGTGGGTTTGGTTGGGCCCCCAGGTTTGGGATCCTCTACTCACTATTTTAGACTTGAAGATGTCCAGGAGCCCAGACAGGTGGTTATATTGGCTCGGCACCTTGCGCAGATGGACGATCTCAAAGTCGGTGCGAACTCCCGGGCCTTGGCACTCTCCTGCATAAATCCGTCTCCACTTCTGCTGGATCTGAACAAACATGGGGACCTGACTGGACCAGAGCAGGACAGAGGCTGCTGTTAAAACTCATCCCAGCATCATTACAATCTGCCACGTCTGCTTAGAGAAGATTACAGATTATCTGATAATCTTTCCTGAATCAATGAGCAGAAACAGGTCAGATGTTCAGCTAGAAGCTAAACCTGCAGTCGGATTTAAACTTCAGCTCCTTTGGTTTCATATCTAGATATTAAATACTCTAAAACTAAATATTATGAAAATAAATACTAAGGAACTAATAATAGAATATTTAAACACATTTCTTAAACAAATATGATATTCAAAATACATACTCTAAAGTAATAATGTAGCACTTTATTTCGTTTCTTAAAATAATTAAGATTATTCTAAAACAAATATTTAAATAATTGATCCTATTTAAAGAGGCGCTCCGGCCTCGACATGGCACTGGGGTCAAAGGTCAGGGACCCCCAGAGACAGTCTGATATCTATGTGCAGAAGCTCTAGATGACAAACAGGAAGTGATGTTTTCTACCCACCAGCCGCTGTTGGTCAGCGACATGGAGACGGAGCTGAGCAGCAGGTTGCATTTGGACTCGCTGATGATGGCCTCACAGTTTGCTCCAGGGCTGATCACCACAAACTCCCGCAGGCCGAACCTGCCCACAGATGGAACCAGAAGGGAGAACTTTGCAGCTAAATATTCAGTTTCTGTTTGGTTTTCTGCTTTTTGTTGGTTGTAGATAAAAATTCTAAATCTGCAATAAAAATCAAGGAAACTCACCACCTGACCAGACAGTGGGCTCTGGGAGGGAAGTCGTTGCTCATGCACAGTAGATCATGCATGGCCGGTTGCAGAGTCTCTGAGCAAAATGAAACCAACATTTCATGAGTGGATCGGCTTCGTGACAGATGTGAGTCAAAGCGCCGCAAAACAATGATGAGCATTTAATTGGATCCTGGAGGGGCGGTTCACTAACTGGAATCTTTCCAAAAACCAGTAAACTGGAGTCATTCTGAAGGGATTCATTCATAGGAACGAATCCTCTGAGTGAACTGACTGAATCGGATCAGTGGATCCTTCCTCTGCTGAGCGGTTCCTTTTGGAGCTCAGATGAAGCGGATCCTTCAGGCTCTGAAGAATCAGCTCTACTAGCAGTAGGCTCAGAAGAACTGCTCCCCATCAGTTCTTCCCACCACTAAAGCTCCGCCCCCCTCGTGTGGGTGCTGAAGCCCCGCCTCCTTTAAACAAAGGGTCTGAACACAGAGCATAAAGGTACTGATCCGTCATAAAAAACGTCCTCCTCCCCATTAGCCAGACTGGATCAGACCGGCTTTAGCAGCATCTTCCTCCACTGCAGATGTTCCAACCGACACGGGCCGTTTCTCGATTCACTAGAACACGAGTCCGGACAGATAGTCTGGAGTCTGCGAGAACGGGAGCATGCAGAATAAATCTGGGTCAAACAGAAGCCTACTGATGACATCACCACATTCAAAGCTAGTCTGTTATTAATAGTCTCTAGATTATAATAAATTATTACTTTTTTTTCATTTAGTGGAGGAATAATCACAAACACAAATCAAATGAATATTTTGCCAAACAATCAAACCTCGATCAGAGCAAGCGGTACTTTACACACAGCTATGCAGAGAGAGGGCTAATACTGACGGGCTAGCGTTAGCCCTGGCCGCTGCAGACGGGGTAAAGTTAGCCATTAAGCCATTAAGTTACAAGAAGAGAACTTTTAAACTAATACTCTGAGTTGCTGCCGCAGTGCATGCTAGGACAGCTGACTGTCTGGAGAATGAACAAGTCTGCTCTGATGCATGCTGGGTAAAGAGGGAGGGGCGAGAACAACATCCTGGGACCTGCTGTTCTAGTGAATTGGAACACTGCTAGGGCTGGTGATGTTTCATGAGCACACAATGAAGCACAAGAACACAGACTGAGAAACGGCCGGAGTCAACAGGGCTACAGCCTGACCACGTCTCCATGGAGACGCATTCAGATCACTGAGGTGAAGGACACTAGTGGACATCAGTTAGTGACAGACCTTCTTCGCTCCTTCCATCTTCCTGTTGGCCTTCTTCTTTCAGGAAGTGGTGGGTGATGTGGAACTTGAAGTCAGCAAAGTGAACGTTGTGCGACTGCTCCCCCCAGCTGCCGCTGACGAATGCTCCCTGTGTCGACAGAGCAACAGCCCAGAATGACTTACAGCAGAGGAACGGTTGTCATGACTTTAGCAACCAGGTCACCTTTCCTGGAGACGATTTCCCCACGTAGCTCTCAGTCAGCTTCCACTCGTTCAGGACCTCCTCTACTCTGGACACAAACCTGCAGACCAACAGCAGAGTTACGCTTCGGATTTAGCTCATCATCTCTGCTGCTGTTGCCACGGAAACATCACAACAACCACCCTCTGCTGGCTGTGGCAGGGTGCCGCCATATTTATCCTCCAGACAGGAAGTGATTCAGGTTCCTCATCCACCAACCGTGAAATACCTTAGGTTTAGGTTTCCTCCAAACGTCTGGTGGGAACTTTTGTTTCCGTTTGACAGAACTTTATCGGCGAAATTATCCTGTTTACCTGATTCCAGCTAACCCGGATCCTATTAACCTGGATCCTTGATCCCGCTATCCCGGATCCCGCTAACCTGGGTCCTGTTAACCTTTAGTTGATCCCAGTGAGGGAGTCATATCCTCCGCCTTGCAAAAAAATACGAAGCTCTTTATGCCCTCGATTTATTTTAACAGGTTTTCCACAGATGAGCAAGATAATATTATGCCCTAACTCTGAAATGACAAACATTTCCTCGCTGGTAGTGTTTTGTGATGAGTTGCTTATTTGTCCTTCTAATTCTACCAGTGAAGCAAACAATTTAGACTAACAGTAAAAACAAAATTATACTCTACTGGCAGTAACTTGAAAAACATGAATGATTTAAAGTTGTTCTGCTTGCAAACCAAAAAATGTGGCGTCCTGAAAACAATAGAAGGAATAAGATGACAGCTGACTGCATGAACATGGTCACACATCATGACGGGTTCACAACTGCGGCATGAAAAATAATCAACAATAACAATAAAAAATTTAAAGTAGCCTACTGCAACCCTAATTGAGGATAAGATGATAACATCCAAACAACCTCCCAGCTGATGGAGGGTTTTACAGCCCATATTCCTCCAGATCCCGCTGGATCACAAGTTAATCTGTGAGATTCTGACTTTTTCAGATCCTATTTGATCCCCGAACAGAAATTACTCATAGTATTTCACATTATCCACAGACAACAGACGTGTGTTGGATAGATCTTACACCAGGATAAATTAGATCATTCATTCTGACCCGTTTGTTTACTTTTGCTGCATTTTGATCAGGCAACCACGCAGCCACCTAATCTCTTCAAACAGCTGTGCTGTGGACCACGTTTGTCACAAATTAATCTAGTTCATCATTTAAGAATATCTGCATTTTTCTACAAGAACTAATATCAAGCAGCCACGGCGACTCATACCCAGCTGCTAACTCTGGGATTTAAATTCTTCTGTGAAAACAGAAAAAGTTAAGTTTCCGCATCTGATACAGTTCATCATACAGCAGAGTTTTGGATCCACTAAAATAAAAACACCGTAGTAGAGACTTGGATTTGTGTCCAAACAGGAGAATCAAGGAAACATGAGCGCATGGATTATAATAACAAGAAAATAACTTTGTGTCATAATTTGAAAAATAAAGTGGGAATAGTTGTAGGGGGGAGAAGCCAGATTGTTCAGTTTGCAGTCAGTTTTTCCTGAAAAGGTGCTGCTTAAACAGATGTGTTGCTTTCTGAATGACAGGCCTCATTAATTTATTTATATTTACATTCAGGGATTTATAAAGTGAGCGGACTGTCTCCTACAAGCTGCAGGTTTTCATTTACAGTTTATGGTTCAGCAGGAGAAATGACTCCATGTGAGACAAACTTTTATTTGGATTTTTCTTTACACTTGCGGCTGTTCTCTGTGTGGGATGCTTTGCACTAACTGCTTTTCTGTAGATACAAGTTATTTGCCACATCGATCTAATCTGAAAAAAACAAAACAGAAATTCATTATTAGATATGTCGGTTGATTTTTTGGCGAACAGTTTTGTTATGTTAGGAATATTTTTATCAGGCATCAACACAGCCACCTAAGCTTCAGTAACATCCGCGGTGAGCAGAGCTCATTCTAACCAGTTAATCTGTCACACCTGCGCTCGGGGCAGCAAATCCAGATGTTACACATTTACGGATCTCACACGGCAGAAGTGTAGCAAAAATCTGGTGTGTAAAGAGAGCAAACCGAGAAACCGCTGGACTTGTAACCAATGATTTGTCTGTATTTCTGGGTCTTGAAGCGAAAATACTTCAGACAGAAGTGTCTCTGTGTTTGTTTACAGATTGATCTACACATTTGTAAATCTTAATACAGATTTGTGGATTTCTTTTTTTATAAATTTGCAAACCGGATTAGGCACACAGTAGTTTTGCACAGTTGCAGATTGTTTTATAGACACACAAATCTCCTCACACATTTGCAAATAATAAAGCATCAGTTTTGGCCCCATATCCTTTAGCTCACCGTTCCCACTCTGAAGCGGTGGTAAAGTCCGTGATCTCAAACACCTCCGACTCCGGCTGGGAGAACAGAAGAGGAGAAGATAAGGAGAAGGAAAGGAGAAGGAAATGTTGACGTTAATTCCTGCAGCAGGAAGCTGTAACTGAGCCTCAGTAATACAGCAAACCTACATCGTTGTCAGCCGCCATGTTGAAGCGCTTCTGTTTTCCTCCTTCTTCTTCTTCTTAGTTGTTGCAGCGGCGCGTTGCTGCCCCCCTCTGGTCAGAGGGTGTCATCCACTGATCTCTATTTATTCACCGGATTGCTGATAGAACCTGCTTCTAATTCCTTACAAATAATATAGTTTGGTTTATATATTAATGAAAAAGGTGGAATTCTTAGTTAATACTTTGATGATTATAACCAAATATTATATCCATAAATCTCGTTATGCAAAATGCTCCCTCTCATTCTCTGCTCTCAAAAACAAACTTTCCTCCTTCAACCGATGTCTGAAGAAGATGCAGGACCTTAAAGCAAATAAATTGTCCGATTTATTGGAAAAATTTCAGTTAGTCCCCTCTTCTAAATAATTCATTTTTTTTCTCTTCCTTGTTCTAGCCTGTAATTTTTTATTGGAGTTAATAGGAGTTGTGATCTTATTTGTTTCTTGTAATGTTCAATATTGACGTATTGTTGAATTTGTCATTGATATTCTGTTTTTTTTTTCAATAATAAAAAAAAAGAACCTGCCGCCATCTTGGTACTCCCCACTCTCGCGCCATAAAAACGCCTGTGATGTAATTACCATAACAGTGTAATCAATACAGGTATATTATATTTAAATTATTAATTTAGCAGTTTTTGGACATCATCAGATAGTATGTAATATTCTTATTACCTGACTACAGTATTTTATGCCCCATTAACACTTATTTTATTGTGATGGTTTGTATAATATGTTATATTACATGATTTATAGACTTCATTGACTTCATAATGACTATTCAATGTGATGGGCCTATTTATTTATTTATTTATTAAGTTAAAGTTAATCTACTGATGCTACCAAAGAGCCAGTCTGTTTCAAAGTGATGAATTTATCTTTATTTTAAGAGTCTAAAGTCCATGAAAATGAGAACATCATGGTTGTTTGATTGTTTACATTCCAACCGGTCTAACTAGGGAGTACCAATATGGTGGCCAGTGGTTTCACAGCACTGTCTCCTACCAACTATTTTTTTTTTTTATTGCAAAAAAGAACATACAAGAACAATAAGAACAGTATAGAACATTATTAATTACAAACAAATACAACATCAAAGGGCTTTATAAAACAGCAATTTTACTGTGTCATTATCAAATCTGTGCTCGAGGGTTGCAAATCTTTAAGGGCAGTTATGATTTTAATGGCTTTAGCATTTGAACTGAATTCTAAGGATTCTATATAGATATTAATAGAAGATAATAAAACCTGGAAATTAGGTTTTTGTTGTATATATTTTGAGGTGTGTATATGATATTTACCATAAATAATAAAAAAACTAACAACATATAAGAATTCTGCTTTGATGTCTCCTACAACTATCAGCAGTGGTAAGATGAACAGTGATGTCATCACTTGAAGGAACAGATCAAGTTTGCTGCTTTGTGAGCAATCTGGTAAAACCAGCATCGCTAATGAAATCAGTGATCCAAAGAATCTTCTTATAATGAGGTTTTTTTTATTATCATCTATATTTATAAATTAATTATGCAACGAATTTCAGTGGTACATTATGACATTATACAGGAGAAAACAAATTTGTGTTTTCAAATAGTTTTATTCTGATGTTGGTTTGTTTATTTTCTTTTTCCCTCTGATTTTATTCTGAGACTGGTTACACAAACCTGGATTCTTCCCAGTCTTCCCAGTTTAACCATAGCAAAGGCCCTCGAGACCAGCAGTACCACCAAGAATCATGGTGGAAGAACCGGCCTAACCACACACAAATTCCTCTGGGTGCACACCACAGACACCCTCACCTGGAAACACCACCTAACTGGTCTAAATGGCCCATAAGTGCTTGGACTTCCTGCGGAGGTCCCACCCCCCCCCATCCTCCCCACCTTCTACAGAAGCATCACAGAGAGTGTTCTGACCAGCTGTCTCACTGTGTGGTGTGGAGGCTGCAGCACCTCAGACTGGAAGAAGGTGAGAAGAGTGATGAGAAGGTGAGCAGGAAGTGATCAGTTATCATATTAATACAGGAAGTGATCAGAGATATTAATACAGGAAGTGATTAGTCATCATATTAATGCAGGAAGTGATCAGAGATATTAATGCAGGAAGTGATCAGTCATCATATTAATGCAGGAAGTGATCAGAGATATTAATACAGGAAGTGATTAGTCATCATATTAATGCAGGAAGTGATCAGAGATATTAATACAGGAAGTGATCAGTCATCATATTAATGCAGGAAGTGATCAGAGATATTAATGCAGGAAGTGATCAGTCATCATATTAATGCAGGAAGTGATCAGAGATATTAATACAGGAAGTGATTAGTCATCATATTAATGCAGGAAGTGATCA